CGATACCATCCTTTCTGATTGCAGTTACCCAGCAGGTTCAAAGGCCTTTTGGGGGCTCTTTCTATCTTAGCTGTTCATGCGTGGCCTGTCGAGGATAGCACTCGGTATTGCGGTGACCTTTGGGGTAAAGCGGATGCTGGGATCCCAGAAATCGCCGAGTTGCCAAAGTTTGAAAAAAAAAAAAAAAAAAAAAAAAAAAAACACAAAAAGAAGGCCAGCAGGGGTGGGGGAGGGGAAGGGCGGAAGGGCGGGGGGGGGGGGGGGGGGGGGGGGGGGGGGGGGGGAGCCCAAAAAAACCGGAGGAAACAAAATTAAAAAAAAAAAAAAAAAAAAAAAAAAAAAACACATAAAAGAACGCCACGATGGTCTGTTGAATGGAAAGAAAAGAAAACCACTGAGTCCGCGAAGCTGTTTGAGAGCAAGAAGCGGCCGCTAGTTGACTGCGTACGGCAGGTTATCCGCTTTGGGTCGGTCCTCAGTTAATAAACTAAACCGCAGCAGATCCGGACAGGCGAGTCGGTTGTTTTTGGGGGCAGGAGGTTGGATTCGGCCATCCTCAATACGTCACCCCATGCGGCCGTGACGTTGTGTGCACCCTGCATATTTGGACGGCAAAAAATGTACGCTACGTCACCTTGCTTGCCCATGCCTGAAGGGAAAAGGGGGCCGGGGAAAGAAAAGAGAAGCTGCTCAGAAGTTGGCTTCTTCCCTGCGGCAGAATGCTGCTGGATGTCTCGTCTACCTACTTGTGCTTACATAAAAGAGGGCAAGAAGGAGAGAAAATATGGCTTGAGGGGGCAGGTGAGGTAAGCAGCCATGTCGTTTGAGGTACCCATCCAGGTGAGGTACCTAAGGTACCTTTAGGTAGGTAGGTAAGGTAGGGTAGACGACAGAGAAGGCAAGGCACCTTGGGAGTACGGATACTTCCAATCGATACGTTACTCCAAGGTTTAGATTGATGTCTAGGGCGGTATGGAAAGTGCGGACATCAGACGACCTCATCTCTCGTTTTCTCGAGCTCCCGACTTGAGATGACTCTAAGTGCCGCAGGGCAGGTCCACCGACCCTCCGTCAACTAGTCCCTCTAGCGTGCTGTCGAATAGATGAGGTGTGGGCGAGGGGAGGTCACTTTGCCGTCTCGCATTGTGTCCGTATTCATTGACCGACTCTCTCGCGCTCTCTCACAGGGTCCAAATCAAAGCGCCCATGATCAAGTTCCGGAGCACGTCTCCGGGCCGTGCAAGCGTTAAGGCTCAAGGCTCAAGGCTCAAGGCTCAGGCCTCTCGAGTCTCACTTTCAATGTCTTGGGTTCCGACAAAATGTCGCCCTGACCGGAGTCACCGAATCCTTCACGTCCCAAAATTGCGATGCGTCTTCGGTGAGCGGGGGCAGGCCGGCGACGAGGGGGGCCGACAGCGTGACTGGTTGGAAGTTAGGTAGGAGTGCACTGGGCGTAGGAGAAACCGAGAAGGTTCCATCGGAGGGCGGGCCCATCTCATCTGAATTGGATCTGAGCCAGATCTGCCTCTTCCTATTTGGGGGGCCAGTGTCCTCGCCGGTTCGCAACTTGGCCTCCATTGGCCAAGGGGCAACCCGCGCCAGGCTGTTGCTGTCCAGTCCGGATTGGCTCATGTGCCTTATTTTGCCAAACCTTGAACCAGCCGGCCGTGAGCTGACAGCACATATACCCTACGGATACGAGTAACATCGGACAGGGACCCCGACAGGGACCTCGGACAGGGACCCCGACTTCGGGTGGAATAAGCTTGCAAGGATCCACCTCCCCGGCCCTTTTGTTGACTCCTATCAAACACATACCTAGGTACACTACATTAGCACGATAGGTACGTAGGCACCTACGTCCACGTCATCTTCCATTGCCTACCTGATACCGTACCTCAAAGACGGATCCGCAAAAGCAGGAGCGCACCTCGGCTTCCAAGGTGAAGCACTGGCTGTGCGTCAGGCAGCTAACCGAGTCTTGCAAGGGACGACCCGATATGCAAGGGAGGTGCGGATTGGAGCGAGGGAAAGTTGGGTACGGGGCGATAATCGAGTACGTCTCTGAGCTCTCACTCTCTTCTTCCAATGTTTTCAATTTGTTTTTGAATGTCTCCATTGAGCAAAGATTCTTTGGCGCCAATTCATTATTGTAGGCTGAACAAACACTACTGCGTACTAATCCTCATAGGTTGCCCGGTATCCGTACAGACATGAAGTACATGGACGCTTGGTCGCATGACTCTCCGGCCAAGCGTAGGTACTCGGAGACCAGGGTCTGTAGCACAGTAACAAAAGGAAGGTTCAAGGGACAATTCCCACGCGGAAAGAAACACCATTTTCACTGCGTAGATATTGAAACGAAAAAGCCTGTCAACTTCAACGGCATGTTCCATTCAGACAAGCATTCTTCTCTGCATGCCATAGGTGCCTAGAGGGGCATTCGAGCCATGGTCCATGGATGGCTTCCGATTGGGAGTGGAATATCGAAAGTGCTCGTCGCGAGTTAAATGCTGCCCTTTGTCTATTTTTCGGATGGGCTCTCTCAATTTGCAAACACACCTAATTACTTAGTAATCCATCCGAGCAACTTCAAGAGGCTTTCAAATAAGTCTTGTTCACCCGTGACACATGCTTTTCTCCGGGCTCCAGCGGGGCTTCTTCGTCTCCGAGCCGGCGGGACGGCTCCCAGTCTGTCTTGTCTCTCTCATATCATGTTACATGTATGAAGTGGCCGCAAGTCTGGCAACCGCCTGGTCCAGGTCACCCCATGGCATGAAATTCCTTTGCTGACCAACAGCTCATGACAGGCTCACCGATTGGGACAACCTGTGAAGTACCTAGGTACCTTAAGCAGTTGGTCCTAGCGACACCTCGGGTTGGTTGGACGGCTGATCGGGAACGTGCCGCGACCTACCATGCTGACCAATAATCTCCGAGGCACGGATTCTATCATCGATGCACGGTATGTGCGCTCCGGGCCATGACTCCCAACATCCCCATCTTTGTCGAATCCGAGAGCAAAGTCCCCACGCTCCCAGGCCTCGACCAACCCGAGTCCGAATGCACCGCGAGCCACGCATCTTGCCCTGCTTTCCCGCCCTCCATCTGCTGCCGTCTTGCCTCATCTCTCCCACGCCTGACACCACTTCATCCCTGACACCTCGTCTCCACGTCAGTCCCCGGCTTGGCCCGCAGCACTTCGCGGCACAGCTATCGGCCGGACGCCATGATGAGGTGACGCCGGTTGGGCAAGCCCGTCCAACAAGGAGACGGCCAACGGATGACCACTCTTTCGCCGCAACCCCGGAGGCTTTCGGGGAATCGCAATTCACTTTGCAGTGGCCCCTCCCTCCCGAATCCCACTTGCCCAGTAAGATAACGACACCAGAGCGGGACGTGACGGAGACCTTTTTTTTTCCTTCTTTTTTTCTGGTCGACCCTGACAAACATATTCCCTGTCACGACCATCCAACGCCTATGCCAATCGGTCCAACTCGCGTCCGATGAAATGCTGAGACAGGTCGCCATTGTAGTCAGTCTTTCATCTGCACTGAACACACACCTCCAATCACAGGCTCGTGGCCAAGCTTATCTTTGTTTTCGGGACTTACGGATACTCTTCATCAACAAGGCGGGTGGGCGGTTCGTCTGGCTGCCCACATGATATTGCTGGCGTAGGGCGTAGGCCCGTCGCTGAGTCGCGGCGATTACCTGCTCGACTTTGTTTTCATCCCGCTTGTGACTGCTCTGCGCGCAGCGTGTATCTCAGTAAACCCACGAACATACGGTTCGCTCTACCCCCTAGTCATGTGCGCTCGAGGGCCGCGTAATCACCGACAATTGACAGCTAGCTATCTAACCCCAACACAGCCTTCAGCACTACGCCAACAGCATGGCTCATATTTGCGACAGGGGAGTTGTGGCAGTCTACCCAAGCGACAGGGTACGAGGCGTCTCTGGTGGATCTTGGGGAGTTGATGCGCTATCGGCGGCCAGCACTTGGCAAAACCCAGATATGCAGAGATCAAGGTCCAGCTTTGGGTCCAGGCCTAGTAGACTCTTTCTCCCCGCCCTCGCTTCCAAGTACGGATACCAAAGGTGAAATAGTCACTTCCGAAGTTGTGGTTTGGCTCATGGGCTTAGAAGCGAGCTAGACACGTGCTAGGTTTTTGGCAGACCAGCCGTCGCCCGCCAACCAGCGCCATCAGCCGCAATTGAATCCTTCCCCTTTTCTCCCCCGATCCGGCAAATGCATCAAGCCAGCGAGGCCAGCGCTATTTTGGTTCGCTGGAGACACCGCAGAGGTTCTCGTCAGCCCTACGTCCACGCACGGGACTCTTCTTTGGAATCATGGACAATATAGTGGCAGAAGTTCTGCCACTACAAGTTCCGCCAATACCTACCGATAGCTGTTTGTCCTAGCGCACTTCCGGTAGCCGGAGGCGTTGCTATTAACTGCTTGGGTACGTCAGCCGATCCTTAGGCCCAGACTTGATAATCTGGAGTTGTTCAGTAATCACCATGGTCGTCAAAGAGTACCTGATCCTTGGCCGAGATTATTCTTCCAGGTCCATACGTACGGAAGATGACGAGCCGGGATTGTACTGGACTGAATGGGTTACATCAGCAACTCCGCGCGGTGTGCTCGCTTCCTGTTCCGGTCGTCAAACTTTCATCATTGGCGCTCCAGCAGCCAGCCTCGATTGGCTCCTGTTTCCAACTCAGGTCCCAGATTTGAACCGCTGTCTAACGGTGCGAGCTGGCCAATGATGGCTGGTTCCATGTGGTCGGCGCGCCCTGCTGCATGTTCGCGTTTGAACGGAGGCAAAACAGGTTGCGACCCTATCGAAATGCCTAATCATGACAGGGGCTAACATGAAAGCCACTTGTTTCGGCGGTCGTCAGCTCTACTACTCGTTTAATCGAGCTATTTTGGTGAAATTCCACTTCTGCAGCGCTAGTCGTCGCTCTTTGCGGCAACTGGGGGCTCAAGGAATTCTGTTTTCTCCAGCCTCACATTCTAGGGAAAGACCCCTAGAAAAGTCAATGCAACCTGACACACGCTCAGCCAAACCAACGGTGATTGGTAAAGCATGCTGGTTTGTAGGACGGTTTGACCGTAGGTATTGTTCTAGCAAGACTATCCATGCTTATTCATCGAGCTTAGAGGTCAGATGTGACTGTCTTAGCATGTTCACGCTTAAACGCCTCGAGCCGTTTGTTTACGCCGGACGTGCCATTCCGGGCGGATGATCATGAATACACCCTCACAGTATCACTCGTAGCGGGAAGAAGTGGGGGGCAAACGACAACCCCACAGCCCCTACCAAGCCCTTCTCCTACGAAATCCCCGGATCGTGCGCCGAGCATACCATCCAATCGATCGCGGTCTTTTCGTCCGTCATCAGGTCTTATAGCCCTACCGAGAAACACAGCCAGGCTAGCCCACCATGTCTTTGCAAGGGGTCGAATTCACGGAGATGGTCAATCACATCTTACTGTTCGTACCCAATAAGCATCACTTTCGGTATCGTCTCGTCGACATTACTTCCGGCCCCGTAGCATGTTCTGCCCTGATCATTGCGCAATCAAGCTGATGAAGAGCATGTTCTCAGCGTGTTAGATCGTGCAACGTCAGAGATGCACCATGTATATGTGCAGGTTTGGACAATCAATCGATGTCCGAAGGTTATGGCGAAGCAGCAACAATCTAAACGAAGAGCTTAGGCGGAGAATAGCGGAGTTTTGCCTGCGCGATATGGAACTATCGCAACCTCCAGTTTATCCCTCGTGGCTTTGGCCTTGACAGAAGGGTCACACAGCTCTTGCCCTTGAATACTGATAAGGACGCGTCCAACGTACATACGGCTTTTCTTGGACACCGACCTTCCAGATCGAGACACCGGGGAGGAAAAGATATCTTGCGTCGGCCGGCGAACGGGTTCCAGCATCACGCGGCCGATGCGGCCAGATGGCGATCAATAGGATTCAGTACCTGGTCATCATTCCCTCCCGATTTCTCAGCCTCCAATGATGCGGGGTCGCCGCGGAGAAACGACCATCAAAGTATATCAGTTGTCTCACTTCGCGTGCTTCAAACGACCCGGTAGTCCAAAATCCGCATCCTTAAAGGTCACGAGGTTTCACTTACTACCCTGGCTGCCTGTTGCGACGATCTGATCCGCGTCACGCCGCCAGAGTTTACACTTGTTTCGATAATGGTCACTTCTCACCTACTTCAGCTCCATAATGTACTGGTACAAGACTGGAAACACCCCCACCCCGGATGTTTCCTTACGGCCATAGTCAAGCCTCACGCGTGTTACTAGCATGTGTCGGAACACCAGTCGGCAGGGTGCTAGTTCTACCCGTCAGCAGTTTTGGTCGGCCGAAGATGCGAATCACACCATGGCTCCCGTTCTTGGGGAAGCAATGATTCCACATCCATCAGCCCCCATCTCCGTTGTGGAGACGTGGCCGGGAGCGACCCAGGCCTCCAACGTCAAGTTTTGCTGGAATGTAATTATTTCTCTTACCATTTCCATACATAACGAGCCCGTATCTCCCTTTCCCTTCGGACCCTTCGGGTGGGGTACCGTCAATTATCCTTGTCTTTTTAGTGTCACCACGCATGCGGGTGCATGGGGAGAGACAAGTCGGGCTTGGAGTTCGTGTCGTTGGAGATCCATGGTGCGTGTGGGAAGCCGAGGCATGGGTCGCGGGCGAATACATCTCTGACGTTGTTCAAGCAGCTCCAACAAACGGGTGGTCAGACCGCCTTACTCCTTGAGTATGTAAATTTGATTCGATCAAAGGGCAAATTCAATAGGTCTACGCGCAGGGTATGAGGGCTGAAGCTTGCTCTTGTGGGTTTCGTTGTTGACTATCCGCTGCTTTCTGTCAGAGCTGCCTAGCAGAGGTCGAGACCAGTGTTATTCATCTTGAATCGCATACAATATGAAGCACAAATCCTCATCACAATTTAAGCCACAACTGCAGACTCCTTGCTGCTACGTGGCACTACAACTTTTGCTAGGGCTAAACGGCTGGCGATGAGCTGCCGCTACTTCGTCAGAAGGCGCTTCCCTATTCAGCGGTTTCTCCGATTGAGTGCATGGACTCACCTCACCGCACGTCACCGGCGTGTACTTTGCCGGGTTATTTTCATCAATACAAGTGGGCAGGACGCCAAGCTCCTCGTCAAAATTCAATCCTATTTTAGGGCAAGACAGGCAATCAGTACGAGAAAAAAGAGTCGGAACGTAGGCACCATCGTTTGGAATCCATGAGCTCAAGATGAAAGGTTCAAGGGAGAATATCTTACCAAAGAAGAAGGGCATGGAGATCCTGTCCTCCCTGCCGTGCTGCACGACGCGGTGAACCGTCGACTTGAGCCTGTCGTTTGTCATTCTCATGAAGAAATCGCCAATGTTGACAACGAACGTGCCGCGGATCGGCGGCGCCCACATCCACTCCCCCGCACTGTTGAGCACTTGCAGCCCTCGGTGGCTGTCCTGCCACAAGAGGGTCAAGATCTGCAAGTCTGTATGCGCGCCGACGCCGACCTCGTCCGGGTCCTGGATCGGCTCGTCGCCGTGACCCGGATAAAAGTTGATTGCGAAGTCGCCGCCTGGATAGGTTATCAGGGAGTCGAAATAGTTTTCCGGCAGGTCGAGGGCCAAAGCGATGACACGGATAAGACGGCGCGAGAGGGCCAGGCACTCGCGCCAGTGCGCCAGTACCGTGGCCTTGAAATTTGGGAGGACGGCAGAGTCGCCCTCGTCGGTCCAGATAAAGTCCTCCCGGGGTAAGTGCGCTCTGACGTGCGCGGGAACCTGGTCGAGCCGGTCCTCGTGGATGGGATCGAATTCGGGTTCGTAATGGCAGAGGAAAGCCTCTTTCCTGTCCTTAGTATCGCCCGGGTTGGCCTGTCGTTCCCGGAAGCCGCAATACCCGTAGGCTGAGGTGTTTGACATGAGCTTCCGCTTCTTCTTCTCGGGAAGCTTGAAAAATCTACCATCGAGTGAGCTCCGATTCTGATCGGGTTTCGGACGCTCTGGATGGAAGTGGAATAACCCTACTCTTTTCCTTTCTGATGAGCCGCTTCTGTCACCTGCTCGGGGACACCGTGATTCTTAATGTAGAAAAACCCGCTACTTTTAGCAGCATGCAGAATCTGCTGAGCGATCGCTTTGCGGGCAGTCAAGTCGCCGGTGAGCCCGCTCAAGTCGATGATGGGCATGTCGTCAAGCGTGCAATCCTTTGGTGGGCTTGTTGACACCAGTCTGTAAGTCGGACCATCGAAAGTGTTGAGCATGACCTTCTTTTTGCCGGCCGGCACGGTCTCGACTGCGGTTTCTGTAACCATCTTGGGAGACTTTGTTTGCAACCCAACTTCCTATTACAACGCCACGATATTCAAGACTGTTAGTCTCAAGGTAGTGTTTAATCGAAGAATATCGTGATATGACATGTGTGATTTGCCAAAACCTGCAATCCGACTACCAAGTGTGGGGTTGATGTTCTACTATATATAAAGCTTCGGTACCTGAAGCTGACGTTACACGACACCACGTTTTATCGCCACCACATTGAACTCCATTAAAGGTACCTTAGGGACATACCGTCGAAGCTTATCCCAAGGCAATAAAGGTGCGGATGAGATAAGATTGTCAACTAGGTATCCGTTGATTCCCGGTTAATTCCTTCTTCGTTTGCGTTGCCCCGCTTGGTAGAGACCCACCTGGGCCAATAGATAAAGGCCAGAGTGATCCGGCTATCTCCTGTTTCGTCCGAAACCACCATCAAAGTTCACCACCCTTTTTTCGTTTTCCTTCGAGACGAAGCGCCGTCAGGACCTTGATCGATATCTGCAACGGGGCTTATCTCCCACCAGGTTTTTAAATTTGGAGAGGGGGGGAGTTGATTAGGCGAGGGGCAGGCAAGATATGCACGACGGAGCCGAAATGCCAAGCGCGCGGCGGCGCAGGTTGAGTGACGACAGCCGGCGGGATGACGTGGGCAGGGAGGAGTCGAGCCGGAAGAGGAAGAGGCGGATCCTGTCCTGCGACACGTGTCGGAGGCAGAAGTGTCGGTGTGAACTCGACGAGGAGTCTGAAGCGTGTGCGCGGTGCCGCTCGTTGAGGCATGTTCAGCCCCCGTGTTGTTGGTTGGCTGGTTCCTTTGCAACAGCGAAGAGGACGATACGATACGAAAGAAGGATTCCAATTGGAAAAGTAGTTCTGACGAAATCAGGATTACTTGCACGTGGAACGACAGCGGCGACACGCATTCAGTTTCATCAAGAGAGGCACCGGCTAAGCTTGACGTCGAGGGAAGGTAATCTCATATTACTCATCTATTTTTTCCACTGTTTATTCCGTCTACCTACCTACCTAATACAGTAACACTTACGAGCTTGTTGCTGGCAGAAACGCTGACCAACCTTTCAATGGCAGGTTTCGAAGCCTAGAAGCGTCCATAGTCGACCTCAAGGCAACCATACAAGAGCTGGCAACGGGAAGCCGGCCAGCAACGAATAGGACACTACCGACAGGGCGTCAGGAGAGACGCTACCAGTCGCAACAGCAACCGTCACTTGCGGAAAAGAATGTTGTTGACGAACATGAGTCTGACAAGGCCAGGGGAAATGACGACGTCGAGCCGGCGGACCGACATGTTTACTTATCTCCTGCCGAGGTCGTGCGCAAGGTCGGGAGCCAGCTGAGCGGAGGTTATCGGAGGACATTCGATGTCCAAGCCGATGTCGTCTCGTCGGGCATTTTGGACGAAAAGACGGCTCGCGATTTGGTTGCAGAGTGAGTTTTCTCCAATGTTAGCCCACGTACCTTTACATGGCCTGGACAGTGAGAAAGAAATGAACATGCATGCTGAGATGTGCGGCGAATCATGTTATCCCAACATGTTGCCACAACTATACCGTGGTATTGCAACTGCTAACCCTGTCTTTCATGGACGCAGATTTGTCCGTCGAAGGCGACACACGCTCCTGATCAACAGCGAGATCGACCTCGCCCCTAAGAACAGGGACTTGCGTCATGCCTCGCCCTTCTTGCATGACGCCTGCTGTCTGCACGCGATGCGCTTTTCCGAGCACAGCTCATCGGTGCTACACCGCCGCGTATTCGAGCACGTGCGGTTGCAGATGGGACAGCTGATGATTGTGAGCCCGCTGCCATTGGAGGAATTGACGGGCATCATGATTATGGGTTTATGGGCTTCGGCGCCATCGGTACGTGGCGCCATATGTCGGAGTCTAGCACGAATGCTGGGGGAGGAAAAGAAAACTGTGAGACCATTACAGATTTACTGATGCAACAAAAAGCAGGGGCCGGAATATATCGACAGCTGGTTAGTGAGCGGGCATTGTGCGCAACAGGCAATGTTGAGCATCAACTTTTCGGAAGTTTTATCGCGGACGAAATCGAGGACTTCGACAGAAGAGGATCAGAGGGTTATGCGACTTTGGGCCAACACCTGCCTGATAAATCTCCAGTGAGTCTTGCCTGCGATGTTTGATATCTCGAGTGGTAACTTGTGACAAAAAAAAAAAAAAAAGACTGGAAAGGATAGGTGAATTGGAACGACATTCGAAACGCACTGTCGGATACACACATAAGAACATCGCTAATGCCAATCAATATGCAGTTGGGCCGCGACCACTAGTCGACCGGCGACCGTACCGGCCGCCTACCTCCAGCAGTGCAAGCTCCTCCTCAACTTTGAAGAGGTGACAATGCGAGACGCCATGGTCTATGCCGAGATTATGCTTTACTTGATTTTGCAGGATAAGTTCGCACAACGATCTTACTTGAGAAGCAACGGCGCATGTGAGGAGCTCTCGGCATGGAAAGCGAGGTGGAATTACCTATTTGGTAAGTCGCGAACGTAACCATTGCACAACGCACATTCAAAGATGGGACGCCAACCTTGGCAAATCCGACGAATTCATTGCAAGGAGGCATCATGTAACTTGCTGACGTATCAAATAAACAGATCTTCCTGCCGCATCAACATTGAGGATAAGTTACTCAATAGCGTGGCTAATTCTCGCCCGGCGTTCACTCGAACACGACCAAGCCACCTCGGACCAAGACTCCTTGTCGAGTTCACCAAGGCTCGCTCAGGCAGACGCCCCAGCGGGCACAACAAACAGAAACGCGGATTACCAGGGCCCTCCCGACATGACGCAGTCGCGCGTGAGGGCCTTCGCGACAAACGTTGTCAGAGCATTTGTTGACATGCCGGGCTCCCGCGCCGAGGAGCTGCCCGAGTTCCACCGCCTGTGCGTCGCGTACGCGATGCTCATTATCTCAAAGTACGAGCACAAAACGTCGTTACTCGGAGGTGATGGCGACGGCGACGGCGACGACGCAGTGCTAGAACTCCTCCGCGCCGCGCAGAGGCACAACGGCGTCCGAGGAAACAGTGCGCCGTCTGCGATTCAATTCGGGCTGGAGAGGGCATTGAAAAAAGTTGCAGAGAGGGCAGAAGCTCACGCCGGTGGTCTTGCCCGGGCTGCGGCTGGCGGAGATGGCCACGGGCTGCCGGACGTGGAACTGTCCTTTACGAGGAGCGGGCACACCCGGGGTCCGCCGGCTGTGGCCGCCGGCGCCGCGGCAACGGCTTCGGCGACTTGGACACACCATCAACAAGACACTGTGCCGGGGCAACATGAAAATCATCCGTCTTCCTTCACGGGGACGACGCTGGGACCGGAGTTTGATGAGTCGCTCTCCTTGGAGACGATGGATATCTTTTTCAGCGGCGGCCACCTTGGGCTTGGTGATCACTCGTTCTTTTGACGTTGCGACTTGGCATCCGAGGTAGGTCTTTGGATATAGAACACGCGCTGGAAAAATCAAAAAGCAGATAAATAGATGGGGCAATCTGAGCCTTGAAACAAAGAAACGACATTGGCGCACCTCTTGTCTTCCATGCCCGCTGGAGTTTGACTCCAAACCAACACGTGATCGCATCCGCGGACTTTTCCGAAATTCCCGCTCTCGTTCGTCCTGTGATGTCCATTCTCAAGCTCGTCTTGATAAACAAAATCCCATTGATCAAAATGAAAGTCGGATGAGAGGTATAATTGCCATTTGTACGCAATGAACGAGAGGAAGCCATGTTGGCGCGCTGTTCGGCCTCGGTGGAAACCTCCTCGAACCCTCCGAACCAGCGCAAATGCGAATCCGTATCCAATTCCCACGATCCAGCGCCCTGGGTTTTCCACGAAATTGTGTAAATGTTCGTATCGGAGCGTCGAAGTCGCTGATGAGAGGGCAAGTCGTATTTGACGTGTGAAGGACTGGAAAAGCCGGATGTACTCCGTGAGCCTCCAATCGCCTTGAGAAAAGTCAATTGGAGGCTCACGATTTCGACTATTTTTGACGGATCTCTCTGCGTTACTTACTTATCTATGTTAAAGCCCAGAGATCTCCCAGAAGAAATTCGAATAAAAACCAATTCTCCCAGGTTGGTCGGTTTGCGTTTGCGCCGAGATCGTGTCAAGAGCCTCCATATTCGGATATCCGCGCCGCAACGCGTCTGAATTTTTTGTGATGAAAGACTTGAGCAATTCCTCGGGATTTTTGAGTCGCTCTTGGATTGCCTGGTCGGGGTTGACAGGAGATCGTCGATTTCGGATTTCATAGAAGTTGGCCGTACGATTGAATCGGCGAAGTGATTCTCGCAATTAAATCTGATGCTGCAATAATCCAGTTGTACGCTTAACATTTGGGTCACCTTTGGTACAACACCAAGAGACAAAAAAAAATTCCCGCGCCTTTGAACAAGGAGAAGTCTTCTGTCCCAGCGAGGAAATAAATGTCTTGAGAATCCCGTCAACGGCACCGGAGACTCGTCGTACTAACAGAGAAGAGTGTTTGAAATCTTTTGCGCAGCTCTCCAGGTTTCAAAAAATAAATTTGAACATGCCTCCTTGGAAACGCAAGATTGTGTCTCGTCACCTGGAAAAACCAGTGTTCCAGACGCTGCGTCAGGGCTAGAACCGACAGGTCACACCGTCACAGGTGTACCGCGCCGCTCCCTCCACCGCCGTTTTTGAACCCGATTATCCGGTATACTCGTTCCCCAAATCGTGTATCCGTGAACTACCAGAAAATCGTATGTCGACCGGGCTCATGTGTGACTGGTTTTGACCAGCCGCTCGGTCGTTGGACAATGAACGTCATGGACCCATGGTACAGTCTTTTTTGGTATTTTGCCACCGCGCGATCTCTGTACGCGCCAAAGCTCAACGGTCTGGAACGTCTGGACCGCATACCCTACGCATGCGCATAGAGCATTAGAACAAGAGTAGGTAGGGCGCAAAAACCTAGTCTTTATAGAACTTGTAGTGGGCCAATCGTCGACAACCATGGCTTGGACACCAAAAGTGTATATCTTCACCGGTTGAGCACTAGTCGGAGCTTCCATCCAGGTTTCATCTTGTAAAGTCTCGCTGAATCGTTTTCGCCCTTTGGTCTGGTATTTGAGCTAGTAATCTGGTCAACAACTTCTGTCTCTTTCTCCGCGACGTCATACGATGAGGATCGACTTAAAGACTGCACCGGGGGAGGGGGATAAATAATTCAAAAATACAAAATGCGTTCGACCTACACCTCGAGGAAGCGAAGAATTCGCGTTCACAAAACTTGCTATAAATCATGTTAGTCTCTAAAAGAGGGAAGATTGATAATCAGTAAACACGGACAGGAGACTTGGTTAAAGAAAAGTTTGATGCGCGGCACCGGGTTTGAACCAATGCTGTTTGGTTAGTGACATTCCGTATTCTGTAGAGATACTAACCTACTTTCTGCTTTTCAATAGTGATGGGAAGGCAATGAGTTGACCTCTACTCCAACCACTCTTCTGTAGCTTCTGGGCTGTTAATCTTTGGTTTTTTCTTCTCAATTTCGAGGACCCAGTAGCGAGGGGGCTTAAGAGGACGAGCGCATATTCGACACGGGGGCCGAGGTCGCCGTGGAAGTCTGCTGCGTATTCAGCGTTTCGGACTCTTATGTTTTCAGTCCGTTTGCAAATGAAGGTCCTGGGGCTGTTCCTGCGGCCTTACTTCGCAAAGCATCCTCCATGACCAAAGCCGCGTCGCTTCGGGAGCCAAGCACAAACGTATCTGCCACATACGAAGCGCAAGAAGCCGAATCTCAGATCCAACCTTGCCGAAATTTCCGGAGCCTTGGTCATCAATAATCGCCGGTCTACCAAACCCGCCTCGCTTCGATAGCCATTGGCCAAGGGTCAAACAAAAATCTGTCCTGCAAGCTGCGAGAGACCGACTGCCTCATACAGCCAGTGTCGACTTTTCCGACATCGAACGATCGCCGCCTGCCCATCTCTGCTAGGTCCGAAGTTGCGGTGTGAAGGGGCGATGCGTCTGAATCTTGCACGGCATGCTGTACGCAACAACTTTCCGAATGCCGTCGGCCTCGTGACATCCGCTTCTGATGTACACAATACTCTGAGTCTGGTCGCTCGCCTTTACTTCTGCTTTCGAGCTCTCAGCCTTTTTGCAAATGGGAAAGAAGTTAGAAAGTGCTTGCGGCGTTGAAGGTGTAGTTTGCAAGCATACAAAGCAATTGTTGTATAATCCCCGTGCTAATAACTTTATTCTTGTCAAAAATCGCCAACTTACATTCTCGCAACGGTCTGTTAGCAGAGGAAACAAAATGAAAATCCCCCGCCTTGAGTATTTCAACTTACTAGAAGCCGTCAACGACGACTAATCGACCTCAAAAGACCAGTGGTTCGTGCCTCGGGCCACTTACAGGATCTCTTGAAAGTTGAGAGTCTCGTGATTTGTCGCCAACCGGTGAAGACAAAGATTCAAAAGTCACTGCCAAGCTATGGCTTGTTTTTTCGGACTCGGTGCAAGGGCATGACGATCGCTCTTGTTTGCGAAGTCGAGTCACATTTTGAGGAACTAGCATGAGGGCTTCGAGACACTCTTGAGGGATGGAGGGAGGGTGTTTGTAGCCCTGCACTGGAACCGCCAAAAGGGGATGAAACAAGACGCATCGACCAACTCGGCAGAAATTGAGGGACTTTCTCTTCTCTCAAGCCTCGACAGTCACTTGGCCGTCAGCATCAGGCACGGAAGCAGTCTAGTGTCGATACAGATTGAGCCGAAGAAACGGTGCCGTGCCATCTGGTCGCGACGAAGTCTAGTTCTAGATCAAAGTCCGAGGTTTGGAGTTGGCGGCTACAGGAGCTTAGCTGAGAGGTTTTCAGGTCGGACCTCTATCCTTGCAACGACTGTAGGCTTGGCTCTCACGAACACAGCCCCCTCCGCAAGTCTAGGTACTTGTCTAGATCTGGATGGCTGTACAGATGCCGGTCTTCGGAGATAAGCTCATCCTGGTAAGGCTGCGCCCGAAGTGATGGCTTTGCGACCGGGCACGGCCGTGGGTCCCGAAGACGATGAGGGGGACAAAGTTAAGAACAGATCAGCCCGGCGAAAACGGCTGCTTCAACATGTTGAGATAGGACACTTCGGAGCCAAGGTTGGTTTGAAGTAGAAGCTCTTCTGCGCCCGCTTCGTCTGCATGGCGAATTTATGTTTGACTTTCGGCGGAAATTAGCGTCAGTGCATCCTGATCAGTAATCACAGCGAATCTTGACTGAGATTGGATGGCTGAACTGTTGACGACGTCTGAAGGGGAAGCTTGGGTAGTTGAACGTTTTCAGTTTTTCCCCTGTCCTGTTCGAGCGAGACCAGTTGGCCGGGCCGGTCAATACATCATTGCCCGGCCGTTTCGGTGAGCGAAGCCCCGTCCGGTTCGTTGGCTTCACCATACATCCTTTTTGGACGCGGAGGTTTTTTGTGCATCCACCTGACCCGACCCTGTCCAAACCAATTGTAGGGGAGCCCAACCGAGACGAACCACTGCGTCCACAGTCCGACAAGCTCATTCTTTAAGGTTTAATGAACCACAAAAAATGGGCGGACATGACTGGGTACCCCTGCATCGAATCCCAGCACCCCATGCCCGAAGCTGCCGAAGACGACAGCACAGGTCCCAAGTGCCGGGCAGAGCAATCAAGGTATTATTCGTAAGTAAGATACCTGCCTCCCTAGTGGTTCCACACTGCTTTTCAATGTCACTTCACAGCTGGTTGAAGGAGGCTAGGACATGATCGAAAGAGGGACATAGAAACCTAGAGCGGTTAGCCTTTTTCTCTGAAGCCAAGTCATTTCGCAGGCCTTCTCTCCAGATTCTTCTTCCCGACCTTGACAACCGGACCACGCTAGGTCGACTACGGTGTGCCAGGTTCTACTTTTCCTCAGCCTTATTATGTCGTGAAATCTACCACATCCACGTTGCTCACACAAGCATCAAAACCTCTAATACTTTGCAATCATGGGTCTCGGCGTTCTCGAGTCCAAGGCCTTGGACCATGTGCCAGGTGAGTCGTTGTGCGCGCGACCGCCTCCTCGCGCGTCTTTCAACGCTCTGCCCGCATTGTCCTCCTGTCATCCCATAGCTGACGGCCGTCAAAACTCCAGGGACGACGCGCTACTTCGACGACCCAAACCGTCCCCAGAGAGCGACCGACACTCATCGTGGATTGAAAGTCGACGCGAGCGGCGATGTGCCCATCATCCTGGTGAGCTGCCGACAGGACGGCTTCTGCGACACCCTCCGCGAACCCTGCTGACTACGAGTCCTCCAGGTCCCTCAACCCTCCGATGATCCCAACGATCCCCTCAATTGGCCCCTCTGGAAGCGAGATCTCATCACCCTTGTGCTTTCCATCACCGCCATCTTTGCGACCGCGCTCGGCCCTATCCTTGCGGCGAATACCGTTACGATTGCTCTCCTCTTCCGCACTAGCTTCACTCACATGGCCCTCCTGACTGGATACTTCCTTCTCGGAGCCGGTGCCGCAGCCATCTTCTTCGTCCCCTCTGCGCGTGTCTGGGGCAAGCGCCATCTCTTCATCCTTGGAATATGTATCCTCATTGCCTCATCTGGGTGGGCTGGTTCTGTCGGTACGAGCTACAACTCGCTGCTTGGCGCCCGCATTGTCCAAGGCGTCGGATGTACTCCGTTCGAAACGCTCGTAAATGCTGCTGTCGGTGATTTGTACTTCGTTCACCAGCGCGGCTCCCGAATGGCCTTCACTAATCTGGCAGTTTTCGGCGGCGCCTTCTTCACCCCCATTGTGGTTGGCAAGATCACTCACAGCATCGGCTGGTGGTGGACGTTTTACTTGGAGGCCATTTTCTGCGCCGTGTGCCTTCCCGCCGTCTTCTTCCTTTGCCCAGAGACGGCTTACCGTCGGGACACTGGGCTCAACACGGACATGGTCGCTCAATCCATCGAGCTTACGGATAACAAGTCATCTTATATGGACGGACCGGGTAGCAGGTCCAGCGACCAGGAGAAATTAGACCCCACCTCGGCGACGTTTGGATCAGGCCTGGAGGCTAGGCAAGGAGCTCAAATTCCGAAGAAGACCTTCGTTCAATCGCTCGCCTTATTCGATGGCCGCAAGACGGATGAGCACTACTGGAAACTGCTTCTGCGCCCCTTTCCGCTCTTCGTTCAGCCCGCATTTCTCTGGGGATGCCTGATTCAAGGCACCATGATCGGTTGGACCGTATTCATCGGCGTCATTGTTGCTGCCCTCTTCCTGGGACCTCCTTTCTACTGGAATGAGGTCTATGCAGGATACACCTATGTCGGTGCTTTTGTGGGAGCTATCGTCGGCTTCATCATTGCCGGCGCATTCTCCGACTGGAGTGCCAAGTTTTTGACTCGCCGCAACAATGGCATCTACGAACCCGAGTTCCGCATTATCATGGTGCTCCCCATGTTCATCATTGGTACCATTGGACTGTACGGCTTTGGCATCACCTCTGCTGGGCTTTCAGCCAGGGAGTACCATTACAGCGTCCCGCTCGTCTTCTTCGGCTTTGAGGTAGCTGGTATGGTGATTGGCACTGTGACCAGCTCCTTGTACATTGTCGACGCCTACCGCGACCTGGCCATCGAAGGCTTCACTATCATGATCGTATTCAAGAATATCTTCAGTTTCGGTCTCACATACAGTGCTTATGATTGGATCATTGCGGGTGGTATCAAACCTACCATGATGGCCATTGCCAGTATCCAGGTTGTTGTTTGCGCCCTGAGTATTCCAATGTGTAAGTTCATGAACTCTCACTCCGCATGTGCCAGTGAGCTAATGAAAACGTAGATTTCTATGGCAAACGTGTCCGCGCTTACTTCCATCAGCATGATCTGCTCAAGTTGACTGGTTTGCGTTGAGCGACCAGCACCCTCTCATCCTTGTCTTGTTCGATCTATCACCCAACCCAGAGAGACACCTACCTCCTTCTTTTATTGTAGGCTTCTCAAAGGGGCTAGTAGCCGTCCGAACACTCATGGCCGAGCCGCGAATACGCCATCGGGCACGGAATATACTTGAGACCTCCCATAGTATCATATAGTAATGCCTAGTCACGTTTAATGCACTCAGGAGGCCACTTGATGAATGTGAACAAGCAACGGCATGTTCGAGAGTTTTACCCTCTTCGTTTTGCCCGTTTTGTGCCGCTACTAATTGTAGTCTTACTTCCGACGCTATGACGGACGGGAGGATATTTTGTGCCTGTGGGCATGTTGGATCCCGGCGAACGGACGCGCATAGTCTGGGGTGGGATGAGCCTTTCCACGGATGGACGCCCGCCTCCGCGATGTCTCGGTTTGGGGAGTTTGTCCTCGCCCGCTTCCACTCCGGCCGATCGGTTCATTGGAAGACATCTCGCGATACAGATCGATGATGAGATGGTAATATCCAAATAGTCTCATATTTTCATTGCCATATTGCTAGAGGGTTCAAGTGCGTATATGCTATGCTATGCTTTGCTTGCAATGCTGGTGCTAAACAAATGTTGATTTCTCACTGACATTGCTGGTTTCCCGTACCGGAGGAAATACACCATACAACATTCATGAACCATCCATTACCTTTCCTTGGTGTTCCAATGACTCTTTGCGATGAAATCTTCTATGCGTTTTGGGCATATATGTCAAACCATGTCGTCGAGGTTCTTCTTTTACTTCGCAAAGTAATATTTCAAACAAAGATCCAAACAAAGTGATGCCATCCGACATAAGGGGGAAAAAAATAAGAAAACGAAAATCATACAACGCTCGCTGGCATCCATTCATACACGTCATTTGTCGTAGTCTCTTCAGCCAGTCAGCTTCCTCCACCAGCTACTCCGCGGCGTCGCCGTCGTGTCGGAGAACATGGCCTGCCGACGTCGCTCGTCGCTCCCTTCGGAGCCGCCGCCGCCGACGCCGCCGCCGCCGCCTCCACTGCCACCGTACCGACGCTCACGCTCCTCGCGCCGGGCTCTGCGGCGGCGGTCGTCGGCTTCATCAGCGGTGCCGTCCTCGTACCTGGCCTTACGACGGCGCTCGCGGCGCTCGCGGCGAGCCTCATCCTCGGTCTGTGGGATGGCGTCTGTCTGTTGTCCCCCGTCATCCGGAGGCGGGCCGGCATCGGTGTGCTCCTTAACCCAGGATGAAGTTCCGGAGTGGGGCCACGCCGGCTTAGACTCTTCATTGCGTCTGTACCGGTGTCGCGATGAGTGCATGACCTCATCCCCCGACTCACGGTGTCTTCGGCTGCTACGGTGGTACATCTCTTCCGCATCGGTCGCTTCGGCTGCGGTACGCGCAGCACGCCTTGCTTCTTTCCTGGCCCTACGGACTTCCTCTTCGTCGATGGGCGCCGCATCACGATCGCGGGCCTCGCGCGCTCGTCGGCGTTCTTCCCGAGCTGCGCGTCTAGCCTCCGCGTCAGCCTCCGCCGCAGCGGCGGCTTCACGCTCTTTTCGAACTCTTCGCCGTTCGACGCGCTCGGCTTCTCTATCCTCGGCCATTCTCCGTTCCTCTTCATCGCGTTGGTCACGGTGTCCGCGTGAGCGAGCCGCGCGCCGTTCTGCACGCTTTAGCTCCTTATCCTGTTGCCTCCGTCCTTCGGCATCCTCCTCTTCCCTCCTGCGGCGGCGCTCGCGCCTGGCCTCTTCCTTGGCGGCACGACGTGCCTCTTCGGGATCCGGCTCGGCAATTTCAGGCTCAGCTTCGGCATCCCTGGCTGCACGACGAGCACGACGGGCAGCGCGACGAGCCTCTTGGTCCATATCAGTCATTGCTGCCGGATCTGCCTCGTCCGCATCGGCAGAAGACCGTTGACGGCGTTCGCGTCTGGTCTCATCATCGGTCGCATAGGTATGTCGTCTTCGCAACGGGTCCGGACGCTCTGTCTTTGGTGTTCTGAGACCACTGAACAAGCCCCCCAGGCCCTTTTTGGCACTTGAGCTGGATCGTTTCATGGGGGGTGGCTCAGAAGGGCCGTCGGGGTCCACCATAACAAGGTCGTCGTCTTTGGCGTATCTGGATCGTCGACGTGATGACTTGGGAGGGCTGACGTCCTCGCCATCTCCATTGGCACCGACCATGACGATGTCTTCATCCACAATACGATCACGCTTGCGGTGTCTGCTGCTGGACTTGTCGACACCGAGGACTTTGGCGGCTTTGGAAGACATTGGAGGCGCATCCTCTGGAGGTGGGGACACCAATCCAGTAGCGTCGACCGAATGGCGACGAGACGGCCGATGTCGTCGGTCCCGGGTAGATGTTGTCCGGGAAATGGGCGGGGTGCTGAACATGGACATGAGTTTCGGCCGAGCCGGTGCTGGTGTGTCAACGCCTTTCTCGGTATGGTCGCCCTTGCCGGAGCTTGAGCCTTTGGATGAAGTCTTCACTTCCTCCTTGTCGACGTATGTGTGTTTCCTTTCACGTCTCTCAGATTTTGACTTGGACTTCCGCTCTCTGTCGCGATCGCGGTCGCGATCGCGGTCGCGGTCTCTCTCCTTCTCGCGAGGTGAAGCCGACCACATGCCCCACGAGGAACCCTCCCGGTTGATCTTAGCCCGGTCCTTCTTGCTTGACTTCGGCTCAGGTGGAGGCGACATAGGCTCTTCCTCGGCGGCAGGTTCTTCTTCAGGCGCAGGGGCTTCAGGAGCTTCAGGGACGGCCGGAGGAGGTGGTGGAGCTGGTGGAGGAGGGACTTCCTCAGCGAAAATATCCCTGTCTCTATTCTTCTTACTCTTCTTCTTCTTCTTCTTCTCCACTGGCATTTCAATCACTTCGATGATCTCGTTCTCATCCTCTTCGATAGGGAAAGCTCCGGGTGGCTCCGAAGGCTTGTTCTCGTCAGCTGGTTCTTCAACGTCGACTAACTGTGGCTCCTCAACAACAGGCGGTGGCGGTGGCGGTGGCGCGGGTGCAGCTTCGGCACGCTTCTTCTCCTTCTTCAGCCGCTTCCTCTCCTCCTTCGTCAAGGCGACTGGAGGAGGAGGAGGCGGTGGTGGTGAGGGTTCCGGGTCCTCGGGCGGAGGGTCCTCCGGGGTCGCCTCTTCTGGTGCTGGCTCCTCAGGAGCAGGTTCCTCTACAACAGGCTCGGGTTCGTCTTCTGGCGGCGGGATCGACTCAAAAGCTTTTAATCTGTCAGTAATCTTGGTTCCTTTGCCCTTACGAGCCGTAGACGATTGCATCCAGGTCGGGGCTTCGTTGTTTATGGCGGATGAGGTAGTCGTGTCATTCCAGCCGAGATTCGCACCTTCTAGACCTATGCAAAGATGAGTCAGCAGTGCAATTTCGGGTGATGTCCATTGAGGCGTTTTATTTCAATAGGCTTGGTGAGACTTGGTGGTGTGGTGGTGTGAAGGGAGATTGGTTACAAGCCTAAGGCCACATACCTTTCTTAGGTTTCTTAGTGCCAACGCCCCAGAAACTAAACGCATCGTTGGATGGCTTGGGTTCAGGCGCCAGGGGTGGCGGAGGAGGAGCAGCTTCAGCAGGCTCAGGATCAGCCAGGAGCTCTTCGATTTGGTCCTCGGTCAGCTCGATATCGGCCAGCTCATCCTCCTTGTCAACGTCCTCAGCTGGCGCCGGTTCCGGCTCCGGCTCCGGCTCCGAGTCCTTCTCCTTGTCCTTGTCTTTGCTTTTTTTGTCTTTCTTCTCCTTCTTCTCCTTCTTCTCCCTCTCCTTTTCCTTCTCCTTGTCTTTCAATTTCGATTTGGACTTGGAATCTTTCTCGGTTTTGGAGCTTTTCTTCGCCTTCTTTTCGGCCGCTTCAGCTTCCTCACGCTCACGCACCGCCTGCTCCTCGGCTTCCTTAGCAGCAGCTTCTTCGGCCTCCTTGGCCAGTCGCTCTTCCTCTTCGACCCGAGCGGCTTCCTCAGCTTCAGCAGCGGCAGCGGCTTCGGCGGCTTCGGAATCCGCAGCAGCTTGGGTTACAGCGACGCGTTCGTCAATAGAAGCCTTGAGTGTGTCGTATATACCCTGATCCTTCTTGGTCAACTTGCCCTTTTTGAGCTTCTTGGCCTCCAAGGCAGCGAACTGCTCCTCCTCTTCCGCAATTCTTGCAGCTTCCTCCTCCTCGATTCGCGCCTTCTCCGCCGCCTCAGCGGCCTCGGCTGCTGCCGATTCCTCTGCTTCCCGGGCAAGGCGTTCCTCCTCTTTTTTGGCGGCTTCCTCAGCAGCGGCGGCAGCTGCGTCCTCCTCCTCCTGTGCTTTTCGCGCTGCCTCTTCCTTCTCTGCCTTCTTCTTTTCTTTCTCGAGCTTCTTGAGCTCCTTCTCGCTCAGCTTGGGCTCTTTCTTGGACTTCTCCTTCTCCCTTTCCTTGTCCTTATCCTTGGATTTGGACTTGGAAGAGGTCATGTCTCCCCAAAAGCTGGATTTTTCTTTCTCAGGTTCTGGTTCTGCTTCAGGCTCAGCCATATCCAATGAGGGAGGTGTGGGAGCTTCTGGTGGAGGGTCGGCAAGTATGTCCTTACGGTTCTTAGACTTCTTCTTGGAGGATCCCCAGGCGGCCCAGTCATCGTCGTCGCCTTTGTCTTTGGTCTCCTCGACGGAATCCGGCTGTACGAAATCCGCGTCGGCCTCCTCGTCCACGACTTCAATGGGCTCATTCTTGGATTTGTCCTTTTTCTTCTTGGAAGAGGAGGTTCCCCAGATGTCATCTGTAGGTTCCTCAATCGCATCGGGCTTCATAGAAGCGCCTTCGGCGTCGGCTCCCTTCTTCTTCTTGTCCTTCTTACCGATGTTCCAGGAGCTGAAGAAGCCGTCGCCATCCAGGGGGTCTGAAATGTCTGGCGCGGCCGGAGGAGCTTCCTCAGCAGGGGTAGCCTCATCCTCACCGCCGAACTCAACCAGGGCCATGGCGTCTTTCTTCTTCTTCTTCTTGTCTGACTTGCTCAAACCGGCCCAGTCATCCTCTTCGGCTGCTTCAGCCTTGGGTTCGTCGGCTTCCTTACTCTTCTTCTTCTTCTCCTTCTCTTTCTCCTTCTCCTTATCCTTATCCTTATCCTTCTTGGAAGAAAGACCCCAGATACCCCAAGAGTCTTCTTTAGATTTTTCAGCTTCGGGCTCCTTCTTCTTCTTCTTGTCCTTTTTCGAACCAGTAGCAGACGCCCAGAAGTCATCGTCTTCCTTCTTTTCTGGTTCTGCCTCCGCTTCCTCGGGAGGGTGATCAGGTACAGGCTCCGGTTCAGGTTCGGGATCCGCCACTTTACCCTTCTTCTTCTTCTTCTTTTCCTTCTCAGAAAGGCCGAAGCTCGCCCAGTCGTCTTCCACCGGTGGTTCTGGCTCTGGATCAGCAGCAGGGGGGTCGGGGGCAGGTTCTGGAATGGGTTCCGGCTCGGGATCGGCAATCTTGCCCTTCTTCTTCTTCTTGTCTTTCTTGGAAGATCCTCCTATGCTGGCCCAGAAGTCATCTTCTGCTGGCTTCTCCGGTTCCGGTTCAGGCTCCGGTTCTGGCACTGGCTCCGGTTCAGGTTCCGGTTCCTTAGGAGGCTCAGGATCGGCAAGCAGTCCCTTCTTCTTCTTTTTGTCCTTCTTGGAAGTGAAAGTACCGAAGCCCCATGGATCGTCCTTCTTCTCCGGCTCCGGCTCCGGCTCCGGCTCAGGAACGGGAGGCGGTGGAGGAGGAACAGGTTCGGGCTCTGGGTCAGCTTTGCCCTTCTTTTTCTTCTTGCTGGCCTTGGTTGTGACACCCCATCCAAAGTCGTCTACAGCTGCTGCTGCCTTAGCAGCTTCTGCTGCCTTCGCTGCCTCTTCAGCCTCTGCTGCTTCTTTGGCTGCTTGTTCTTCAGCCTCCTTTGCTAGTCGCTCCTCCTCTTCCTTACGGACTGCCTCTTCAGCTGCGGCGGCGGCGGCAGCCTCTGCTTCAGCAGCAGCGGCGGCTTCAGCGGCTTTAGCAGCTTCGACCTCGGCGGCGGCGGCCGCCGCGGCCATCTCCTTCTTCTTCTTTTTCTTCTGTGAATTGGTCATGCCCGCGAAAGGATCGACAGGCTCCGGCTCCGGCTCCGGCTCCGGCGCTGGCGCGGGTTCCGGTTCGGGTTCCACCGACGGTAGGGGATCTGGTTCCGGGTCGACTAGGCCTTTTTTCTTCTTCTTTCCCGATGATGTTCCCCAACTCCAAGGATCCTCTTGGGCAGCTGGCGGATCGGGAACCGGCTCAGGCACAGGCTCAGACACCGGCTCCTCCTTATTCTTCTTCTTACCAAGTCCCCAGGTATCCCAGATATCATCCTTCAGCTCCTCTTTGGGCGGATCTAGTTCGGACTCCTTCTTGCCTTTCTTCTTGGTGGTGGTACCCCACGAACCCCATGGGTCGTCTGCAGGTGCTTCCTCCTTGGATAGTTCAGGAGCCGTCTCCTCTTCCACCGGCGCATCCCAGATACTGCCCTTCTTCTTCTTCTTGTCCTTCTTGGAAGTCACAGTGCCGAAGCCCCAGTGGTCATCTTTCTTCTCCTCTTCTTGCGGTGGGTCGGGAATTGGTTCCGGGTCAGCGGGTGTTTCGTCGCCGAAGCTGAACCCGAGCGTCGTGCTTTTCTTCTTCGGCTTCCCGCGGTTAATGCCCCACGGATTCGAATCAATCTCTTCCTTTGGTTCTGCTGGCGTGGTCGCGGCTGCATTCTTGTTAGCTCCAGACCAATCCCACGTGTTCCCTAGACCCGTGCCTGTTGTCCAATTTGTACCCAAACCCCAATTAAACCCTGACTTCTTGGTGTCCGTTGTGCCGAAATTGATGTCGAGCGTTTCGTTGCCGCCGCTAATGTCGTCCAGTTTGATTTCATCGAACGAATCAGGTGCCGCTTCGTCGCCCTTTTTACCCTTTTTCTTAGACTTCGTGGCTGTGAGGCCCCAGTCATCTTCTGGGGGCGGATCGTCTGCCGGTGGTGATGTCTCCTTGTCGCCCGCATCGCCGTCGCCCGCGGCACCACCGTCGTTACCTGCGTCACCGCCTTGATCGCCTCCATCGCCAGCGCCTTCGTCCTCTTTCTTCGAGCCGTCGTCATCGTTGTTATTATTGTTGGCGGCCGGAGCCTTGGCTGGCGCCTTCTTCTTCTTCTTCGCTGCTTGCATGAATCCTTCCTCGGAGCCAAAGTCAATGAGAAAGTTATGTGTGGGATCGCTGAATATGGCGTTGCCGTTACGCCGTTGTCGCTGTTCAGTGTTCAAAGACTGGGGATGGGTGAAGAAGGAAGAGTCCGATGGTCGTCGACTTGTAAGACCACCAGTATTTGTCGGGTCCATGACATGCTCTAACGGCTCAGACGGTTCCGAGGGCGGCTCAAATCGTCGCAACCATCGCGGGCCGCATTCTGGTGCTTTCAACGGAGTTGAAATGGTGCATGTGGTTTTGAGAGGTTGACGATGGGATGAAATCTAGGGAGGTCAGCGGATCAGATTAGCTCATAGGTTCATCTGAAGGCATGTATTAGTGGAATGGGGGTGAGACGGCGTCATGCCCCTCACGCCCCCCGACTCCGTCCCAAAGCTTCCGGACCAGCCAAGGCAGCATTGGGCAAGCCGTTAGACTTGGGACGAGCGCTGAGGCGTCCAGGTTGGAACGGCGCCGGCGCGCACAAAATTCCAGAATAGATAGGAATTGGAGAAAACCATGACGGTAGACGAAAAAGTCTCGGGTCATACCTGAGCATTGTGTGAAGCGAATTCCCAAGCGCGAGCGATCAAGCGCAAGCGGATGCGCACATCATCCTCAGCCCAGCCAGTCGTCGATTGCTGGATTGACGTCCATCGGTATGCGCCTTCTGCCCACCCTAATGGGGAGAATGTCGAAACCGCGGCCGCAGCCATGTTGAGAAGTTGAGCTCGTGGTGCGACAGCTTGGTGTGAGAATCATGGAAGCTGGATAAGTTCGGAGGAGAGGAACGACTGAAGACAATATATCGGGTGCAGCTCGTGGTTTTGGTCGTGATCGTGATCGTAGTCGTCGTTGTACGCAGGGTGGTACCGGGATAGCAGGCAGGTTCGCGTTGGTGGGATGAGGGGGCGGGTTGATGAAACAAGAGTTGGGTAGGATGTGCAAGGAGTCCGCCTGCAGGTATAAATCTCCAGACTGTGTATTCGTACGACCAAGGCAAACTGAGACAGGTGGTGCAAGTCAGTAGGGAGGAAAAGAAAAACACAGAGACTGCGAATATAGTGGGAGGTGGGATGGTAGGTACGGCTGGACGGAAAAGCGACGGGGGCACTTTGCGCTACGCGGCGCAAGGACCTGGGACCTGGGGTGATTAAGGGTAAGGTGAATTGGGGGCTAGGGGAGAAGAGGGACGGACAAGACATGGCAGGGTAAAATACACTTGCCTCTCTCTTCTACTTTTTTTTTCCCGTCTCTGTCTACAGGTATGTTCCTGGTCCCCTGTTCAGAATTGCCGGAGAGTTGGACGATAACGGGCCAAGTGGGAGCGATAGCAGGGATGTAGCTTTTGGTGTCACAGCTCGAGAGGTCGCCGTCGTCGCGTTTGATCACAGGGAAACTGGTCCCGAATTGAAGCTGACCTCAGAAAGAGTTCAATCCGCCGGCCTCTTTTTGCATTCGACTACAATCCTCAGGCTGTCCTTCGCTCTCGCTCGTTTTTCCGACAGTCTGACTCTCCCTGGTGGAGGTGAGGTCAAATCTGTCACACAGAGAAAAAAGGAGCAATAGGAGGGCTGGATATGACCCGAGAGAAAAGGAGAAGAGAGTTTAAAAAAATAAATAAAAAAAGGATTTCTTACACGCCCCTTCCTTCGCAGGGAGCCAATGGGTCAGCACGTTGACGCTAGATCGTCGCGGCGAAGGCGAATAGGCGGATGGATGTGGTTGCAGACCGGCAGATATCTTGCAGGAGGCAGGCAACGACGGCCACAGCCTGCAGCTGGGATTGGTGATCTCCTCGAGGTCGTGCTTTGCTTGGTTTCGAGTCGTGAGCTGAGCGAAGTATTCCGTACTTGTTCGGAGATGCGATTCGGATGGGGATGTAAGGTGTCGTCGTCCTAACGTCGAGCCCGGGCCCGGCCAGCCAGACTTTGAGGCAATTCACCTAGGTATGTAGTTAGTATACAATATGTTACCTTGCCGACCACCTTTCAAGACGAAAAATTCGTCTTTCTGTCCTCTTCTTCAACCAGATTTTTGCCCTGTCGTGCAACACGGGGACGACGCAAGTATAGGAGAGACAGGTTGGAGAAACATGGGCGGCGGCGGCGCCTTGTATACAGGGGAGGTATACACAAGAAGTGATGGGAGGTATCCGTGGTCAACAATCCAAACGAGGAATAATTAACAAGGACAAGGTAAGGTGAGTCTGGCTGCAGACAGAAAAGCACAAAGTCAGTACCTACCTTATGTGCGGTAAAGTTAAAGCGAGGTAAAGGTAAGGCAGGCCGAAAGAATAATTATGGATATTGATGCTGTATGCATGTCTATGCGATCCATCCGCCCAGCCATGTCCCATCCATCCATCCATCCATCATTCATCCCATCGGGCAGGAGTCAATCCACACGCTCTCATGGCGTCTCAGTCTCCTCATCGTTGCCCCTCCGTCTCCTCCGTCTGTCTGCTGCTGTTCCCGCCCCCATCGTTCGCCGCCTTGCTTTCTCCTGGCCCGCTGCGTATGTGTGTGCGTGTGCGTGTGTGATGTACATGGCGATAGACCCCGAGCAACGGCACGGCATGGTCCATACCTAGGTAATGGATACCTTGAGTTGCTTAGCCCGGATGGGGGAGGAGGTGCCACGGCAAAAGCGCAGCAACCCACCATCAGTAACTAATACTCTGCGAATCTGCAAAAGGTGGTGATCCCTGGCAGTGTGGTCGGTTATGAGGGGCGGCTTCGGCGCCTCATTGGCCGAGTCAGTGTGATATGGACCGTCTCGAGAGCCGGCAACCCCTGCACGCCGGCGTCGTTTGATTCAATTCACACCACCTGCACCGCGACCCCTCCCTCCTATTCAGCCTGCCGCCCAGGTGATGCCATTTCTCCAGGATGCCGTCCACTCCAAGTGGGCAGTACACTTTCACTACAGAGTACACGATGCGGGAACCACGAGAGGGGACCTGAATTTTTAGGTAACCACGAGGTCAGCAGGTTCTGGACGCTCGAATGCTCGTCACACTTGTTTCCGAGTGTTGACATCAGGCGTCTGACTGTTGAAGAGGCAGCGAACCGGGTCTGACATAGGTTGAGGAGCAGCGACTGGGTAAGGGAGGGAGGGAGATGGAATAGATGGCGGGGAACAGAAAAGGCACCGGACCAGAGGTAAAACGCCCTTGCCGCCACCAGGTGCTTTGAGGTACATTCCTGACGGGGGATACAACGATACCCACCTCACCTTACCTCAGATCGGTAGGCGATAATAGATACCGCCTTCCCCTTCTCTTTGCAGCTTTTACGTGGAATTGCTGCTTCCCTGGAGTATCGTGGTTGACAAAACAGACCCGACAGCTGTGTCTGGCTGGACTCGGGTTCCTAGACTAGCAGGACCCTACGCACCTGCGTTGGCTCTCTTGATCCCTCTTCCCTGCTGCGAAAACTCGCCACATCAGCCTTTGTCCCGCTTCGGTCTTCGCTGCTGCCACATGTTAGTTTCCCTTCCCGAAACCACGGTCTTCCATGCTGTTCACGATGACGCGCTGCTGTCACCCACACGACTTCACCACCGCGGTCCACCGTAGGAAGACAGAGGGAAATCTCTTCCTGCTCAACTGTCACATCCAATTCCAACCGCGCCGAATTCCTGTGTATCACAATTCCCTGTCAAAAGCCCTTATCCGGTAACACCCGGATGACCTTGCCCTGCCTCGGAGTTGATTCTCTGCGCACCAGTCTGCCCGGTGCTCGAATCCTCGCAGCCATATAGGTATAGCCTGCCTGGTTGACGGTCCATTTACTTCGCCTAAACCGCTCAATCGCGGAGGTACATAGTCCTCCGGCCACTTGCCTCCAGCCGCCCATGTACCTCCATATTAACACCGACCCCACCGAGCACGGGGTCCATTGAGAGTCAACTCCCCCAAGCATTCACAACAACCTGCGGCATACGGGATTGGGCTTTGAAGAGAGGGTGTGTAGCCATGCCATTGATTTCATTGATGACTGGCAGACGCGACCTATGCAGCTGCATCTAAAGGGCAAAGCATGGAATGCAGGCGCATCAAGCTAGCGGGGGAGGAAAAAAAGAAAAGCGGCCACATCATGTCACCATGTCCATCATCACTCGGTCCCTACGCCAACTACCACATCCAGACCGTTCCCTCCCATCTGGGCCGCCGTGACGGAAGCGGGACGAACCCAAGTCAGGGAAGAAAAGGGAGAAGCCGCCGTCAGTCGACGAGACGTTGCCATGCGGACAACGGCTCGGCCAGCCTGCTAGCATCGATGCAGCGATGCATCAGGTGGTGAGGTATCGATACATTACCGACTGGGCAGCCATGCGCCTATCAGCATGGGACGACCTCTCCCAGGCGTGGTATTCGTACCTTTCCGCATACGAGGACCCCATCTGGCATCTGTACGATGGCCGATGGCCGTCTAATCATCGTCGAACCAGCGCCAGCAGCCTGCATCTCGACGGGTGAGCTCGCTGGGCCGGTTGCTGGGCTGAGCTGCGCGTCGGGAGCTAACAGGGCCCTCATGCACATTCCAAGTCTGGCCCTGTCTGAGGAGGTGCGACCGCATCTGTCTACTGGATCGTTTCGTCTACACGCGTGCCACCTCCATCATCGCATGGCGCATCTCTATCCACTCATCCATCGAGCATCGCCCAAAGTGGTATGGTGGCCCCTTCACCGCTTCAACTTCTCAACCCACCTTTGGGCGAACTTCGCACCAACCAGCCACACCGAATTATCATTCTGGGCCTTGGAACTTTGGGAAAGCCGCAGATTTCCATCGCTTTTATCTGTTGTCAATGACGGAGTAGATGGAGGCGGACAAGACAACCTCAACACTAAACAAGAAATATGTCAGTTTGGGATGCCCGGCATAACGCAAGCAGAGACCCAAAGGCAACAATTCGCTTGTGTGACTGTACTACCTTAGAGCACAATGAACACCGGAGGAAAAGCAGCAACCATGCACACGACAAGAAAAACTGCCTCTCCCTGATGGCCTCCCGGCTTACTTTTCCAGCATCGATCGATTGCCACGCAGATGTGGGACGGTGCAGGCCATTTAGGATGGACCATGAGCATCTCGCGGCTTCTTCTGGCGGTCAGACCTGAGCCGGCTACGGTTGGCCACCAAGACGACGGCCATGGCCTTTGGTCAGGTTGAAACTATGGGTCGATGGAGAGGACAACGCAGCAAGATGCAATATCACTGACTTGGTTAGCTGCAGACTCGACTCAGTCTGCTCCAGAACCTTGCCGACCCTCTCAAAAGCCTCCCAAGTTCATGCCAGGCTTTCGTCTCCGCCTAGATCAGCAGTCGTCGTCAAACCGACAGCTCCGAATTGTTTCCAGGATCCGAATTTGTTTGTTGGAGTCAAAGACTTGCATCAGTAGCTGCCGCCTACGGAAGCTCGATGAGGCCGCATAGTCAGGTCGTGTGACGTTGATTCAGAGACAGTTACAGAACATCGTTCTCTGGGGTAAAGAGGCCAGCAAAAGAAGGAAGCTACAAATCTGCCCCAGCCGGAGGAGTGCCACCATAATGGCAATAACCAAAGGTAGGCTTCCGAACGATCCACGGCTGGTCGTCCTGCGTTTCTCTGCTTTCCTTTCCCGCTTCGAGATCAGTCTTTGAACTGGACAGTTTCGGTGGCGATTCCTAGATTCAACAACATCTTCATGTTAGGATTCTTGAGGACCTTGCAGGCCTTTTTGTGGCCCTTGGCCTCCCAAGCCGTCTTCTGGCAAGCCTACAACTCGTCAGCAGATGTGTTTGCATGAAACCTCACAACACTACTTTAACGTACCGCATCGCAATAGTAGTAATAGCCGCAGCCGCCGCACTTCTTGAGCTTCTGGCCTTTCTTGTCACAGGCATGGCACTGCTGAGTTCCCTTTCTCTCGTCAATTCCTCGAGTGTACTTAATGAGCTCTGTGTTCAAAAGGTACAAGTCTGCCAATTTGATGGGAAAGGCCTAATGTGCCACGCTTGTCAACAAGATGCCGTTGAATAAGACTATGGATGAGAGGACTGACCCGACAAGTCTCTAGCTTCTCCACGCGAATGCCATCGGTTTGATCCAAGAAAGTTTTGGATTTGGCGTTCAGTATTGCAATAGTGTGTCCGACCTTGTACGGACGAGGATCGACCGGCACACCTTGGCCTGGGTAAAAGGCGACAACGAAGTCTCTTTTGTTTTCGTCGCTACAGACCAGGCGCAAGCGGATAATGGTCTCGGCTTCTATAATCTCGGCAAAAAGACACCAGTTTATCGTGTCGTTGAAATAGCCTTCATCGTGGTGGAAACTGACTTCATCGTCAACCTGATTAAAACGAGGAAAAATATGGTCCTTTGAAAAGTCGCTGTAGGTCTTGATCATTTTTTCAATCGGCGTCTCCACTTCGAAGTCTCTCGCGGAGTTCATGGTGGTCTTTTCTTGGGTGATGCTTGACAACGCCGCGCCTGGAACCGAGCTTGCAAGTTGCAAACAACATCAATGTAATGGGGCGATACGCCGCGCCGTTGGGAGGATGGTCTCTCTCTCAATGATAAGCATCAGCCACAGCCACCACGCTGATTCAGGGTCCAATGCCCGGCTTCTCTGTTGTCCCGGGGGTTGGACCTTAACTGGAGCTCCCAGCCTTCCGCAGGCATTCCGAGGCACTGGCTCCTTCGCCAGGGGTTAATAATAGTATCACGATTCACGACCCGTTTCAGCTTTCTCCCATCCTTCAACATTGGAGTGCCATTGTTATCCATTGGCAGATTACACTACAGTGCTACACTTCTTGCTACCAGCGTCAGCAGGCTCAGACAGCCTCAAAATCTCACGCGAACCTCTACTAGCCAATACCAGCCGGCCCTTGGAGCAATCCTGAGCCTGCTATTCCCTGCACTAGCTGCTAGATCCGGCAAAGCTGCCATCCGTGTTTGCTAACCTTCCCAGCGGCCCCAATCCTTTAGGTGACGTCGTTTTTGGGCGGATTTGTTTCCCTGTTTGCTTCAGCCTTCACACAGACAAACTTGGGCATCAGATGCCAGTGCCTTCCTCACCCTGTCCGCGGTGGGAAAGTCGGGACAACCGCCCCCTTGCGGGAACAGACCATCAGATGAAACAAAAGACGTCCTGCCACCACCCCCTCCTCCGACTAATCACCTGTTCCTTGCCTTCTTTCTGTTCCACGCAGGAAACGTGGTTCATCATAGAGGACAAAGTTTATTTCCTCCCGATCCCCCACGTTCTCGAGACAAGAGAAGACGCGGATCCCATCTCTGCTGATCCTGAACCAGACAGGGAAGCAAGCTGACTATGATATCGGACTTTTGAGGCGCACGACAGACACCTTGCCATTTTCGTCAGTTTGCACAACTTCTTTCTTGCTGTCAGCATATTTATTTGCTATACCACTCCCAGACACCAGACGACTCACCAGTTCCCGCTGTCATACTGTCATACAGAGTCGTTCAACAAAACCAACACACAAAAGGGAGTTGTCAGTCGCCCACGGCCCCGTCCCCCGTCAGCGACATCTGGGGGGTTACTACCGACCAGCGGGAAATCTGAACCCGACCACCAAAAAAAAAAAAAAAATACAACATCAAAGAAACGATGCCTGCCCACCACAACCTCACGATCCGCATCCCCCTCCCCAGCATCCTCCCTGCGGAAGCCGTCATCGAGACCCTGCAGTCCCAGTCCCCCGTGATCCGGCACCAGCCGCTGGTGACGCGCTACGAAAAGGTGCCCGTCCCCCTCGACAGCGTCGTGAGCGACGAGCACTTCCTCGAGGACGGGTCCCGCATCGCGTGCTACAAGATTTACGAAAAAGTCACCGTGGTCCCCGGCGTCAAGAAGGAGATTAGCTTCCCCGCCGTGCTCCAGAATATCCCCAACGGCTTGCGGTCCCGCGCTGAGGCGCCCGGCGGCGTGCGGGTCTGGTCCGAGTGGCTCGTCGTGCCGAGGCCCGAGGAACGGTGGCCCGGGGAGCATAAGCACGGCTCGGGTGGGAAGCTAGGGGGTTTTGTGGAAGGGGACTATGATCTCGTTGAGACGACAAGGGTTGAGACGAGTAGGATGCTGATGCCGCTTGTCAAGGGGCAGATGGAGAGCGCGCATCGGGATATGGTGCATAAAATGCTTGACGAGGTTGCGCAAAAGGTTGGGAGGGCCAAGATGTAGATGGAGAGGGTCATCCGGTGTTGAACGTATAGCAGGGGTTGGGAATCCGGCGTTTTTGGGAGGGTGATTATAGATACCACAGTTCATTCATAGCGAGTCCCTTTTTTCTATTTTTTTTTTTAAGCAAGAGAAGCAGAAGCAGCAGGACGATACTCTAGGCAACCCCAGGAGAGGCAGCAGTGTTTCACATACTTTGATGATTTTCCTCTCTTCATTATCTTCTGGACTCGGTTGCTACCATGGTCCACGTCTACACATCAACGAACAGCTACTTGCTTGCTCAAATGGTGTAGACGAGCTTGCCCGCGCTAACCTTGCCCTCCTTCAACTCCTTCAGGCCCACGACGACGCCCTCGAGGCCGCTGCCCCCTTGGTTCTTGACGACGCGGATGGGCTTCAGCTTGCCCTCGGCCAGCAGGCCGCGGCTGATTTCCCAAAACTTTTTGCCGAATTCGTAGTTTTCTGGTACGGCGTCCCTCTTGCCTGTAGCAAGGTCATGTTAGTCGTCGCAAATCTGGTGGGAAGGAACAAGAAAAGGGGGGGGTGACCCACCAAAGTATCCAAACTCCTCGCCAAAAACGGTATAATACAAACTCATCTTCACCTCCACTTTCTCATTCGCCTCCTGCACCTTCTTCTTATCAAGAGGCAACAGCGTCCCAATCACGCCTCCTTTCGTGCTGCTCAGCGCCTTGGCCACGAGCACGGCGCTCTCGACGGTCGACTGGCAGTCCCACGCGAGCGTCAGCTCGTCGTTTGTCGCCTTGCGAATGTCCTCAGACACGGTGGGCGACTTGTAGTCGTACACCTCGGTCGCGCCCAGTGACTTTAGGTAGTCAAAGTTGTGCGGGGACGCGGTGGCGATGACGCGGTAGCCCGAGAGCGTCGCGTACTGGATGCCCGAGATGCCCATGGCCGTGCTGCCGCCGTAGATGAGGATCGTGGGCGCGGGGGACTCGGTCGTGGGCTCGGTCGGGAGGGGGAGGTTAAGGGTTTGGTAGAGGCCTTGACCCTGCGTTTTGTTGTAGGGTTAGTGAAAATGCCCTCTCTTTGACCGGGATTGGAAAGGGGGAAGACGTACAACCGTCGTGACGGCAATCCCGAGCGTCGCGGCCTCCTCGTCGGAGATGTTATCCGGCGTCTTGATTTGCACGTCGCCCTTGACGGCAATGTACTTTGCAAACGCGCCGTCAATCTCTCTCAGGGCGTTGCTGAACGTTTATTCCTGTCAGCTCCCTCGCTCCGTCTTCAAGCCCTCGAGACCACGGAAAACACAACTCACGATCCATTCACAGGCCCGCAGATCCGGTCCCCCTTCTTAAACTCCTTGGTGACGCCCTTGCCCACCTCCTCAACGACGCCGGCGTAGTCGCACCCGACCCAGATGCCGACGCACCCAGCCTTGTCGGCGAGGTCGACGTGCTTCCAGTCTGTCGGGTTGACGGCCACGGCCGTCGTCTTGACCAGGATGTAGTCGTCGGCGGGTAGTTTGGGGATGGGGGCGTCGACGACTTTGGCGACGCCCGCCTCGACTGTCTTTACTGCTTGGTTTGCCGTCATTGTGTTTTTGTCTCTCTGTAGTGAGTGTAAGCTATGTGTCAGTCGGTCGGCCTCGAATATTGAAGCAAATGGATGTCTACCTTCTTATTGATGGCTGGTGAGGGGCGTGTGTACGTAGTGTTGTTGTTGTTCGCCGGGGGGTATCTAGTAGCTGGAGTCAAACTCAATTGCAGATTCAGCGGTCAACAAAAGCCACCCTTTATATAAAACCAACGTCGGCACTGCGTTGCGAAAGCTCCTCTCCCCCAAATCCCCGATACGGATAACCCCTCCCCCTCCCCTAGCTTACAAATGCTTGCGTAGGTATAGAGACAAGCAGCAAGGTGAGTGGTCCGGCCAAGCCAATGCGGTGGTAACCATGTTATGTGTGCGTTATTCCCACCACCGCCATCATGGATTTTGCCTTCTGCCCCGCACCGCACTGCTAAGGTACCTTAGGTAATGCGCGGATCAGGCGCACTTCCTGGTGACTCTGGCGCGCACTAGGTACCGAAAAAACCAACTTGCGAATGTTCTCCGTGCCCGATGTTCTATTTTCAAGAGTGTGGTGGTGGAATCCGAAGAGCCCGAGGTGACTTACAGCTAGGTAGCTACGTAATACCCCGGAGTTCCTGAAGGACCGGAGCTTGGGGGCCGTCAGTCCTCTTTCGGCGCCGCGGAGTCGGGGGGCCCTGTGCTTACGGAGAACGACCAACTCTTACACTTTCGGCATTGGCGCTGATATCAATCAGGTTCCGGCGCCGGACTCGCTCTGATTCATAACCCAGGATCCAACGAGCGTACCTACCTATTGACAACAAGTGGCAGCCCGCTCCCTCTGTAATACCTATGCGCTTTCACAGTCAATTATGAGTGAGGGGTGCGCCACAACCGACCCCGCGACCCAGTGACAGCAATCTTATCGCCGATACGTACCCCTGCAATTACGAACCCCTCTGAGGGGCACATTCCAGGTCCTACATGAACAGAATCCGTGCTCTTACTTGCCTCTCGTCAGATGACCGTCGCGGTTGACAATCCGGTCGGTATAGATGTAAAATTTTCGTCATAATGGTATCTATAACAACGCGTTCTAAATCCTATAACCAGACCATCCGCGCAACGTCCTCTGCGGGCGTTGCTGGCGTTGTTCCTTTACAACATCCGCTTATTCATGAAGCGCTACATCCCCTGATAAACAAATGAAGAATAAACCATGTCGCAGGCGATTGGCCGCAAACAAGACAGAAAACAAATAAAATAGCAGGTGAAATCAGATCCGCCTACTACCGGCCGCCGTAGTCACTGGCATATCCGACTTCTCCAAAGTTTTGGCCCATGCCGCCCTCTCCAAACCCTGTACCGGGACCGCTGACATACCCACCATCGTCGCCTTCGTAGTCGCTGGCATCAAATGACGAACGACCTGATATATCGTCTTCGAGACCGCTGCTCGCGTCTTGCGTTGACCAGTTCATCTGGGCCAGCGCGGGGTATTGGGCCAACAGAGCTGCCGGCAGCATGTACTGCCCGCTGGCGTCCATAGGATAGCCTGGCTCCATGCCCATACCCTGTGCGGCCATGTTTTGCATGTTTTGTTGTTGCATCCGCTGCTCCTGCCACGCGCGTTGCCGGTCGAGCATTTCTTCGTCTAGCAACGGCTTAATACAGATTCGTCCCGCCTCTGATCGAAAATGTCGACCAAGCGCATCGGCACGCGCAAATCTTCGACCACAGCCCCACTGGCCGCCGGCTTTGAGGTCGCCCTTGCAGACAAACTTCTTTTCTCCAGAATGCAAACCCTCGTGTCTCTTGCGGTCGTGTTGACGAGCAAAAGCCTTTCCACAGACTGTACAGACAAATGGACGCTCGTCTGTATGCGTTCGCAAGTGAGATCGGAGGTTGTATGCTCTAGTGAAGCGCTTGGGGCATAGAGTGCACTGAAATGTCGCGGGATGCTTCTGCACACGTTTCGAGTTTCCGTTATCCTGGGCATTCTGATACTCAGGGTCCGCCAATCTGAGAGCAATGACATTGTTCGGTACGGCCGAGGTAGATTGTCGTCTGCGACTAGGGCTCACAGCCCCCCGGTCCAGCGGGGAAAGTGATCGTGAAGAAGAGTCTCGGCCAGAAAGATCAGATCCTAAATGTGGCGACAAGCTGCCGGCAGAGGTTTGGCGCACCATACCTGCACCAGAACTGTTGAAGGGGTCCGTTACTGCGCGGGGTCTAGATCGCGGCCGGCCTGTTTGACACTGTTAGCTTCGGCGCGCACATTCATCACCACCATGTTGCCTTACCTCGCTCTGGCGGAGTCAAAGAATCTTGATCCATCTGATTCTTGGGCGGCTCAAAATTGTTCTGTCTGGCTGTGGGCGCAAACTCGATGTTAATGGCTGGCGCTACTTGGGGCATCTCCGGTTGTTGTAGGGTCGGGAACGCTTCTTGCCCGGTGTAGCCAGCACTACTGACGAAGCCGGCATTTTGATTCCCCAGACCGAAGTTGGGAGGCTGGTTCAACTCGGGCATGGACTGGGGGAGGATGCGCGGGGAGATGGCCGGGCTGTGCGACGGGCTCCGGCCCTGAAGGTTCGGACTGCTAAGCGCGGGGTCCGAAATGGTGAAGTTGTCGAATCCTTGGATCTGCTGGTAGAGGCCGGCATCTTGGGGTCGCTGCATTGGCGAATGACGTTGGTCGATTGCGTCAAAGGTGTCGGCGCTCACGAGGTTCGGTGAGGGGGCGGCGGACGAGACGTCCGAGTATTCGGAAGGAGATCTCCGGTGGCCTCGAAACTGAGGCTGGCTCCATTCATTCAGTTGGTTCGGCAAGAGAGCCGCCTCGGGGCCAAGGGACGCATGTCTAGAGTGACCCGCGCCCGAGGGCGGCGACGAGAACTGGTGCTGATTGAAGGCAGGAGACTGGTGAGCGGAGGGAGTCTGGTGGGGGTCCGGGTTGAGAAGGTGGGGAGGTGTCGGAGAGTGGTGACTCTGAGGCATAGCCATGTTGTTCATATCACCCGGGTTAAGGCTCTGGTCGAAGACACCGGTGTTGAACTGCTGATCGTTCTGGCCCGAGTTGGGGAACAGGGCGAAGTCGCCCGAGGGGAAAGTGGGATCGAGGAAGCCGGCTTGGTTCTGGTTGGCAAAGGTAGCTGTGGACTGGTTGTAAGACTGCTGAGCGGATTGCTGGCCGTTGAGGAAGTTGTTGCTGTTATTGAAGCTGGAGAAGTCGGCGGAGGCGGCTCCGTTGAAGGCGTGGGTAGCAGACTGATCCAAGCCGAGACCGAGACCAATTGAAGCTACTTCGGTATTGGGCTGGAACGGATTCGGAGACGGAGAATGCGAAGGATGTCTTATATGAGGCTGTTGATGCCCGGCAGACGGTGAGCGACCGCGTTGACCCTGCTGATCCATGATGTAAATGGGTGCTGGTAATCGGGATGGAGGGATGTCGTATACGCGTGTGTGCGTTTGTGAGTGTGTTGTGTTGCTGTCTTTAGAATCGGGGCGAGGCAGTTCACCAGTCAGCCTTTCAGGCACCGCACCGCCCTGGGGCTGTGCTGACGCGCGAGCTGACCGCACACAACTGGAGGCGGCGGGGTTACAGTCGTGGACGACACGAGATGTTATTCGCCGTCGCGAATAGCTTTGCGCAATGGTAGCCCGTGTAGATGAGTGCAACTGTGTGAGAGCGACAAGAGAAGAGGCAAGCAGCGACGCCAGAGACGGATAGAAGTGACTTGAAGTAAAGAGGGTTTAGCGACGTTTTGGGGGCGTTGGAGAGGGAGGGAGAGAATAGCGCGGCGGGAGATGAGTGGTAATGTGCTACAGTGTGCGAAGGAGGAGTTGAGATGGGGAAGCGAGGACTTGGTCGGCGGGCAGAGGGGACCGGACAGACAGACCCGGCAGCAGGGCAGGTGTGGAATTGAGGTGGGGTCTGCGGTCGTCGGGTCACAGTTTGGAGGGGGGGGGAGGACTTAGGAAGGACTTGGGAAGGACTGTGGGACTCAAGGAGGAAGAGGGACTGGGAAGGGGAGGGGAGTGGACTGTGGGACAGCGAGGTGTAAGGTGCAGACTACAGGGTGGTTGACGGGCGACGTGGTTGGTCGAGAGAGAATCCACCTTGGCAGCCCAATCTGGCTGGTTCCCACAAGGCTGTGCACGTTTGAGGATGGATCTGTCGGCCGGTGTCTTTGGCGTGGTGCCTGCGCGGTATCCCAAGGTAGGATTGTACCTGGATTTTTGCAGAAAATACGTGTCAGGACCAAGTATTCCATACTGGGGAGTCCCAACGTTGGGTCAGGTCGAGGTACCTCTGCAACGGGGCGCTCCGACTCGGATTGGCATGCGCTTAGGTGATGTTGGTGCTTTCCGCTGCTCTGCTCCGCGCTTGGAGTGTGCTGTCACTTGATTTTTTGTTTTCTGCGTGTGCTGCGCGCCAACTGCAGCTTTCTCCCCGACTCTGAGATACGTCTTCCTTGCTTTCCGGGCCAGAACTTTTGCGCCGATGACGTTCTGTTGTTTAGGTGTTGAAATGTATGTTGGCCGCGTGTGCGAATGCGTGGAGCAGACCGCGACCCAATGCGATGCGCTGGGAGGATGCGAGTTGGCAGGTAAAATCCAAAAATATATTGTGTCTCTCTTTGCGCGCAGGGATCTAGCTAGACAGCTAGCTAGCTGTACAAATCGGCGTCTATCGTAACTTCTCGGAGCTCTCAGTCAGTCAGTTGGTTGTCTGAGGCCTTTTGGCGTCGGTGGGCAGTGATGACGGTCGTTGCTTGGTGTCCAAAGCTCAAAAGTTTCAAGCGCCAGTTCGGGTTGTAGTAGCTTGGAGCTAGGTCCGCTGGCCAGTCTTTGGCAGAGTCCAGATGCTGCTGATGACTGTTGAAGACGGGCTCGGTGTATGTGTGTTTGCTTGTGCAACATGCGACGAGACGGGAATGCGGAAACCCAGATGCGAAAGCAAAAGACGGTTTGATGCGCAAATAATCTTCAGGAGCAAGGTCCTCCGTGCGGAGGGCGCCAACAATACAGCCGTGTTAGCGGGACCCAGGCACTGTACCAAGTACACAAGGGAGGGCCTTGGATGGTAATAGATGCTGGCATACCGAAGGTTGGTAAGAAGCTCGTGCTGGACACAGTTGGCATCGTGGATCCAGGTATGCCGGGTGATTGAAATCTAGGCAGCAAGACGAGGGCCTTTTGCAGAAACCTTGCTTGCTAGTGCATGATAGCTAGGGGTCAAAGAAACGGGCGGGAAACGGGCGGCCGAGAGGTAAATAGGGGTCTTGTTTCGAACAAGGCACAATCCAGATAATGCACGATACGGATAGTCGAGGACACGAAATCCGATACTGAGAGGGCATCCAAATTCCAACATCCGATCAGCATCCCGTCCATCCCTTCTTGATGCGATGCCTATGCCAAGCCAGCTGAGCACTTTACAAGCTTACGACGCTCTTTATTACAAAGAGTACTTTGCACCAAAAGCAGTGAATCGAGGTCTAATGTTGTCTTGTTCCTTGCTTACACGGAAGACTCAAGACTCGAAATCATTCCTAACTAGATGCTAGGAGGTCTAAAGAAAGGCACTTCGTTTCCCCACTAAATCATCTCGTCGCCTGTCTGACTCTGACTTGACTTACACCGTCTCTGCATCAATAAGCTGGTTACAACCTACCAAACTTGGTCGTCATCTGGTACCCTGTTCCATCTGTTCCAGGCCCCGGTGTGTCGACGGTGCGTTTCTGCTCACACACTCAAAAATGCCCCTCAGCTGTAGGATTGGCTGGAAGTACCTCCACGACCAAGGGGGGAGGGGGGTGGCCCAAACCCCTCCAAGGATTACTCGTGACTGCAAGTGTTGGGTTAGGCGTTCTTGCTTCTCGAATCTGCCTTGAGTGGGTTTCTTGTTTCCGGTCCGTGTCCATCCAGCGTGCCTGCAGCTTGACATGGCCCAATAATTTGAAATTACATTATTCCTCGCCTGGCCTTGGCATCTCGTCTCTCTCCTACGTACCTAGTTTACCTGCTTCCAACCAGTCAGCATGGAGAGAGGCACCTAAGTCATGCCATATTAACAAGCCGCTCATTTACAGTACACTGCTACGGCAGTGATGCTTCTGCCAGTCATGGCACTGTGGTTTTTTGGTTTTTTTGGGGGGGTTTTTTTTTCTAGTCTTCAGTCTAGACTCTCAACTCTCGACTCCCGACACACCGATACACTCTGCTCCCCGTGCCGCATCAGCGGCTTCTAGGGCCCGGCCACCTGTCACTTATGACCCCTGCTCCATGACCGTCGTCATCGTCGTCGTCGTTCTTCTCGCCCTGGCCTAGACTATCTTAGCTGCCGCTCTGGCAGACGCCGATTGACATGTCCCATCCATCCACTTTTCACTTCCAGGATCCAGCTCATTAGACTACCTGATGCATGATGGAGCTCTGCTATGTGCAAAAGGTAAACTATCACGTACCGTCACCAGTCAAAATACGCAGTAGGCGTTGCGTTGGTCAAGGCCCGACTTCCCATGCTGAGGAGCTCTGTTGATCCTCCTTTGCCGACATCGACATGGACTTCAGATGGAGCAGCCCACATGGAGCGGCCATGAACGTCAGACATGAGATGAGAGTGGACACCCAAATGCAAACTTCATCAAACACTGGCACCACTTTCAGCTGCCGTCAGCTTGCGAATGTCTCGCGGAAGTGCGCGAGATGGATCACGCCTCGTTTCCCCGAATAAGCAATAGGGATTCCAAGCTCACAGGAGAATGCTGACGCTCATCACAGCTCTACCATCGGCTCGCCTATTCGCCAGTGAGCGAGTACAGCAATGTTCAATCCACCCATGTCCACCTCCCTGCAACCTTCTGCAACTCTCTGCACATGCATTCATCCCAGATACAGATCGAACCCAGGCCAATGTACGTAGTGTAGTGTAGGGCTACTATTCGGACGGGGAGGCTCGATGTCATCCGCACTGCCACAAATCACGTCCAATCACATGAAACATTAGATGCCGAGTCCGACATACCGTCGATCAAGCTGTACAAGCACTCGTTGATGCCGCCTTACAAACACAAGTTGCAACTTGCAGCACGACTTAGCGTCATCATCTCCAGGCGCGAGTCTCACCGTCCCGTCCCTTGGTGCAAGGCACAAGATGCACCACCAGATTCACCATGAACACGGCCCTTCGAATATTCGTTCGTGTCACATTTCACTTGCGATATCATCACAAGTTTTGGAGACGGGTTTCTCGCCTCCATCATCTCGCAGCCCCTCCAACCGACCCAAGCGGGCATTTGTCGTTCCGCGAGGTCTTGGATGGGCCTTCTACAATGAGGCGCAGTCCTGCGTGAAACAGGGACCCCATCGCCAAATCACAACCAGCACCGACAGCCCTGTAAACGGATATGGACGATGAGGTGAAAGTGTCTCTGCCGTGTGGCTTTCCATTTCCAAACTCTCAAAGTGCTACTACGATCCTCCACGAGTCTCCCTGGCCAACGGGCCAATAACGACCCCGTTGTAAATCTAGCGCTGCTACGCGGAATGGCGTCCGACACAGCCACGCCGGCTTCGTGGCCCCTTGGCCCCCAAAATCGGATGCCAGGCCATGGCCCCGATATGACATCAAGCATATGGTTCTTTGTAAATCCACCGCGCGGCAGGAAGAAGCTTATTCGAGAAAAGGTCACCGTTTCAGGTCCATCCGGCATCCAAGACCGTGATCGAAGCGAACATTCACCTTTGGAACCCTTCGATTCTCCACAACGTCGAAAGCTCGGAGCCCATGGCGGAGCGGGACCCAGTCCCCCGCCCTGGCTACTCATATCCAAATTTAGAAACCTTTTCGGAAATACGACCCGGACCGCACGCTTGGAAATTGGCATATGCCCAGCCACACGTCAAAGCCGGGACGTTGTCGTTGTCGTCGTGGTTGTCGTCGTCGTCCTGTGGCTGTCCCGAAGAGTTTCATCGACACCATGCCAGATAGAGTAGCTGATTTACCACTTCAGTACTGTGCTTTTGCCAGCACTGGGCCTGGAGATCACGCCATGCCCAGACCCGGCTCCAGGCAGCCGGCTATGGTTTGATCTTTATTGGCTTTTTCGTCCGATGATACGTCGTTCATCCAAAAGAGAGGGGGAAAAAACGAGGCCATGCAGCAGCCGCCGAGATCGTTCCTGCCATTGGGTGGCTGTGCTTCATCGATCATTCTGGAGAAGACGCGAGCCTCTACTGGTGTAACCACATGCTCGCAATTCTAGGTCTTGACAGCAGCAACCAGTTTGCCAACTTATACACATGGAAATTGGGAATTGGACATTTTTATCAGTCTTTGTCATTTGATATTACCTCTCTGACGCGTGATCAACTTTGATCCGCCATAGGATCCCGTGTCTCCGAAGCTCAATCTTTCTGTTGGGTCAGTGACAAAACGTCAAATGAAACTTGAATCCGTTGATGGGGATTTTGGCACCCCTTGGCTGGAGAAACCGAATATGCGTTTCATTCTCCCAACAAGGCCTATCTGTCTCTCCACGTCTGACAAAAGAAAAACAAATGCAATTGGAAATTCAAAAGTTTCAATACATCCCAAGACCGATCGATCTTTTTCCCAATATTGTACAATGAGTGGGGGCTGTTCGTCTCCCAACGAGCAACTCCTTTACGCCGGCCAGACTCCGTTTTAGTGGTATCATCGGTCTTTTGTGTTACAACTCTTCAGGTAACGCAAGGAAAATCGGGGTTCAGGAAAGATGGACGTTCTGTAGTCCGAAAGCAAAAAAATGTCGAGCAAGAGAAATCAAGTGGCGACAGATATCTCGCAGACACTTATCTCGCGGCGATCTCTCGCGGCGATCTCTCGCGGCGGTCTAGTCGAATCCAGAAGTCGTTAGATGACCTCGTTACGCTCGAATCCCTGGGCTCTCAACGCGGCGTTGGGCTTCTCGCCATCCTTGTACTCGCTGACAAAAGGGTTCGGGTCCTCCTTTTGGTTGAGGTTGCTGAGGGTATGGTTTACACCTCTATGAACGGCCTCTGCAGGTGCTTTCGTCAGCATATCATTCCTTCTTTCCACGGTATGATGAAATACGGGTTAACACGCACCATCTGCTCTGATGTACAGAATCAAATCTTTCATCGTCCTCTGCCCCTCCGGAATCTTCCAATATTGGACCGCAATGTCGGGAATGACAAAGTCGGGGTCAGACCATTTGGGCAACAGGCCCTGGTCAATCTCGTAGAGACACCGCGTGTACGTGTGCACGGCCTCCTCCTCGAGGTAGCCCACGAAGCGGTGGGTGATTTTGGGGGAAATGAGGTACGACAGGAACATGCCGTTGAAGAAGACGCCCTGGGCGCCGAGGATCATAATCTTCATGAACCAGCCGGGCTCCGACATCTTCATAAAGGTCAACAGGTGCATCCGCTCGTTGAAGCTCTCCTCGAGGAGGGTCTCGATCCAGCCGTTGTCGCGCTTCATGCGCCGCAGGCTGCCGAGATGGCGAAGCATGCCGGCGACCATACCAGGAACTGTTTTACGGGAGTCAGTACTCCTGGCGCTACACTCTTCCACTCAGGAAAGTTGAACTCACCTCCGGCGATACTCTCCAAAAAGATGAAGCGCACTAGCCACTGTGCCTCGGTGAGCGGCTTGTCGGCGACGAACGACGTGGTGGGGTTCTTCTTGTCAACCTGCTGCTCGGACCCGAGCCCCGTGGCGCGGTCCATGAACCACCGCGCCAGGCGGACAAACTTCCACGCCGCCCAGTCGCCGACGGTGCGCGGCTTGCGGTGGTCCGGCACGATATCGTGCATCTGCTGCTCCGTGTACCCCGGGTGCGGCCATGCCGGCGCCGTGAGACGGATGTGCTCCGTCTCCTTGGCCGGGAAGAAGTCGCGGAGCTGCGACGCCCGCGTCGTGGAGAAGGATCTGCTGCTGTTGCTGCTGCTGCTGGGGTTATGTTGCTGCTGGAACGAGGCGGATATGCGGAGGCCGGCTGTTCCTGAGCCCAAGAAGGAGGTGTTGTGAAGCGCCGCGGCCCGGGCGAGCTGGGCCGCTTGTTTTGACGCGCAGAGTCTGGTTGATGCTCTTGATGAAAGCATTGGGTAGGTGCTTTGGTGTGTAAGTCGAGCGACTTCTGAGTAGTGTGATGTCAGGATACAATGATGCCAAGAATGTACTTGATTTCTGGTGATGGTGGAACGAGTGTCGTACGGCCTGAGGAAGGGCTAACGACCCGGAGTCTTATATACAATTTGAGGGGTGTTGGTCATGTAAGTTATTTGTTGATACGGCGATGGGTGTGTGTGGGGGTGTGGAAGGGACGCAAATCCTGTCAGATGGCAGACTTTACACAAGGCATGAGCCATGGTTAGGGTACTCAAATCTGAATTGTCAGCGAGGACGGGTTGTCCAAACCGACGAGGAAGAATAGGGATGGAGAAGGAAGGGGGGGGCTACGAAGAGGGATCGGATATTCCGAACTCATGAGCACCTCGGAGGAGGAAACCTGGCTTAGAGCCTCAGGTGCGTAGAGTTGATGGGCGACAGGGAGGCTTGTGATCCACGCGTCGTCGGAAGAGTCGCCGAGAGTACGCCGCTAAGGCGACCTAATAGGTAGAATGAAGGGCAAGGCAAGGATAAAGCTATGGGTCTTTCATTCGCATCCTCTTGTCAGACGTCTTGCGCTCCCGAAGTTACGGATACAGCAGCTGCCATGCCCATGTGGGAACGTCGTCTTCGTGGGGGCGCGGGCGCGGGCGGGCGTCGAGCAATGCAGATTTGCAAAGGCCGCGGATAGGGGAAGGGGTCCTCCCAGTCCGTAGGGCTGGAAATGCTGTCAAGTCAGCTGGACCAGATGGGCGGCGTTGGTATCGGGTCGTATCGGGATGGAGGGGGCCTTTGCGATTGTTGGAGTACTCGGGGCGCACACAGACAATCAGATATGTCCAGCTGCTAGAGATTTCGTTCCGCTCCATTTTCGTGAGAAGCTGCGATTGGACGGGGTACTGTCAGGTTTTTCCCGCTTCCCGTCGAATATCAGCCAACGGACTTGTTTAGTTAGAGAGCAGTCGTATAAGGGTCTTTTTTTGGTGTCTGCTTACTATGGCTGTTGCATATCCTCACTTGCAGCTGCAGTGATGATGTCTGATCCAAGGACGGAGGTAAAGCTCGCCGATATACCGACATTCTGAAGTTCTGATACCTAATTATGCCACTTCAAAGTCACAAAGAGGAGCCCAACCACTCGTGTACACGAATGGACAGTCATTGAGGGTTTCCATAGAATCGCCGAGTCAAGAGAGAGTATCAGTCCACATCTTGCTTATCGGGGGGCTCCAGAGGCTCCAGAGATACGGATGGACGGCGATTGAAGATCGCTCGTCATCTCCACTTGACAAGCTCTAGAGCCCGAAGAGCCCGGGCGCATAGCCAACCTTTCAAACCCCATGTTGGCGTGTTGGCACTGCACTCGGCACGAGCAGAGCAATCTGCGACATGCTCCGGGAATCAAGTCGGAAACTTGTCACCCGACCCCGACCCCCGACCCCGTCTTCTCTCTCCGAAGGTCCAAGGCCTTGATGACCGTAAACCGTTACCTGATTAGGTACCGACGCTTGTGAGTCCAAGACCAAATATTGCTCAATATTGCTCGCCAGGAGCGGGAATAACGGGAATTATAGAAACCAGAGCGAAACATTTTGGCTTCTCATCAATGTTTTGCTAGGAGATGGGTTCCGTTGAATCCTTCGAGAAGGGTCAGCGGAAACCCGCTCGAAACTTGTGGGTTTCTTAACGCCCTGTGGAAGCGTGCCTTGAATTGGAGATACTTGAAGTACGCGACATGGGTGACTTGGACCGCACACGCCGTCAGATGAAGGATTTTGCTGGTCACGCTCGCGCAATCTGAGGTTATTTTCGAGGCAATATGTGGAGGGCATCGGGAGAAGGCGGCTCTGCTGGCGCGGAGCAGCATCCGAGACGCTAGCAGGCCATGATCCCGACGAAGAAAAACATTTCGTGATACCTGAGGCTGTTTATAGTGGGCGTACTGTGATGCCTTACAAGGATCCACTTTGCGTTGGCGATGACCATGCTGGACGTGTTAAATTTGCGCTTTCTGGCTACCCAACAAATTCACCCAAGCAAAGCAGCATCAAGTTCCACTGTTCGCACACTAGGTAACAAGTAGTCACGGATTCGTCAATTATTAAGAGGGAAAGACGAGGGGAAAACGCGTCCGAGTGATTCAGCAGCGTCATAGACGTTGGTGACACACTTCTCAGTGGAAGCCGCGGCTCACCTTCTTTACCACGATCCGCCAGGGACCGCAAGCAATGAAAGCAAAATAAGACATCTTTTGCAAGACAAATTGGGGTTCAAAAATTCCCTGGCCAGCCGAAGCCAACCAGGAGTGGTCATAGTTATAGTTTTCAACTAGCAAAAACACGATCTCGGACGAATCCTCACTGATACGCGTAAAGCCCTTGCACTCAGATGAGGAAGAAAAAGGGAAGAAAACCAGGTAAATAGTGCGGTGGGTGGTGTGCTTTATATAAGCAAGCGAGGTGGGCCCGCAATCAGTAAAAGGTACGTACTGGCAGGAGGTGCCTTGGGTGCCTTCCAGCCTCCTGTCCAGGTTCTTTTCACTGGATCGCTCTTTGTAAATGCTGCAGGCATCACGTACGGTACGACCCACACACAGGGGTAGACCTGCCTGATTGACGATTGTATACCCAGACCCGACGGCCTCACACCATGCTCTGCGAAAACCGTCCCGAAGGCTTCGTAAGTCTGCACTCATACACTCTCAGCGCCGTCAGATACTTTCCGGTAAGAACGTTCAATTTCGGTACGTACTGACCAAAGTTCAATCATTGTCAGGGCCCCAAATCAGCTCTCTCCAGCCATCTACCAACGACATGTTTCGCCGATGTCATCGTCGTCCCACTTGCGACGTGGACATACCTCATCATTCTATTGATCGCTGTTCCACCATGTGTACTCTCACGGCGAGCTTCAGCCTCAGCTTCAGCCTCGCCGTCGAACACGGCTGAAGCCTCCACAGCAGGAGACCTGCCCTCGGACAAAGTCGTCACGTCAGCGCCAGCGTCGACATCGACGCCAGTGACGAAGTCGCCGTCCGCGGCTGTGAAGGTCGCCAGCGCCGTCTATTACCTACTGATCGTGGCCATGTTGGCCATGGTGTCGCTTGAGATGGCCCGTCTGAGCGTCGCCCAGCTCGGCATTGGCGTCCTTCCTTTCACGTACGTCGGCATACTCGCCGCCCTGGTTATTCACGTTGCTGTGTCGACAACATCATACAGGTCCGGATTCGGACGAGTTGGTATGCATATCTATGGTGGTGACGCGCGGTGGCAATGGACGGCAAAGGTCGTCAACGTGCTGTATTGGGTGATGTTAATGTGTGCGATGGCAATCAAGGTTGCCAGCCAGGCACAGGAGCAGAACGTACTGGGTGTGCGGACGGGTCAGCAGGCACAGTATCCCATTTCGGATTCTATCACGGACAACGCAACCATGATGGGGGTGGAGCTTGTGCTTTTGATCTTGGAGTTGCTGACTATCTGATCAAATTACAATGTTGGGGATGGTAATTTCTTGGGTAATCAGCAAGATTCCAGTAACTGTTCTTACAGTGTCGGAGGGACATCAACCCAGAGCATAACGAACTAATTATATTTCGCGGTTGGCGCCCTCGTCTTCCCGTGCCACACGCCCTGGGGCTGTGTTTAATGCGAGCCAGACAGGGCAGGCGCGGGGTAGTTTTGGTGAGTCACTGCATGGAAGTGCAGGAAGTCCTCAACTGCCCCGTGAGGCCTTCTTTCCTGCCTAGGTGGAATCGCTGTGGCAAATACATCTTGTAATAGTAGGTAAATATTAAGCGAACTTGAGGGCCATGAGGCCAAAATCACACTTCATGCAAGCGTATTGCTGGTCGGCGGAGCTTCCTCAGTCATCTCAGGCAACAAGTGCGATGGCGGGGTTGTGTTTTCAACAGCCACATGTCAGGGATTAAGAAGAAAAGAGACTTGCCCCTCCACGGTGTTCTTCGAGGACCCGCCCGAACTTTTCGTCCAAGATAGACGGCGTCTCGATAGGGTCTGTAGGCAAATTGCACAGTATTACCGTCTTCAAGACATGACCGTGATGAATGCTAGCCCGCAGAATTCGAGATGGAAGACCAGATGAAGTTGCATTGCACCCGGCTTCCTTCCAGTGAATAGGGGAGGGGTTGGATACGGCAGAGAGCCCTTCACCAGTAGACATCGTGACATCCTAAGCGATGCAAACGCCTCCTTCAATGTCTCAAATAAGAAGAACTGCAGGGCCGATGGCTCGTAAGACGGATGCAAGTACCAGAGCCTTGCTTGCCGCTATGGGTGAATGTAAGTGAGGTGGACTGGATGGAATCGGGCTGCACACAAACTCGGAACTCCAGCGCAGTTCCACCGGCTACTGGCCGCTCAACCGCTGCCGCCTTCGGCCTTGCTGGGTTTTTCCTTCCAAGCTCCTCGGGTTTCACTCTGACAGTCCCTTCCTGCCCAACCACAGAGCCCCCTTGCTTTCCACAATTTGTTTCCTTCCTGACTTCAGCCAGACCGGACGGACCTCCCACTCCATAAACTCTATCCAAAAACTTCTTTTCCATATTCAAACGTCTCCAGAAAGACTTGGTGTGACGTCTCACGCAGCCATCTCTTCGTCCTTTAGATTCTTGCATCTATATTCTTCTGCCCCGCGCTCAACAATCAAAATCTGACATTATGCCTCCTAAGAAGTGGGGTGAGTTATGCCTTGTCCCGCAACGCACACGCACACAAATTATCGTGAGAGGCAAAATGTCGCGATGATCTGTCCAGTCTGGACAGCGCGACCGCTGCCTCTCTTTTCCCTAAATGACTCATTGCTATTCTCTTTGAATTTGACTAATTCCAAGATCCTCACGTAGACGAGGAGAGCAGCGAAGAGGAGAGCTCCGGCCCTGCCTCCCCCATTGGTGGTGCGGTTCCTATTCGCCGCAAGTTCGAAGACGAGGAGGATGAGGATGACGTATGTTGACGATGCTACGAGAACTCTCATGTCGCCGCGCGTGCACTGACTCCTCTACCCCTGAAGGTTCTCGACTCCTGGGATGCCGCCGAAGACTCCGAGGTCGAGCGCGAGAAGGCCAAGAAGGCCGAGGAAGCAAAGGCAAAGGCCCTCGAGGAGGCCAAGAAGAACAAGAAGTCCAAGGCCGAGCGCATCGCCCAGCTGAAGGACGAGCGTGCCCGCCTCGAGGACGAAGACTCTGGCGATGAGGAGACGGAGGCTGAGCGCCGTGAGCGCCTCCGCCGCACCGAGAAGGAGTCCGACTTGAAGCACGCCGAGGACCTCTTCGGTGATATCGGAGTCCCGGCCGGTCGCAAGGCCGTCCTCGCCGGCTCCGCCGTCCAGATCGACCCCAACGACCCGACCAAGACGGCCAACATCGCCGAGATGCCCCTCTTCAACCCCGTCACCAAGACTCAGTTTGAGCACCTCCGCACCACGCTGACCCCGATTCTCGCCAACAACGCCCGCAAGGCCCACTACGGCCTCTTCCTCCAGGAGTTCGCCAAGACTCTCGCCAAGGATCTGCCTAGCGACCAGGTCAAGAAGATTGCCAGCACTCTCACCGCCCTTGGTAACGAGAAGATGAAGGAGGAGAAGGCTGCCCAGGGCGGCAATAAGAAGAGCAAGGCGGCCAAGACCAAGGTCTCCGCCGTCGTCAGCCGTGCTCCCGTAGCTGACACGGAGACCTACGAGGACGATGGTTTCGGAGAGTAAGCCGATCTCTCAAATCGCTAGCTGTCATCATACTGACCTCCCCTTCCCTTAGCGACGACTTTATGTGAAGGAAAAAGTAGGATTGCGTTATTCTCCCGCGGCCACAGCCCAATCCCTTGTACCTCAACGAGTTCGCTCCGTGCCAACGGATCTGGCACAGCTTCGTACCGAAGCTTACCACAGCGGCTTAGATTCAGAGCGCAAGCGTCGCTGTGGCGGACCCCGGCTGCGTCACGATGTAGCCGGTGGATCGGCAGTGCGAGGGCTCGTGGGTTACCGGTGCTGCCAGGAAAGCGGTCTGGGTCAGATTGTAAGTGTTTGCATCGAAAGTGGCGTCGACTCAAAGCGGGAAGAGGTTGATCATGGGGGGAAAGCATTCATGGTCTAGAGGGCAAGGCCCCAGTGCATTTTTGCGCATGATATCAAAGGAGCACCGGTTATTCCCTACAGATGGGGTAGTGGTGATGGCGTCAAACACGATAGAATGGAATCATTCAAGGATACTTTGGTAAAGTGGTGATCATGTGCCTCGAGAATAGCTCTGTTCCGTCTCCAAGCCGGTCGTCTTCCGTCTGATATGTGGTGCTCTTGTTGCAAATAGACTTGAGTTAGGCGCGGTTGCTGATATGGACAAGCTTTTTTGGATCAACAACTTCCTGGGCTCCTAGGCTTTGTCACCTATATTGGTTATGAAAGAGCTTCCAATCGTGTCTATGGACTTCTGTTTCCGACCGCTATGTAAACTCCCATTTGGTTACTCGGTGCTAGGTTACACAAAGAGATAATAATCCACTTGGACGCTATATTGCAAGAGTGCTTGCTCACTTGAGATACCCACACGGCACGACAGGTCTGACTTTCTCGTGGAGGTTTCTCAACTAGTCTACCAGCCATCAAAAACCTCCTGCTACCGAGTAGGTCCCATGCCGAAGAGCAATAGCAGACCAGATGGCTTTGGTAATTATGAAATCTGGTAAGCCATCTTATTCGACAAACATAGCCGCCACTCTCCTCTCTTTTCCTTGCCCCCACCCCCTTTTCACCCCGGAGCAGGGTGACTGTAGATACGTCAAGCTAGGAAAATGTCCAACCCCTCTTGTTAGCTAGACAATCCACAAAAGTCAGTCTTGTGACTATAACATTAAACAGCGTCATGCAACCAAAAGCAAAGCAAGCCAAGGGTTCGAGTGAAAAAAATAAGACTTGTGGAGATGTTTCGCCGTGGGTTGCGATAAGCGTCGCGTAGGATCCTTGACAGAACCTAGAGAAGGAAATTCATGCGCGCGCGTCATGCTGCCAGCAAACAGACTTCATGCCTTTCAAGTACCTTTCAAAATGACCCACTGCGCCAAACAGGGCAGGATGCCATGGCGAAAGACGCGTTCTCAGTCAAATGTGTTTTGAAAAAAGGGTATCAATCATTTTGTTGTTGTTTGCTCCTCCCTTACCACATGTGCAGTTCCATGTATCATGTGTAAAACGCCTCGCCTTGCAGGAAAAAATCCAGCGGAGAAAGGAGTGAGTGGTTGATGGAACCCCGATATCCCCCATTCTCCTTGTGCAGAGATGCACTTTGCCCTTTGTATATGTACATGATTGTTGTTGTTACCCCCTTTCTCGATCTATACAAGATTGTAAACGCCTCCCGTCTTCGAAAATCATGCGCTCATGAAAAGACAGCCGTGCTCACATAGAGAACAGGAAAAGAGAAGAAGGAGGAGAGGAGAGGGAGTTGAGATACGGTTTAAATGACATTGCCGGCCATTCCCATAAAGAGGGCGTGGACGGCAAGACTGAGAGTCCAAAAGCCGACCTTTTTCAGCCGACGGACGCGGCTCTGCTGGTCCTCAATATCGCGTGCAAAAGCCTCGTAGGTCTCGGCCGACATGTCATCCATGAGACCGCAGTCAAAGATGGACCAACTGCCGTCGAAATCGGTGGCACGCTTGACTATGCGACAGTTGATGGGGATATATGTCTTCTTGGCGTTAATGTAGGCCACGATAGGGCGAACGAGCGCCTGGTTGATGTAAGAGATGTCTTTTGTGAAAAGGGGCACAGCGGCCTTGACATCGTTCAGGTGGATTCGGAGATCCATTATTAGATATCTCCGGTCTTCCTCCGATGAGTCGGAGGAGATGGGGGGATTGGAAGACTCGGGGTCTGCGGACGTTGGGGCATCCTCTTCCGTGAGCTCTGGTGCAGCCTGGGAAAGATGGCCTTGGGTAGGTGTAGGGCCCCAGAGATCTGAGGCCGAAGAGCCTACGATTTTGATGTCGAGTAGATCCTTCTGGAGCAGACGCATGCGGTTGGATATGACTACATCCTCAAGCTGGTCATAAAAGTCTGACATGACCTTGGTAATACCATCGTCAAGGTCCGCGGGGAACATGACATCTGCGACAATGTCAACGTTGCCCTCATAGATCCAGCCGAACGGGCCCTCCACACCCCGGTTGAGGTGGTCAATTTTGAGACCGTCGATGCGAAGACGGCTGAACTTCTTCCAGGCCGCCGGCTCGCCCACGTCCTCTGCCATGTCTCCGTTCTCGCTAGCAACGGTGCCATGTACTTGACGGGGGTGAATCGTGAACAAGGAGCCGTCGAATGATCCTGACATGTGGGTTGCCGATAGGAAATCGTAAAAGAGCCACTGCTTCCTGAGCTGCGGCAGTTCACATGAGAAGATGCTGACGGAGAAGGGTCGGAAGCCCTTGGGCTGGTGAACGGTAACGAGAAGATCCTCAAGTTTGAAAGAGTCGATCTCAAAGTCGCCGGGTTCGTGGGTGTGGCGGTAGGATAGAGGGTCAACCACCTCGTCTGACCACTGCACAGACGTGCGATCAACGACACCACGAACGCCCTTGACCTCGACATCTTTCAGGAAACCCTTGCCATTCCACCATTTCAAGAATGACAGTGTCACGTTGACCGTCGCGATCGACACGTCATATTGTGTGTAGTTGCCATCGTCCTCTTCCAAAGCTTGGCTGTCCTGGTCGGGCTGGTTTCCAGTCGCAGCCATAGCCGCGGCGCTCTCTGAAGATCCCTTGCTAACCGAAGACTTGACTTGTCCAGGTCGCCGCGATACAAAAACATTCTTGAAGCTGATCACGCCATCTCTCCACTTGGGAACAATAGCTGATTCGAAGACTACCGTTACGCCGGCGGACTCAGTCAGAGAGTCACCTACCCACTTGGCAAGAGTTTCTGTACAATATGATGAGCTGCTGAACGTGGGTCAACCTCAGAAGGCAGCTTACCTTGCGCGACAACGGTGTTGATGCTGAGAATGATCAGCGAGAAGAAGGTGGTGGTACCAACCAGAATCCAGACTAGGTGGCCAAACAGGAACCACGACACAAACGCGCCCCATTCATCGATATTCCACGGCCTCATGCTCCTGATGGACGCCCACTTAAATCGAACCTTCATTCGACCCAGGAAGCCATTCGCCGCAGCCAATAGCTCTTCCCTGGTGGGCCTGTGCGGCATCTTTGGAATGTGCAAATATTTCGACACGGTGGATGCGATCGACTCGGCGTCGTGCTCTGGTGCGTCTGGCTTTACCTGTCCTCCAGCCTGGGGCGGATCTTGTTTCGTCTGGGCCGTCGAGGCTTTGTCCTCATGCTTTCCACTCTTGGAGCTATGATGTCTCCTGTCGGCCAGGCTAATAGCGCTCCTCGAATCGGTGTGTATGCCTCGTCTCCATGCTTGCCGGGCCAGTTGGAAGACATTTGACTTCGTCGTTAGGCCAGTGCTTGTGGCGGATTCTGCAGCGACTGCGCAAGCTGCGGATGCTTGTGTGGGCGCGAGTTCCGTGGTAAACCCAACCAGCAGCAATCCGCTGCCTGTATAGCTTCGTCGCGCATTATGGATATTCGGCCGAGGAAACGAGTGTTGCGACGCGGAGTGTGTTGACCTTCTGAAAGTATTCGGCCTAGGGAGAGAAGGGTTGACTGCAGGTTGACTGGCTTTCAAACAGGTGTTTCTCGTCGTTGCTGTTGTGATGGTCGGCCCTCGCAAACCCAAAGTCTGCGCCGATCCGCAGGCGCAAGACCAGAAGCGACGCCCGAGAAAAGTCGACGGAGCGTTAGACATTTCTCAAGCTCATCCTGTCTCTTGGTTGAACAGAGAGACAGCAAGAAGAAAGAAAAAGGAGGGAGATCAACGACCCTGTTTATTTACCGCTGGAAACGGACCAAGAACAACACAGAGAGAGGGGTGTAGCAAGAGAGTATTGAGGGAGGAGGTACGGCAAATATTAGCACATTTCATGCGCTCATGCAGAAATGACTTGAGATGCAAAGCTGGGCCAGGGAAGGGCACCTGTGAAAAGTCATCCCTGACGCGCTACCGCAGCTTTACCTTGCTGAACCCGGCAGGACCCGTTCCATAGGCACTTTACGTATGGGGCGTCGCCGTCCAGCAGAAAAATTCAGAGGCACATCATGGCCCGTGCTCCGAGTCTGGGCCCAATGCTGGTCCCAGACCGCTTGCTGACCTACGTGCCTACCTTACCTAAGCAGGTAAGGTGAGGTGAGAAGGCTCAGATGGGCAACGGCTGTGCACGGTGCTACCTTACCTTAGGTACCTAAAGTGCCTGGCCATCACCCCCCGGCCTTATCCCCTTATCGATAACGAAAACACAAAAATTTGGGAATTCGGCGATAAATCGATACTGGCTCACAACTGGCACCGCCGCTTTTTTCTTCACGACCACCGCCTACCCACCCCGCCAGACCGACTCGGCTCGACACCACACAACCAAGAAACACCACCACCGTCGAAGCGATACATACCCCTCGATTGAATATCGCCATCCCTTCCAGCCAATCCTTTGATACCCTTCGCAAGTCGAAAATCTGCCCAGCATGCCTGCCCCGACCGCTAAGCAGGTGGATGTTTCTGCCCCACCATTCGAAGCGGCCTTCCAAGAGCCTCAGCAAGACGAGGAGCTCCTCCTCGATGCGCCCACCCTGCCCGAGGAGATGGATGCGATTCTGCCCAGCGTGCCGCAGAACGGAGAGGAGGGCGAGATGGTTGTCGACGAGGAGAACCGCCCGCGCTTTGCGCCCGCCAGAGACATTGTGCGACAAGACACCCTTGAACCCCCCTTCATAACACTTGGAAATCTGGGGAACTAAGACGTTGCGTTTGCCCAGGATCCCGTCACTAGAATAGAGACTCGCAAGGTCCCCGTGCCTCCTCACCGGTTCACCCCGCTCAAGTCTTCTTGGCCCAAGAGTATGCTCCCTCTCCCCGAGTCCTACGCTACGGCAATGACGCACCTTATGTTTGCCCTCTCTAACATTTTACGCTCTCTCAGTCTACCCTCCGCTCGTCGAGCACCTCAAGCTACAGGTCCGCATGAATCCCCGCCGGAAACAGGTTGAGCTCCGGACCTCGAAGCATACCACCGAGGACGGCGCCCTGCAAAAGGGCGAGGATTTTGTCAAGGCCTTTACCCTGGGCTTCGACGTTGACGACGCCATTGCGCTGCTGCGTTTGGACGATCTCTACAGTAAGCCGGCCGGTCTCTTGTTCAATACTCCCATGTCCAGAAGCTGACGAGTTCCCCCCAGTCGAGACTTTTGAGATCCGCGATGTCAAGCAGGTTATGGGTAACGAGGCGCAAGGCCGCGCCATTGGTCGCATTGCAGGCAAGGACGGCAAGACAAAGTGTATGGAATATCCCCAGCAGCATTCCCACGCTGGAGAGATGGCCTTCTTACTGACATGATACTTCTAGTCGCCATCGAAAACGCCAGCAAGACACGTATCGTCCTGGCCGACAGCAAGATCCACATCCTCGGCGCGTACAAGAACATCCACATGGCTCGCGAGTCCATTGTCAGCCTGATTCTCGGAAAGCCGCCTTCCAAGGTCTATGGCAATCTGCGGACGGTCGCGGCGCGCATGAAGGAGAGATTCTAGAGAAGAGGGAAACGGAAAGAGAGGGTTTGAACAGTCGACAAACGGGAAAAAAAAAAAGTCATGGAAAAGAACGTTCTTTTATGGGTGGGTTTAATGATTGGTATGAATGGCATCCTATCATGGACTTCGGCGTTGTTGGCATTTTAGAGAGATTCCAAAAACTTTCCATTTAGGATTGGGGAGAAATGAAAGAAAGATTTCAAACATGTTTTTGAGATTGTACATAACACGTGAAGAATTTGGACGATGTCCATATTACATCTGCTCTCGGTTTCTAGCTGATATCAGGGAGAATGAATAAAGTGGCATAGAGCGAACTAACTCAGGCACATTGTCACGCTAGACTACCAAAGTTTTCTCACGGAACAGGTCAGATCACAGGCATTGACATCATACTAAACTCTTTCGAGTCTGCTGCTGGAAGAGGAAAAGGAGGGCCGCATGTTTTTAGCCCATGATTGACCGCTAGGTACGAGGGTATCCATCTCCCAAGAACCAAAGTCACGGTAGGAGCAAAATGATGGGAGTCGATTCGAGTCGATGAGATTATCCCGTCATTCTCCGGCACCGCAAGCACAGATGTGTCCTTGCTACCACCCTTGTGATTTCGAAGCCATATAGGGGTCAGGTCAAAGCATTAAAATAACACACTCTTCCTAAAATCCAGAGGCCAGGCCAAGAAACAACATCGTCACAAACACAGCCATGGCAATACGTTGAATGTCCGTAATGCGTTACTCCATAGACGTCTATACGTGCCTAACCCCCCCAAATCGAAGAAAGACTTTTTACATCATGGCCACTCTTCCCGGCAGCCGACTTGTCAAGCCTTGCCTTTTATCCAGGCATCTTGGACTGAACTGGCATTAAACCTTTTCCCCTTCCCTTCCCCCTCCCTGCTCTCTGTTCTGTCTCTCCTTCTCTCCGATCCTCCAACCCTCTCAGCTAGATGCTTCAAGTTGTATTCAAATCTTCAGATGCGTCATCAGAGCCACTGAAGATGAGGGGTTGCGTGTGTGTGTATGTGGTGATGCTCATATTCGTTTCGAGCAAATAGGCTTTACTCTCTGTGAAACCCGCTTACTCCTCATCATCCTCGCCCGCCTCAGGCACCTCGTCCGCCTCGTCGTCGCCGTCGAGGCCGCCAGAGGGGAGCTCGTACAGGCGGAGGATGGACTTGTTGGGGTCCTTGACGAGGATATACTTGCCGTCCTGCTCGCGTCTGAGACACATGTCGGCGATGGTGCGCACAATACCCCAACCGTTGGACAGAGACAGGTTCATCTGGTTGGCGAAATCGCGCGGCTTCCAGCCGACGACACCGAGGATGACGTGCTTGTCGTTGGACTTGGGATTGGCGCGGGAGACGAAACTGGGAGACACGTATTAGGATCGATTTGTTCAGAGACGGCAAACGAAAAAGGAGAAAGGAAACGTACCCAAGCTTCATGACATCGGCACGGGCGAGGATGCTCTGCACCGTCCACCTGGCGAGCTTGCAAGAGTTGTTCTTCATCTCCGTGGCGACGACGGCACCGCGCTGGGAGACGAGCTTCGTCCGCCAGTCGAGGGCGCCACCGCTGCCCTGGGCCTTGTTGTCGAACTCGTTGAGCGCGTGCAGGGTGACGAGCTGGTCGTCGCCGCTGATGGCGTTCTTCTGGACGGCATCGACCTCGGTACGCACGACGAGGTAAAAGTTGTCCTCCTCGCTGTTGGTGGAGAGGTCGAATTTGCGGTACTTGTAAGCCTTGCTGGCCGGCGGGTCCGTGTCCTCGGAGGCATTGTAGAAAGGGTTGGCGTTGGCCATCTCGAGCTTCTGGCCCTCGCTCTCGACGACGACCTGGTTGGCGAAGTTGTGGTTGATGTAGGTGGCCTCCTCGGCGAGGGCGCCGGGCATGTTGAGGCTGTCCTTGGAGCCGTCCGAGGCGTCCATGGGCGAGTCGGCGGCGTTCTCGTTGACGGTGACCATGTCGAGCGCGGCGTTATCGCGCTTGTCGAAAAAGACCTTGTTGCCCTGCACCGAGATGACAATGTCCCAGGGGTAGACGGACCGCGGGGAGCACATGAGCATGGAGAGGATGCTGTCGGTGGCGAAGATGGAAGCCTCGTCCTTGTCGGCGAGCTCCTGGATCACAGGATCGGAAGAAGTCGTGACATTGTACGCAGCACGGTCAATGGCGTTGAGCTTGCGCTCGAAGCCCTTGACGGCAGGCTTGTCGTATGAGCGGTCATAGTTGTAGACGAAGCCGTAGGCGTCAATCTCCTCGCCTTCGTCGGCGTCCAGGTTGAGCTTGGCGAGGCGGTTGTAGTCAATCTCCTCGAGCAGCTTCCAGTCCGCCTTGATGTTGACGCTGGCGTCGCGGTTGCGGGCGGGCTTGTCGTAATCCTTCCAGCCGAAGCGGCGGCCGCCGCGGGCACCGCCTCTTCCGCCCCGTTCGAAGCCTCCTCCATAGCCTCCGCGGCCGCCCTGCTGGCCGCCACGGGCCACGGTCGTCCGGCCACCGCGAGCGTTCTGAGCGGGACCACCGCGCTGGCCGCGGCCGCGGGTGAAGACGGCGCCACGGCCGAATCTCGTCTTGGTGCTGTCGCGGGTGTTGCTAACGACGGAGAAGGTGGACTCGTCCTCGGCGGGAGGGGCGTTGAAGGAGATGGCGTGGCCGGCACCGTAGACTTGTTGGTCTTTGGAAGGTGGTAACGAGTTAGCGACGAGGTCGTCTTCTTCGAGGGTCGAGCGAAAGAGAGGTGACACTTACCACGGTAGCTGCGGTTGTACTGCTGTCTGCCGCCGCGTCCGTCTCTGTCCTTGCCGTCGGAGGTCCAGTCGGCCATACGCCCGAGCTTGTCGCCCTTGGAAAAGGGCGCATAGGGAACACCGTTCAAGGTAGTCTCGGTGGTGACGGGCGGGCCCCAACCATCGCCAGCTGGGCAAGTCTCGACGAGCTTGACCCAGTCCATTTCCTGAGCCATGTTGAAAATAGTTTCTTCCTTCGAATCGGCTACAAAGAAATGCGTCGAATCGAAATCGGGGTAGCTGTGCGTCTCTCGGGATGGGAAAGGGGGGTGGCAGCAGCGCTTTCGGGCTTATGGAATTGAATTGAAAAGTCGTCAAGGGTTTTTGGGTGGTGCACACCTCCTCTCGCCGTCGATTTTCGTCGTTCGGATTTGGTGGGGTGAAGTTTGTGGGGCAGAGCGGGCAAAATTTCAAAGAGTTGTGTTCGACACCTGGCGCCAACTGGCAGCCATTCGTTTCCACGCGACACAGGGCCACGACCAGCTGGCAGCTGCATCGGGGCCGCGAAACACCAGAGCACCTCGAGCTCTCCGTTGAATACGCCCGCGGTGAATCACACATCAAGTGACAAGTCTCTGAGTCTGATGGCATTTTCCCAACTTGACTTGATAGGGCTTTCCAAAATTTTGCATCTCATTAAGGCCGTGGTATCAAAAGTAGGTAGTCCCCGAGATTCCCAGAATACGCTCCCAATGTTTCTAGTTTGAGCCTCTCCTCTCCTCTCCTCACACCATTCATGCATGCAAGAGATTCGCAGAATTCCCTGATGAAATGCTCCTTCTCACTCTCCTTTCAATGCCGGATGCTCTTAGTAGGCATAGTTCATCATTTCCGGTCCGGAGCAGAAGACATTCTCCAAAGCGTCCCTGACCTCAAACTCCTCCATTACGGCACCAAAGCTGGTTCCAGTCAGCATGAGCCACGGCAGGTGCACATAACAATATGAATACGTACCCGTAGCATCGGACCTTGTCCTTGAGCTCGTCAGTGAGCTTCTGGAAGTCCTCGGCTCGAAGCTCGTAGGCTCTGGGGTGGCCCAGGACCATGCCCCAGGCCATGACCGGCGTGACCTCGCCATCGAGGTTCAGCTTCTTGCTGAGGTCAAGCAGGGCCGAGAGGCTTCCTTTGCTCACTTCCCACGTCCTCTGCTGGGAGTCCAAGTCCCCGTTGACATTGCTGTACCCGAACGGGATGTCGGGTGTCAGCTCCGGGAACGGCGCGGGGGGGCAGGAGGCCATTAGTGCGTGTCCGCAGGGCTCGCCGCCCATCTCGCTTGATCTCTCCAACAGCCAGGGCATGTGATTCATGCAGGGTTTCTCGAGACTGTCACATACCCTCGATAAAATCGCACTCGTCAGCAAGCTCTTCTTCCGTTCGTTGCAATCATCGCTCACACCACCCGACTCCCGATGATGTCCAGGACTTGGTGATATGACAAGTACTTTTCACTGCGGGGGAGGTGATAGGTATGCCTTCGAGGGGTGGTGGTTATCGTACGTTAAGACGAAGTCAATGCCCGCTTGCTCAAAGTCCACACCTCTACCAGAGCTCTGCCCTCGTCTGTTTTGCTGCAGTTGCTGGCTGCCCATCTGGGGAAGGGGAGGGGGCGGACCGTGTGAGTGGGAGTGAGACGGACCGTGAGACGAAGGCGACACCGACGGCGCTGTCGTCGACGTCAAAGGTGGCGTATAGGCGTTCTGGCCATAGCTGTGGCCGGACTGGCTGGCGCTGGACGTGTAGCCTCCGCTGGGGTTGCTGACCATATCGTCGCCGTAGTGGGATAGAGGAATTCCGTTCTGAACCAGGAGCTGCTTGAGCTGCCTGTTCTCCTCAGCCACCTTGTCCTTGTCTTGTGATATGTTGCTGAAGATCTCTTTCAGTCTGAGGACCTCGTCTTCCAGAGCCTTGATGTATAGCTCTTTCCTTTCACGATGCGTACTGTGCATTCCACCGTCAGTACCCGGATCGTGTCGCTTGACCCTCCTGCCAGACTGTTCATTACTCACCGTTGCGCCTGTCTATTCAATTCTTGTCGCCGGGTCAAAGCAGGTTTGCTGTCGGGTTTTGGTCCTCTCCTCTTGGGCGTTTGACCGTCTGCGAGCACGCCTTGTCAGAACGTAGTCCTTCTGGGACGGAGGTATCGTTGCCCCTACCTCGCGTTGTCCTCTTTTCCGTCAGGGACTTGAGAAAGCCCAGATTCAACGAGCTCAGCGGGCCCCGCTCTTGGTCGGAGCCAGAGCCGCCGCCGCCGCCGCCGCCATACTGGCCCTGCGACGGTTGCTTCCCGTACTGGTCAGGCGACAACGAGGAAGCCATCGCTGCCCTCTCTTGAAGCTCGCCCACAGACTGCTTGCGTGCTGGAGACGACGACTGGTTCGGCGGGGAGCGATAAGCTGCCAAATTACCTAGGTCAGTCATTGTGTCGCCCTACAATCATTACTTCGAAAGGGAACAAGTGGTTTAAGAAGCGGTGCAGCTCCTGTCGACGCTTGAAAGGGGCGGGATGCAAGGCGATGGCGGGGGTGATGTCTTTACAAATACGTCTCGATTCGGGGCGTATCCGACAGTCGGAGGAGACAAGATGACTTGAAGGACTTACCTAGGACAATTGGATGCGCGATAGTCAGTCTCCCGCTTCGTCAAGCAATGCGATACTGTGTGGCGGCGGTAGTCGTCCGTCAAAGCAGGCGATGTTGCGGTGGAAAGGGATCGACCCGTTCACGGCTGTGTCATGCGCTGGGTTCGCGGGACCGCGATTATGGTTATTTGAGAAGCTGTTCTCGAACGTGAAACCCAATTCTGGCGTCCGAGCTGTCTGAGGATGCTATGCAGTTGCGACGAGGGGGACGAGCAGGGCGCGGATAGTAGAAGGGTCGGGGTAGGCTGCGTAGATTAATCCGCCCTGTTTTAGAATTGTTTGACACAGTCCAGACGAAGAGGATGGGTGTCTTGCGTCCGGGGGTGGGTGGACGGTTGCAGTCTGGCTTTTCTGGCTCCGGCTCAGGTTCAGGCTCAATCAAGCTCAGGCTAACTACCCAGGTAAACCACTGGCCACCTAACAGCTTGGGGTTGGGGGAAGGGGGAGTGAGTTGGAGGAGGGGAGCAGTAGAAAATGGCAGAGGTGATAACGAGAGAACGGATGACGGCGGAGCGGAGAAACCACCAAGAAGGACAGGTTAAGACGGGGGGCACGTTAAGAGCCCTTGGTTTGGTACTTTGGCTGTGGCTCCGTTCCGTGCTGGTGGCCAATGTTTGTTGCGAATCGAGATGACAAGAAGCAGCGCCACCGCCCTCTTCTAAGACAAGATGGCGAAAGTCGAGAGCAGAAGGGAACACGGGCGGGCGGCCAAGGCGGTTGGTCCAGTCAGGTCAAGTCAATCAGTCGCGAGCCCAACGTGTCTGACTCTCTGGAGTCTGGCGGAGAGCCGCGAAGAGGATGACGGGAAGATGAAAATGCGGGGTTTCAGCAGCAGAAGCAGCAGCAGCAGCAGCAGCAGCAGCCCGTTGCCCGGATCGAATCGACCTTGAGCCTTGTGATGGGTATCACGTACGCATAGAAGGGAGAGAGGATGACAGAGTCGGCAGGCTAGGCGTTCGCAACTCTGACTTGGAAAGCCTTAGGTGGTCTGTCTGCTGGGTCTGGTTCACAAAAGGTTCGAAGAGACCCCGGAGATGGATCCTTGCATCGAGGCCGATTTCCAATGGGTAACCCCCCCCCCCCCCCCCCCCCCCCCCCCCCCCGCCGCCCCCCCCCCCGCGCGGGTGCGCGGACGTGCGGCGCGCTGGCCGCGCCTGGCGCCTCCACGGCCGTCGCTCTCTGTTGTTTGTGTCTCTCCTGCTGCGCCCCCGCGCCCCCGGTCGGCGGCGGGAGTTCACCGTAGTTGGCCTGTTAGGCAGTGCTGATTTGGCGGCTTGGCCTTGGACTTGAACGATCATGTTCGATTTCGTTGCTTTTTCGGAATCATCGGCGGTTCCACGCACTTGTCTGCCCTTAGCTCTTCTGCCTTACGCGAAAGAAAGGCCGTCGGCCGGAGTGGCAGTCTGACGAAGCTGACGGATAGAAGCACCTCGAGATTCGTCACCGGATGGGGCTATGCCATGTCGAACAAATGGGCAGCTTGTAGGGGCGAGATCTGGCTTGTGGTGAGGCCGAGGAGAAGCGGCACGCGGCGTACTGTGTGACAAATATTGGGAGAACATGTTGGCGCCGGCACTGGGCACTGGCAGAGGCGGGGCGGGGGGTTTAGAGAGGCGCCTTACGCCTTCCGTGCTCGGCGGGCGACGGTTCCTGGCCTGGAGTTCTAGACCCCTCAAGCTTGTCAAGCCTACCTCATGGTCCGTTGGCGGTTGAGTGAGGTCCAGGGCGGCGTGCCCGTGGCTGGCCAGGCCCTCTCTCACGTCTCTGTACTCTCAGTCAATGTACATGGACAGTAGACCATGATGGTCCAGATCCAAAGTAAGCTATTGAATGCCTCGCAATGTCAGTCGGCCTTTGTACAAGGCAATGGCCCCCGCCCGATTGACTGACCGAATACTCTGGACGGCTGGCAGAGTGAGGCATCAGAGGCTTCCAAGTCCCGCCAGAGCACAACAAAGTGCTGCGCCGGCACAAGCGGGGAGGAATGGAGGGGTTCCCACTCGCAGCTCCCGTTCCGGGCCATGGTCAAAGCAGCCAAGTCAGAAGTATCCGTATGAGTGAGTGGATAGGTAGTAGGTATGTGTGCACAAGTGCCTCACCTCTTCTCCTCCCAGCTATGCTCCTCCTGGCTTGCGAGAGAGTGTGAGAGGGTGCATACATAGTAGTCGAGACAGCATTCGGCCCTTGCTGCTGCTGTTGCTTCATCTGCCTGGAATGCTCTCGCGTGGCTTGACTTGCCTGACTCGGCGTCTCATCCACCCACGCTGCCCCCCAGCGCCCCTCCCCAGCGCCGGCTTCAGCTCCGACTCCAACTGTCCTCCATCTCCAACCGCGAGTCCCCCAACTCCAGATCCAGACATTGAGACCCCTGGGCCGGCCCTGGTGGTGGGCGAGCGGCATGGGCATGTTTGCTTGTTTGCTCGCTTATCAGAATTGCTCTTCTTGGAATCGTCAGATTCCCATGCACGACAGCCCTCGCCAGACAGCAGCAGAAGGCCGTACGTCCGTACGGGACGTGTCACAACCAGCTCTGACCCCTTGCTAGACCAACACTTCTCCATGGCAGACGCACACGTGCAAACTTGCATTTCTGCTAGCCAGCGGCGCGTCCAAGCTCTCTTTCTTACGAGGCATCATCTCGCCTGCGAATCTCTGCAAAGAAATCCCATGATTCCCATCTCTCAAATTTCCGATCCACACAGACCTCGGTCCAATGGCCGCATTGACATCGGACGAGCCGGGGAAAAAGCCAAGAGTCCCTTAACTGGACCTCACACCTGACGGCCTAATTTGAGCAGCTCGACTATGCACACTTGACTGCTTATATCTGCAGCCAACCTTGACACTCGAGCATCCTACTCTCTGTGGGCCAGTGTGCTCATCTCGTCGCATGTCGAATGATATCCAGCACGTCGTAGAGCTGTCAGATCCTTCAATGCTGGCACTTTGACGTCTCACCTGTCCCTTCCAGTCCTTCCAGGCGCGGCCCATGTGATCAACTGCCAGGAACGTGGAACCCCTGCCTCCGAGTGGTTTGACTGGGGGCTCCTCACTTCCATGATTAAGTTAAGCCCGCCGTTCGTCGGTCGACCCGCCAGAGATCATTCATGGACCTCTGCCAAAAGTCCATGCCGTCATTTTATCCCATTTGGGAATTTGGGCGGGACCGGACGTATCTGCTAGTGGAAGCCAACCACAGTAGCATCGCGTTTCCTTCCCCCCCCCCGGTTTCCGTGCTGTCGCAAACATGTCCTTTGAGAAAAATCCTCAGCCCACGATCGCCAAACTAAACAGCCTCTTCCTCGTTGGCAATAGGGAGCCCAGCTGTGACTGTGCTCGTCGACTGAGAGGGAAGAGGAACGCGCATCTCTGAGACGAGTGAACCCTGGATCGTCGCCCACTCGTTCGAAACCTTCACCCTTGATCTGCTGGCCAAAAAGGCCACGCGCGCACGCGGCTCCCTTTCGAAACATCCCTTGGTCTAGGGCAGGCTGTCTTGGTTTGTAGATCGGGTTGCCGCGCTTCGGCTCGCCCACTAGACGGCCAACCTTATTCTTTTCTTTTGGGTAGTCGCCAGTTGCGAAAGAACTCAGAGTGTAATCATTTCGTGCACCCATTCACCTGCCTGCACGCCTCGCTCTCCGATTCCACTAGAGTGAGCCCTTGCGATTGACTACTCAACGGTCATGGCTGGCCACGGCAACGTGCTCACTCACTTCCGAGGGGCCGTCATTCTGGCGCCGTGGGTTCTTTGGTTGCTGTTGGCAGATACCGCCATCTCACTTCAGCTGCCGCTGAAATGGTTTGCTCCGGATTTCGTGTACAACTCCTCGTCACGCATCGCTGAGACGGTTTGGTACTGGATCCAAATCATTTTCGAAAAATTCAATGGCGCCAATATCACATTTTCCGGCGATGCCCTCCCCCGCGGGGAGTCGGCGGTGGTAGTCGCCAACCATGTCGGATGGGCGGATTTTTACATGATCCAAGCTCTGTCGATCAAAGCCGGGATGTTGGGTCGTTGTCGTTATTTTGCCAAGATCCAGCTGCGGATAGTTCCCTTCCTTGGCTGGGGCTTGTGGGCGATGGGCATGCCCATGGTGAGTCGGAACTGGGCCAAAGACAAGCATGAACTTGACAGGGCATTCTCCGGCATCGTGAACAGGCAATGGCCGACCTGTAAGTGTTTAAGCTGATAATGTTTCTTCTCTAATGTGACTGTACTTTGGACTGACGATGAACAGGGCTCATCAGCTTCAGCGAGGCCACTCGTTTCACAAAGAAGAAGTATGAACAGTCAATTGTCTGGTGCAAGGAGTCAGGCCGGCCGCAGCCCAAGCATCTGCTGTATCCGAGGACGAAAGGATTCATCACCACGGTCAAACACCTCAGGAAGGCGTCTCATGTGAAGGCCGTATACGACTTGACGATAGCGTATCAAAGAGGGAACGATTTTCATGCGGCCCCGACCATGTGGGACACCTTGAGCGTTCCCGGGCTGAGCTCTCGACTTGGATACAAGTTCCACGTCCATGTTCGCAGATTTCCTCTCGAGACTCTACCGACTGATGACGAAAAGCTGGCAAAGTGGCTCGAGAACCTCTGGGTCGAAAAGGGAGAGTGGCTTGATGTGAAGAAGGCCGAGTGGGCTTCGATGACTTGAAGATGCCTGATACGGTCATTTTCACAGCCAAGTCGGTAATGTGACACGGTCGAACGAAGGTTGAAAAGTCCATGCCGTCCGTCGTGGTACACGTGACGGAGAAACAGGGGGCCGGCTTTATTGTCAGGCGGTGGAAAGTGGTCTATAGCCGAGACAGTCACTCCTCCTTCGGGGGCAGCCAGATTACAGAAAGCGCTCTGCAGTGGCCTTTCCATAATGTAATCCAGAGTCGTCAAGCCATCCTACTACTTCCTTTCCATTCCACTTCTGGTGACTCGAGGGCTAACACAAGGGGAAAGAGCTGACTGTTCTCTTGATACCGGGCAGAGCTGTGAGGTGCCTGCCTTTCAGATGATGAAAGCTCAATGTGTAGACCATCACGACGATTGCAACTGCGCTACATTTCTGCGGAAGGAACGTCATATGACCATCCGGCGCAACGAAGTTTCCATGTCCAACACCTGGCACTGAACAGTTTATGACAGCAAGGTTCGGATTCCACGCAGTTGCAGATACTACGACACCGGTCGTTCAGCATATTGCAAACATTCCCTCCCTTTTGCCGAACCTTGATTCGTGATAAAGGGCTGGTCAACAATCTATGAACAGGGACTGGACTTCTCCCTTTACCCTGGGGTTCAGTGGACGAATGGACGACGGTGGTTTTCCATTTTCTACAAGGCGGGAGGGGAATGATGTACGTGGCTATTGAGGGTACGAACCATACGAGAATTGCTCCCCTTTCACAGGGCCAAGTAGGACTTGTGGGTTCGATGTTATTACGTGTAATTGGCTTGACAGCTCCCCCGGATTTCCAGGTTACGTGTGAATGACGGGTGGTTGTGCTCATGCTGATATGTCCAGTCGAGCCGAGACAAGCTGATGGTCTTATATCACTATCAAATCATCGCCTTGCCGCTTCTGCATGACCTCGAGCTTACTGTGCATACGTAGTTCATGATTGCCCGGTGGTTCTGTTAGATATCGTGGGATCATATGGAACCTTCTCCAAAAGAATCAGAATCTTTCGTGATCTTCGTATTGACAATAGAGATTTGATCATATTTTGAAATCTTTGCGACATTTTGAAACGCGTTCCATGTCTTCCACTTGTTTTGTGCCAATTGTTTGGTGGATGTTCTCGACGTAACCAGACATGGATTGAGCCGGTGTGAGGCTCGCAATGCCCTGGTAAAGGACCCAAGCTTTCCGATTTCAAGGACGAGTATCCGTATGGACAGCCATCAAGTTATTTTCACATGCTACATCATCTCATTTTATACCAAAAACTCCACGCTAGAGATACACCTCGACAGCAGAGCCGCGTCCACCATGCTGGGCATCCAACCAGCTCCCTGATTCTTATCTCGGGATGCAAAACACCTCTACTCAGCCACTGTCTCACACAGGATGGGCTTATCATCCTTATACGAACCGTCCACGTACCTTTTACTCGCTCTGGATGACCTCGGAGACCGTCCCGACCTCCAGAGACCGGCGCGTCGGTCAAGACAATCCCATTCTACTGCCGGACATGACAATTAACAGAGATTTTCCGGCTGCGGTCTGCCCTCGGACAACTTCGTCCACAGCCATCGATGGAAATGACTGAAGTCTCCCGCGGGAGAAGGCGTGTCGACGGCTATTGAAACCTTCAGAGTCAGCCGCTGATCCCGAAGGCAGTAAGCTTTCTCTTTCGACAAGATATCCCGGCGGTCCTCGGAGCTTTGCTTTGCTTTTCCTTTGTCTTCGTCTTCGCGTTTGTCCCTGCATGGCACAGCCGCCTCCTGATCCTGTATACTATCTCCCTGTAAAGCTTGACAACTCCTTCCAACCCCTTTTTTCTGTCGCCGCTTCGACCTGACACTCAATGACAGCAACGGCAAGGCGAAGCAGCCTCTCGGCCGACCATCCCCTAGACTCCACCGAAGCCTCTTTATCTCCGTCCCCCGGCGCCCTACTCTCTTGTGTATCCTCCATCCGCTTCCTCACCATCCACATTTGTCAGTCTCCTCGACGCCAGCCCCAAGATCCTATCCCGCCGCCTCCACTAGCCTTTGGATTATTACGGTGATCTTGAACCGTTCCCACGCCTCCTACAGCGTTGTCCAACAGTAGATCTTGTCCCTGGCACGCGTCTGCCCCCGCCGTCCGATCAAATGCCGGCTCCGCTCCTCCGAACACGAGACCTTGTGGCTCCGCTTGAAGGGAGTCCCCTCTCTCCGGCGTGCGTCCGTGCGGTTCCGCTTCAGCCCGCTGGGCGAGATTCGGCTACCTGGAGGCATTTTCGGGCGGTGGCTTGGGCGCCGGGCCGGTGCGTTTGTAGGACGTCCCGTTCGCTTCTGCTCGGCGTAGACGACGGTTGCGCCTCCGGGGACGGATCTCGGCGTTTCGGCGGGGCCCAAGGCCCCTCCTACGCTTGATTGGGTGATTTCAGGCGCAGGGGTCGGCCTAGGCCCTGGTGTTGGTGTTTCCTCTGTGGGTGACATTATCTCTGTTATGAGAACAGAAGGGCTTGACCAATACGCGCGACTTTCAGTCCTTTACTCCTTTCGCGGCATAAAATTGACAAAGCTGCTTACACAACTTACCAATGAACTTGACATCGAGCTCGACTCGTCACCCACTTCTGGGACCTTCTGGTGCAGCCAATGTCTCATTGACGAAGCCGCCTGATCGCCCCCATTCAGCCGGACCTAGGATACCACCTTTGGACGCAGATTAATAGTGCTAACCCTCATTCCCATGCGAATTCAGCGCATGAAATGGCTGAGCTTCCATGGCATTTGGAATGAAGTTACGGGCTTGGTGTCCGGCTCTCTTCAGCATCCCAAGCACATCTGGCATATTCATACTGTCTCAAGAGCCATCTGCCATCAAACATCATCTCTGGGGGTTGCTATCGATATTACTTCACAAGCATATCTCTCCGTGGCAGTCAAGTAATGTTACCTACCATCGAAGAGATGGTTTAGGAAGCACCCACGCCTTTGATTGGGACGGGTTACTATCGATTCTTCTGTTTAATGGCATGGTAGGGACACAAGCACCGTCCAGCAACAGGTCGGCGATGAAGTCATAGTCATAGTATCGCGTTAAGTGTTTGGCCATGAGACAGACACGAAACTTAACAAACATTGAGAGAAGCTTACAGCTTCTGCCATTGATTGTAGACTGGCAATAGGTGACGAGAAAGATCCATGAGAAACTAGGCTTGGAAGGTTTACGCTGCCATCGACACATTCAGTTGCGACTAATAAGCATCAAAAACCCAGATTGAACTTCGGCAGTGTAGTTTTATGGGTAGCTTGAGCCTGGACGGACTCTTCCGATAAGTAGATGCCTGTAACATTGGAACGACCATCAAGGTCTCTGAATCATTTGCCCAGCCGTCAATTTTCTGGGGTATACTATTACTGTCTGAAAAGTCAATTCAGACATCGACAGGCTGGGCAAGAGGATCTCTGCGCCTCCCAGCCACCAGGTCACCCGCCGCAGTCTATCCCGGTTGCACTCCGCCTGACGGCGATCAAATTACTGACCGCCTCTGTAGATCGCGGGAGGCGTCTTTAGTCATCTCCTCTTCTCACAGAGGTTGCGGTTCAAGACACCTGGCGTTCTCCAAACCATGACAGCCTGCCGCCCTTTGGAATTGTACGAGAACGCCCTACAGACAAGAACAAGAGAATTGGGAAACGAATTAACATCGAGTAAGAATGGCAGGAGAAACGTCATAGAGAAGGTTTGGGAAAGAACGAAGGCCGTGCTTTTCGGCCAGCTGACTTGACAATCCATCAGGATCCCACAACCTTGTGGGCGGAAAGGTTGTGGGCGGAAGAGAAGCCGGAGCGCCAAGGATGGATCTGGGGTAATGGAGGCTTTTCCAAACCGCTGGCGTGGTGGGCTGCTCCTGACTTTCAGAGACTGAGAGACATGCAGTTGCATGAGTCGTTAAGGTTGTCTGGGGTTGCGGCAACGGAGGGGGCTAATTCCATTTGGAAAACTTTGGCTGTCTGAGCTTCTGGCATGTCTGGGATGGCGTCCTGTGAAATTCCTCAGCCGATAGCAGGTACACTGATGACTTCTCTCCATTCATTACAGCTCTCAAAAATCATTGAGCAGAGATAGAGAATGCCTTGCGCTTGGGACGAACAGTCTGCTCAACCGAGTAAGGCGGGTTGGCAGCGGGTTGAAGCCATCATTCCTTGACTAGATAGGGCAGACCCCAATGAATCGTCACCAACATCTGAGCGCTCTGCCGATAGGAGAGACGAAGAGGTGGTCAGTAGACCGGCAAGACTGGTGGCTCCATTGGCTAGACCTGATGATCGGGGACGTACGACTGGGGACATCAGTGCTGTCATTGGCACGCCATGGCAAGCCTGGGGGAGGACATTCAGAGGCGGAATCACGATTCGGCACCATTACCCCGTCGGCGGGCTGGGAAATTGTAAGCGTTTTCTTTGGTTTGCTAACTATTTTTGGCGAGGGGAAGAGTCAGTACCCCATCGTGGAAGAAGAGAAGCATGCATGGTGTGTGCGAACGGCAGGGATGATCGGGATGACGAAGATTCTCAGACTAGTCGGTGAAGCGTAATTTGGCAACGAAGAAATAAAAAGAAGAAAAAGTGAGCGAAGCCAACTGCGAACATTTGAGGGTGTCGCGCTGCAGCAACGTGCTCACGCTGCACACCCCGCATGCTGGAAACCTGAGATGATTCGACGCTTTGGAATGCGTTACCAGTAGGCACGCTGAGATCCTCTACTCATCCTATAGCCGATTGGTTTTGGATGTCAGGGATGGCGGGAAAGGCGACATCATGCGGGCAGAACGCTTGGCGCGGGCGTCTTTGGGGGGGAGGGGGGAGGGGTTGAAGTCGATCTCAGCTACTGACGCCGTGAGTTGTTTAAGTGAGTAAGTGGGATGCAGAGCAGGACGAGGTGGGAGATCCTGGTGAGTAGCAGAGGCGGTGGGCGACCACCGTAGATAGTCTTGTCACCTCACCTGGACGTCGTGAGATGGTGGTGCCAGCGGCTGTCGTGAACTGTCGTTGCAAGGACGCATTAGGGAACGATTCATCCTATGGGCCGTTGTTCGTCACGGCGTGCGGAACACGTTTTCTTTGCGACAGTCTTTCCGGCTTTCGAGACCCCCTTTGCTCCGCTGACAACTCGCATACCGTTCCACAGCATCCCGGGCATTGGGTGGCGCCCCTGAATTGCTGGCATGGAACGAATACCCCATACCTAGTCAACGACGTTTTTCTGCAGCACTTGGGCCGACTACATCTCTCTCTTACTCACTCTCTCTCTCTTTCTCTACGCCGGGTTTGACGCAATGGGAAAATGTAAGAATGGTTCGCTTCAACGGAATGTCGAGACCTGGCCAAGGTGGCCGGCGAGCAAATGCAGGCAAGCATGCAGCTGCATACTGGAGGACGTTGCCTCAGACCTCGAGCGAAAGGGTTGCTGATCACTCGTCCCGTGGTGGTATTCGCCATGGAAGAGGTAGGTACAAATTCGTGGGTGTGGCACGCGTGCCATGACAGACTAGGAATGACAGCAACGAGGGCAAAAGAGAATGTGGAGGAGCAAGAAGCAACGTCAGGTATTCGTTGAGTCCCATCCACCTTCAGATTCTGGTTCTGGCGAGGCTCTGCAACCTCCGTTTGACGCAAGTTGGGCTGCCGAGTAGCGTTGTATTGGAGAGGTAATGTGGCGGATGGCTTTTCGTCGCCCTTCCTTCCCGAGCTGATGAACGTCAGTCAAGGTTCACTGTTAGCTTCTTGCCAATCGTTGTTCCAGAGTATTTGAGTGTCTCTAGGTCTCCTTTGAAGCATCGTTGACATTTTTCGAACCCCGTTTATCCCGGCTTCATCGGGGTTAGAAACAGCACGAGGGGATTTCAATCTCTCTGTCACCTGTTGTGAACTCGAGACACCCCGGACTGGGGATGCCTAATGTAGATCAGCGCAATCTTGAGGGGTCTGCTTGAGCCAGGTCGTTTGCATTCTTGAGGGCATCCATCCCGGATGACCCATCGACGATCTGAGTGTCCCTCACAGAGATCCGCAGCCACCAAAACAAAGGAGGGGTGGCGACCTGGAACGGGCGGCGCCGTAACGAGGACCCTACGGTCAATCAAGTAGGAGACTGCGGGCAGCGAATATTGATTGACTGCAAACACAGCTTGAGGCGGGAAGTTTTCTTTCTTTTGACGGGGCCAACAGGTTAATATGTCTTGGTGCCGCGAATGTGACGGTGTACTTCGAGTAAAATGCACCAGAAAGTTGATCCGTGGCACGATGGTATTAAAGCAAAACCACCATATAAGGAGGCTACGTCGCGGCGAGGGTGTCCAGTATCGAGAGCAGCCCCCCTTACTAGGTAACATACGTACGCCTCAGATGGAGCGACTTGAAGGGGAGACCAGCTGATGGTGTCTCACCACGATGGCATGGGTTGGGACGGGAAACCCCAATGCAAGTGCCACCCAGCATGCGCTTTAGTCCCCGGTGCCAACATGCGGCGTCGGCTTGTACTGAGTGACCGGCGGAAACGCGGATGTCACCCAGACCAAAGTCAAGCGGTGGCAGCTAGACAAACGAAAGTTGCCAACCAAAAGGCCCCCTGTGCTCTGTCGTTGGTGGTACTGGATTACGTCGCTCAATGGAAATGGGGCATGAATAGGCCAGTGGCCGTTGAAAAGCAGTTGTGCTCTTGTATATGTCTCCCGTGACCGGCAACATAGCCAGTGGCCTCGGCTTCGGCGTTGGTAGGCCGGGCTTTGAGTTAGAGGACCGAATATGGGATAGCCGTGTTTGCGAGATGGCATTTGGCAGTTGGACCCTTGGAGACGTCTTTGTAGGGTCCAGGCAGATGTGTTGGTAAGCCGCCCGTCTCCGTAATGACCCATCAGCCATGGCATTTTGCGAGAGGCAGGCATGTTGCGTTAGCGCGGCGCGCAAGGGAGCCGGAGGAACATAGTTTCCCATGTGGCCGTGTCAAACTTTGGGCTGGTGTTTCTGGCGCTCTCCTTGGTGTTGAGACATGGTCTTCTTGGGTTGAAGTTTGGACGAAGGAGCGGTAGGTGTATCATGCGTCGGAATTAAAGGCAAAGGAGCAGCATAGAGGACACGAAAGGATTGATTTGCCCGTCGAGCCCGTTGTTAGTGGACGGCGCAAGGGAGGATAGCGACAACAAAGATAAGGCAGGGTGGGAAGCCAAACAAAGCTCGACAGATACGACCGACCCTTTGCCGAGCATGGTGACAGTGGGTGGTGTAGGCTTTCGTAAAGGTATTCGTAAAGGTATTCGTGTGTGGGTGTGCGCCAGACGGGGGTTAAGGGTGGTAAGGCAAGGCAGGCCGTGGGTTGGGAGGGTCTCGATGCATAGTGTAAGTGTTGCTGCGCAGGATTTCTTGCATGGCCGTTGTTGATTTTCGTCCTGTCCTTGGTAACTCGTTTCTTTTCCCGGGTTGTCGTCTTCCTCCCACCACTCCGCAGGCCTTCGGAGCTCCTCGGTTTCTCCGTCTGCTTGATACTTGAGATGCCAATGAGGCACATGAGTGGTTGATTGGTGGCGTGGCTTGTGCCTAAAGCCAGTCTGCAAGGGATCGTAATGGCAAGGAGACCAAGGCAACATAAGAAGAGTAAGGGCAGCTCAGTGGCAGTTGAGCATGAAAAATGAAGCAAGAATAGGCCCCGTCCGCTGGACCGTTGTTGATTTGTTTCCAGCGGACAAAACCTCCGAGTGGCCCCCAGCGGCCCCCAGCGGCACCCCCAAGCGGCGGCCCCTCCGCCAGCCCAGCGAAGCCGAAGCGTGAGGTAACGCAATGGCCAGGGCCCAGTGGAGGGCAGTGGCAGTGTCCCACCTCCCGTCTCGTCCAATGTGTGACTCGAGGTGGTGCGGTGGTGAGGTGTTGGGCTTGGGTAACTTGGGACCTCCCTCACTCCTTACCCTCATTGGTTCTTCTCTCTTGCTGCCGCTGCCGCTGCCGCCGCCGCTCCTGCCCCTTCCCTTCCTTTCCTGCCCTTCCACCCCCCCACCCCCCGAAAAGTCCCAAAAAGTCACATCCGTCTCCCCGACTCCCTCGCTCGTGTTTTAGCGATTGAGCTAACTGAAAATGGCCCTAGACTGCATCGAGTAGAAGTACGCCGTATTGTAAAGGAATTTGGCTTGTTAAGCATGTACATCTACTGGGTCGGTGCTGTTAAACTCTCATCTGATTGGATAGACGAGACATTACCCCCGCTTTAACCACCCACCCTGGCCACTGAATGCTCTCAGGACCCATAATAAGGACACGACCACTGGGCACCTTGCCCTGCTTGCTTCAAGGCGTGGAAGGTGCTGACTGGGTCTGACTGGGCTCTTGCCGACTGAGAATTACTACTCTGTGCCTTCCCAAGTACCTTAGTTGAGGGTGCTAAGTGCTAAATGCAAAAGGCAACGCAGAGACGGTAATGAGGGACTGACACCATCATCACAAAGGGCCACCCTGCGGCGTGAACTTTGCCTGTGCCCTTCCCTGGGACTTTTCCCCCCCTCCTCCTACCAGAGTTTTCTTTTGGTGTTTTGTTTGACGACGACAGACGAGGTCCAGTACGGCCACCGACCTTGCGAGCTCTGGCCCAGACTGCAACGCCTACCGTCGCGTTCGCCTTCGCCTTCGCGTCTCCCCTCGTCGACTCATTCCGTCCTCGCCCGGCATTCGAATAGACAACGAAGAAACCTGGGTCGGTCTACCAGAACCACCACCAGCGTTCGATCACGTTCACTTCATCAACGCCGAGTGTGCCCAGTCCGACTCTTGAGCTCACCTCCTGGAGCCGCCCGACCTGCTCTTTGCCGACAATACCTTCATTTCTCTTGCCACGACTCCGCAGCAGAGTGGGCAGCGCCTTGTGTTCAACACTGGAGCTCCCATTGTACTTCGTGCCTTGGACCCTTTCGCTTCGATTCCCGTCATGTCTCGTGGTCTGGCCTACCTTTAGTCTTGGCCCTTTGCCAGACAACCTGGCCCTCACTCGGTGACTCGAGTTGAACCAATTCGCGACTTGCAACAGCCACGACATTTTCTCGCCCAATCTCGAACACACACTCTCCAGACAGTCCTCGCTTGCCGAGACGATTCAAACCGGCCAATGATATCGACACAATTCGGGATCTCACCCGCTTCTCTCCCACAATGGAACCACCGCAACCCAACATGCTGGCGCCACCGGCCGTGACCTCTCTTCGGGCACAGGCCGGCGTCATGGAACGATCTCTGAGCGAAGATATTCGAGAGGAGCGAGAAGAACTACGTGAAGCTGCCGAGCAGACTCTGAATGTCATTCTCGACCTCAACCTCGACGGCACTATCCGATGGGTTAGTCCGTCATGGACCGATGTGATCGGAACTCTGCCCGACTCGGTCAAAGGAACTGCGATAGCCGATTTGATCGTTAGCGAGAACAAGACAGCTTTTGCGGATACCGTAGAGTACATGAAGAAGGACGACTCGCGGAGCCACAGAGTGCGCTTCGCCGTTACCTTGGGTCCGCTATCCAGATTGCTTCCCATTGAAGGTCTACAGGACCAGGAGCCAGATGAGGCCGAGGAGATGGTTCCCGAAGTCATCGACCTGGAAGCCCAGGGCATCATGGTGTATGACGGTGTCTCGGGAGGGGAGAGCCATGTGAGTACCCGTACTATCGTTAGCCCGACTTCCTTGCTGACCAAACCGCGTGCCAGACAATGTGGATGATCCGACCCTACATTGCACCCAGAGAGATCAAGATTGACCTCCCTACTGTGATCGTTGACTCTCTTGGATCTGGTGCCGAGGTCCTTGCCAGCTATCTGACACAGCTAGCTGAGTCTGGCGTCGATGATCCTGAAAATCACCCACCGCCTTTGCCGGTCCTGTGCCGAATTTGCGAGCGACAAATTTCCCCTTGGTGGTTCGAAAAACACACCGACCTATGTTTGCAAGAGCATCGGGCAGAGATGGACGTACAGATGGCGCAGGACAGCTTGACGGATCATCGGCATTCCATTGTGAAAGTCCTCGATGCTCTCGAAGCGAGAAAAAGCCGGCCTCTTACAGGCGATCAGCTCTCTGGCCCCGCCGCCGAGTACAAGGGACTACCGATTGGCCCTCCTTTATCAGCCTCATCGTCCCCTGGAAGCTCAGTTTCGCAATCTAGAGAACGAACTGGTGGTTTTGGTCACTCGCGAGCTCGTTCATTTGCTATCAGACGTCCTCAGGCAAGAATCGTGGAATTGCTTCTTGACCTCTGCGATACCGCCATCGAGGTCAGCACCCCAGCGGTGAAGGAGGCTTCATCGCAAAATCCCGGCGAGATCAGGACGCAATCTCCTCAATCCGAGTCCCGCATCTCACAAGTCATACAGTGGCAATCGCCCAGCACCAACACTTTGGAACAGGAACAGGGCCTGGCACTGCTCTGTGCTGACACTGAGAAAGCCGCCAAAACCAAAGTCGAGGCAGTTTTCAGACATCGGAAAATTATCGAGTATGCAGAACGCATTAGAATTGAGTTCGCTGTCATCGTTCAAGACTGCATTGATGAAGCAATGCGGAAAGCAGCTCGAATTGCTGCTGGCCGCCTGAGCGATTCGACCGAGGACGAAGAAGAGGAGCAAGCCACGCCGGCTCAGGAGGAGCTCTTCTTCCAGGGATCTTTTGAGAAGCCTTCCGCCCTCGCGGCTGCTCTCCAAAATGTCAGCCTTAATGATAACACCGAGAGGCCAAGGCCGACCTCCTTTGTGGGATCAGCGCGCTCAAGTAGCCCTAGAGAGTGCCCGACGCCGAGATCCAATCTGGGAGGCTTGATTCCAATTGCGCCTGCCCGTGAGTCCCGGCGAGAATCGTTGCTTTTCGAGAGTGACGCTGGAGACAGTGACGGAAGCATTCGCTCTTCTTCTGTGACTTCACGACAGCCACCGCGCACCGACTCCCCGATATCTGAGTTTGGCGATCTTCGTCGGGCAGCTAGCTCGAGACAGCATCATCGTAGAAGCATCATACTACCCGGTACGGCTTCACCTCGACGACAAGAATCACCTTCACGAATGAACCAGCCATCATCCCCTCTTCGAATCCTCAAGCCGCGCAACTTCCCGTTCCCGCAAGATGGCCTTGCCTCACCAGAAGCATCGCCCTTGCTCCCTGGGAGCGATTTCAGCTCGCCAGCTCATTTGCCAGCAAACCACCACCGTCGACAATCCTCGGCTGCCATGTCCGAGTTTGTGATGAAAGGTCCGCCCTCCCCCAGAATGGCCGCTCACCAGCCTCCCCCCCAGGCAAGGCCGGCGCCACCTTCCATCAAAGATTTCGAGATCATCAAGCCAATCAGCAAAGGCGCTTTTGGCAGTGTTTACTTGTCCAAGAAGAAATCGACAGGAGAGTACTTCGCTATCAAAGTGTTGAAGAAGGCAGACATGGTGGCCAAGAATCAAGTGGGCAATGTCAAGGCTGAACGCGCCATCATGATGTGGCAAGGTACGAGCGAATTCGTCGCCAAGCTCTACTGGACCTTTTCCAGCAAAGATTACCTGTATCTCGTCATGGAGTACCTCAACGGTGGCGACTGTGCATCTCTGATCAAGGTACTTGGTGGTCTTCCGGAAGACTGGGTGAAGAAATACCTGGGTGAGGTGGTTCTTGGCGTGGAACACCTGCACAGTCGAAGCATTATCCACCGCGATCTCAAGCCAGACAACTTGCTCATCGATCAAAAGGGCCATTTGAAGCTGACGGATTTTGGTTTGTCACGCATGGGCTTGGTTGGACGACAGAAGCGAGCACTGAACAATCAAAATGCCGACCCAACGCCCGATCTCCTCAAGCAGGGACCATTTGCTCGCTCGGCATCTCTGGCATCGTCCCGGTCCACCTCGCTCGACCTTCACGGTCATACACATTCACCCAGCATGACGCCACAGATGACCCCTGACACTGGTTCCAGCGGCGGCCAGCCCTCATACTTCGCCTTGGGTGGACCAGAGGCGCGACGAGTCTCCAGTCACCGTAGCGATAGCGGTGGTAGCGAAACCCTTACCCGCATGCTCAATAGCTTTTCTTTGGCCGAGCAAGAGCATACTGCCCCGACCCAAAACGCACAGTCGACGCAGGATGATGCGAGCGAAAGCACCGGCCAGGCCTCGCCAGACATGGCCGCTCTCCATCACACCAGCACTCAGTCCAGCATCGACTACCTGGGCAAGAATACTCCCCCTCAGTCTACAATGATGCCACCGCCGATGGCCTTGTTCGATCCGGAAGATACCAATCGCCGTTTTGTGGGGACGCCCGACTATCTCGCCCCCGAGACTATTAAGGGCGAGAAGCAAGATGAGACTAGTGATTGGTGGTCTGTTGGTTGCATCATGTTTGAGTTCCTCTACGGATTTCCGCCTTTCCATGCCGACGAAGCCGAGCAAGTCTTTGAAAACATTCTAGCACGCAGGATTCAGTGGCCGGATGAGAACGAATGCGAACCAATTTCGGAGGAGGCGAAGGATCTGATCAATAAGCTGCTCTGTATGGAGCCCCAGTCGCGCCTTGGAGCTAATCGAGAGGATAAGTTCCCTTGCGGTGGAGACGAGATTCGCAGCCACTCCTGGTTTGAGGGCGTCAATTGGGAGACTCTTTTACAGGATGAGGCTCAGTTCGTCCCTCAGCTCGAGCATCCTGAAGACACCGAGTACTTCGACGCTCGAGGCGCCGTATTGCAGTCATTTGCCGAAGAGATGGAGGATCAGCTATCTCCGCCAGTCTCTGGCGTAGGTTCTGACTATCACGATCGGCCGCATGATGCCCTGTCCAGGGTCCGATCTCAAGTCAACTCGATCAAACGCAACTTGATGCCTCTGCACATTCCTCCACACGTTAGGGACTTGAAGAGTAGACGACTTAGCGAGCCTGTTGTTGCAGATGACTTTGGGAGCTTCGCCTTCAAGAACCTCCCTGTGCTAGAGAAAGCCAACAAGGACGTCATTCAGAAACTGAGAGCAGAAGCATTGGCATCTCAAAACAAACCTACCGTCGTAAGCCCTGGCGGTAGCGTCACTTCCCCTGGCCCAGCTCTCGAGGGCAGCCCGGTACTATCCAACCCTGTCCAGAGAACAATCTCCAATGCGAAGAACCGACCCCAGTCGCCTTCCGGTCTCAGCCATGCGGCCTCGTCCCCTAGCAGGGCATCCCAACCATCGTCGCCCCTCTTAGTCTCATTCGTTGCAGGCCAAGGCAGCGAGGGCCGGCGCAAGGCCTCCAGCAACTCGTCAAGCCTTTCACAGCAATCGAGCGTATCTCACCAGCCTACTTCCCTCGATATACCCCGAGTTCCACCAAGCCTGCAAAAGGCGGCGACCAGTGCAGCTGCCTCCCCGGTCAAGGGTCGCGGGGCTGCACCTCCTCCACCGCTGGCCCTCTCACCGCAGAAGATGGTGTCAACGCCCAGACATGCCTCTAGCAGCCGATCGAGGTCTTTGACTGTTGGCTCGCAGTCTCAAGAAGGTAGTCCCATCACTTCCGATGTTCTGTCACACCATCGCAATCGTCGCAGCCAGGTCTTTGACATGTCACCTTCCTCGTCCGACAACGAAGGCGAGAAGCACAACGCGCTTCTCCGAGTGCAGCGTCGCCGCCAGAGTTCTCGCCGTCTTTCCCAAATTGCCTTTGATGGAGGTCCGATGTTCCGCCCACTGGATGTTTTGATCTGTGAGGATCATCCGGTCTCCCGCATGGTCATGGAAAAGCTTTTGGAGAAATTACGCTGCCGAACCATCTCGGTAGCCAATGGTTCGGAAGCTGTGAGATATGCCATGAGCGAGATCAAGTTTGACATCATCTTCTTGGAGTATAGATTGCCTCAAATCAACGGTGCAGATGTGGCTCGGATGATTCGGGAGACTAAGAACACGAACTCGCATACGCCCATCGTCGCTATCACGGCTTATCTGAAAGAACTCCAGGCTCCGCACTACTTCGATTCACTGATTGAGAAGCCCATTTCGAGTTCCAAGTTAACCGAAGTTCTCAAGAATCTCTGTCAATGGAAGCCGGAATCGCCTGGCGTCAACTTCTCCATGTCCCTTGGACACCCTCACCCTGTCCCTTCTGGCCTCCGCCAAACCAGCTCTCGTGCAGATGACAGCCCGACATCAAGCTCATCGCTCTATGCAGGACGGCCGGGAAGCAGCTTGGTCACTTCAAGCCGGGAGGACTCCATCAGCTCCAGTCTCTTCGGCGACTCTGAGTCAGTATCAACGGATGATGTACCAGTAGTGATCAGCAGGAAGGCCACTGGCGACTGGGACGAAGGTGGCCTGGGCATCAGCCAGGACGAAGTCATGCAACCCGTCAAATCGCCAAAGTCACTGCCACAGCTTCCACAACTTGTGACGCAACAGTCTGCTCCAGGTCAGCTGGAACACACTAGACGATCGGCGCCGCAGCCTTCGGTAGAGAAGCTGAAAGCTCGGAAAGAGTACATAGAGAAGCGCCTTGCCGAGGGTACAGATTCAGCTGACGATGAGGACGAAGAGCTTGGCCTCGGCCGGGACAAGCTATTCCGAGGCAAACCTCTGCTGCCGAGCTCCAAGCTCGGGATTGAAATGATGAGGGCCGACAGCCACGACAGCGTCACATTTGGATCTGAAAGTACACCGGAACCTGTTACTCAAGTTGTGACGCCCTCCAAAGAGATGGACATGCCTTCGTACGAGACTCTGCGAGAAGTCACCACTCATACACCCCCGGATGCTGGCGTCAGCTCAGAAGACAAAACACTCGTTCTTGACGTTGACGAGACACCGAAACCGCCTCCGGTAAACAAACACGACGGAGACGAGAAGCCCACGCCGCGATCGTTGGATCGGTCTGAGTTGTCGAGGAAATAAGAGCACAGGAGCGCTCGCAGACGGGAAAGGATGCAGAGACATTTACCAACCGCCGAAGCCTGTCATGTAAACATTGGCAGTCTCCAGCAGATATGGAACATCATTTTCGTTTTGTTTTTGTTCAGTTGTTTACCCGACAGCGAGGCGTTTAGCGGGGACAACAGCGACACGCAGACTGCATCATTTCCTTGAGTTTGGGTGGTTCGGAAGGATTTCGGCGTTTATGGTTTTGACTCAACTGGTTAAGCCCGAAGGTCTTCTAGAGGAGGATGCGGGATTGAAGGACGGGGAGGTCTTCTATTCCACCAGTTGTTATTGCATTTGTGTGCAGGGCAGATGCGAGGATGTTGCATTGCCCTGCATGCTAACTTTCATTCTTCTGCACAGAATTCTTTGGGCGACTACGCTCACCATCACACACCACTCTTCAACTTTTTACTCTTTTCCCTTTCTATATTGTTCTGTGTCTACACGATTTAGGCTTTCTCCTACTAACTGCATCTGGGTTGACGAAAAGGGATGGTCGGGGTCGATATCCGGACGCGGCGGGGTTTTGTTACAGAAACTTGACCCTTGCTTGATTAGAGAAGAACAGAAGAGCAAACATGCTCGGTCAGTGGGTTATCTCGATCAAGCATGGTTGCGTCGAGGGAAAGACTCTTGTCTCTCTCTTCTTTTTGCGTTTTGGTTCTTTTGTATTTAGGCCTGCTACAGTGCTGCCAAAAGTAGGGGGAGTCACCGCTGAAGCAAAACATAAGCCTCTAAAAACAAAACAAGACTGAATACAATGATTATCAGACTGCAATGACCTCAACGACTATCGCCATGCTTTCCCACGACCAAGTGTTCACTGTGCTGTAAACCTGTCATTCGGGGGCCTAAGCAAGGTTCCGTCTGATTTTGAAGGGTAGTAATGCTGATGACTCTAGGAGGCGATGTAAGCTACATCACCTTGTTTTCTGTTGGCGTACTGATTATGGGATGACCCGAACAGTGGCAATGACGACGACATGTGACTTTGGAAAGGCGTGGCTGAGCACGTCACGGAGGGAGCTCTGGGACCTTGGCGGTCAACGCGATGACGGATTGCACGATTTTTCAGCTGTTAAAAAGACGGAGGGGCAACATGGACTCATGATATCTGCAGTGAGAGTGGCAAGAGGTCTCTCGTCTGAAGATTAAAAGTGAGCCAATCGCGTGCGGTACCTTGGGAATCGAAGGTCCGGCCCGTCTCTTTTCTCCCCTCTCAGATGCTCGCCAGAGGGTCCTCAGGGGGTGATCATGGCGGTTGAGAGAAGAGCACACGCACACATACACATTGAGGCTGTGTAGGGTTAGCTCGTGGGACGGTATATGCTCTCGTTGGCGATGCCCTCTTTCGTGAAGATATTCAGAGCGACGTGGATGAGAGAGACCCTAAGATCGATATCTGGCGCGTTTGTGAGGTAAATTAGTAAAATTGGCCTCAACCTCCTTTCTCACTGGCTTTGGACTAGGAGTGATGCTTAAACCGGGGATAATCGCCGGGCGGACGAGAGCATGCGGAGATGATCTTTCGAGGTGTTCGGGCCGGAGGATTGAGTTCGCCGTTGTACTAGAATGGCAGGCGTCATTACGTGCCTAGGGAGGGAGGAAGACTTAGACTACTGACCTAAATCGCGGTCGATGAAGGGGCCTATAGTAGCGATGCACAGACAGAATCAATCTCGAAGCCGGGGAAGAATTGATGGTGTCGTCGGACACGAGGGCTGAGCAGGTCGATTCAGGCGACCATTGGTTCACGTATTGATTTCATCCCAAATGCTGCTTTGAGGGGGAAAAAATCTTGGCCTAGATCATTCTGATGAAATGGTAAAAATTAGAGTTTATTTTGCATGTTTTGAGATGCTTGAAATTTCATCCGCTCCTCGCTATTTCCGTAGCATTTCATGTACGTGTTACTAAGTTGAAGAGCTGACGTCTTTGAAAGACTGCATGGCGGTGGAAGTATGAGAAAGTGAGTGAGTGAGAGAAGCAGTGAAAAATCAAGACAGGAAGTGAGAGAGAGTGTGTGAGGCGAAGTGTGCAAAGAAGCTTTGCCAATGTGCGTGGCGGCCGAGGCTTGGGTGAAAATCGTGTGGACTTGGCACTTGGCGCCTGGGAGTGCGACGTTGACGACGACGTGCGGCGACGTTATGACTGAGGGAAATACGAGGAAAATAGGCACGCGAGCACTTTCTCGATGGCGGCTAGCACAGGATGCGGTGAAAATTGCCAATGGGCTTGGCGATGGCTCGGCATGCGGGAAGGGCCAAGGGTTAGTGGAAGATTCCTCGCATATCTGCTAATTTGCCGTACGATTGATTTTTTCGAACTTTTTCTTCGCTGCTCCCCTTGGACGACGTTCGTCAACGCAAACTTCATGCAACCACAACGTGCATGCGACCTAGGCCATGCCGGAAGTGCGGGTTGGCTGGGAGTCAATAGATCTGGCACGTTTTAGTTTTACAGATGGTGATTGGCTGGATCTGGACGATTTTCGTTTCGGCGGTTCTTGGTTGCTGGACGTAATTCCTTTAAGCTCGTCGCGAGGGACAGCGGCGGGCCTGGTGGCATGCCACACGGGTGGAGCCTTAGAAAAGGTGCCATGTGGGTAACAGCGGGGTCATTTTATGGAGAAGACGACGAAGAATGCTACGACAAGATTGGTCCGACGATCCATCCGTCGCCTGCCTTTGGTCGCTTTGTCACTTGTACTTGTTTTTTTTTTCCCTTTTTTTTTTCTGGGGGTGACAGACAGGAGGGGAGGGGAGGAACAGCTAGACCAGGTTGGGAACAGAGGTATTGCTCTTTCTGTAGCCGCAATTGGCGGGGCGAGTCAGCAGGACATGGAACGTCTGAGCTCTCTGCTCAACGACAACGACGCGGTTGACCTCGGCCGGGAGGGAGGAGAAGAGAAAGAAAGGGTCGTTGTCTGGAGGAAATTGGTTAACACGGGATCAGTCGAGTTCAGATAGGTAAGACGGGGGATCCAGGTATGAGGGAGATGGGAGGCTTCTAGAAGAGTCTTGATGGAAGGGGACTGCCTGTCTTGCCTGTTGAACCATGAACAGACTCTGCCTCGTGGAATTTGTAGTTTCGGAAGCTGGAAGCTTGAGCTTCTATTATGTACGGAAAGTGCCGTGTATCCCGTCCTGGACTTGAGGCGGGAATGGCGAAATATGGCCCGTTCTGAAAATACCTTGGTGCTGAAAGTAGTATGAAAATTAAAAAGGGCCACCCTTCAATGCGTGGCTTCCACGCTCTGTCCCACTCGCAGTTCAGAGTATTACTTTGGAACTCCCCTCGTGCCCGCCTCACACATCACAGCACATGGTATGACTTTGGACTGTCAAAGCTGATGGCTGTGCCTGCCAACCTGCGTTGCAATGTACGTACTCGAGCTAGGTATGCCAAGACGTGTACAGATACATAGATACATGAAGGACGAATATACATAGTATTGTTACTGTACCTTAGGTGTCGTGTGAGAGCATCGGCGGCGGCAGGCTGGATCTCGGTCGACAAGGACAGGCAGGATCTTCGGGAGCGCCAACCTGAGATGGAAAGAACCAAATGGCCTAAGGTAGCTTCCTCGGCTTCTACCCGCTTATTTCCTCTCCTGTGTGGCTTGCTCTAAAGCTAGCCCAACCCGGTGACGTAGAGCTAGTGCGCCCCATCCGTTGTCGGCTTTGACCTGGTCCCTGTATCATTTTTTTGGCCTTTTTATTCCAGCTTAGTTTTTTTTATTTCATCATTCATCCTACTACTATTGCTCGTCCCGCTAGCCCAAAAACAAATAAAGATGAAAAACAACAAACCACACTGAACCCAACGTTTCGGCCTACTGTGGAAGCACTCTCTCAAACTCGGCTTGTCTTGCCTAAATACTTACGCCTCTTCAACAGCCACGGGAGGGAAGCTAACATGGATACGTCCGAGGTCGCGGCGAACGACGAGAGGAGGAGGCGAGCATAGATGCTGCCGATGCTACGAAAAGTCATAGTCACTCAGGTACTCCAGTGCCTCCACTACCTGATGTCGCTCGACACGGGACATTCCTACTCCTCTCCATGCCATCCCACATCGCATCCCATCCCATCCTCCAGTCCATGAATCCCAGCACAACCTAACCCCCAGGGGTGTAAGTGGGCGGAGTGGCCATACCCCACCATGGTCCCAAGTCCATACTACTCTTCCGCCTCTCGGTCTACGAATCTGCACATCGTACCCCGGTCCGCTGGTGTTTTACTCGGTCTGTCCGTCCAAATCACCCGGTTGGACGCGCTTACAGCAAATATTGCAATTCCCATTTTATTACTGTTATCGCTTTGTATATTGTTCCGTCAGGAAACCAGTCCGCACGCAACAGAGCCATCAATCTCTGACGCTAAGCTCTCCTTTGCCCGTCTGCAGCCCAACCTGGGAAAGGATTCGAGACGACCCTGGCTACGCGGTGCATGTACTTGATACACCACCTACGGTCTACCTACTCAAAGGGTCCTTTCGGCACATCAGAGAAGCGTTGACCCGCCGGTGAAGCAGCCACGGGATCCAATTCTCGACGGAGACTGGTCCAGAGTCCAAGACTCGTCCGGAGCTCATAGACTCGAGCGGCTCCTCGGGGTTCGGCCGATTCCACACCCAGTAGTCAGGACATCTTGTCACTGAGGCAAGACACCCACCACTACTCAGCCCTCCACCATCCCCGGTATCAACTTTGCTTATATCTGCTCCCGTCCCTCGTGGCCCATACGTTCTACGCTCCCGTTCTGTCTTTCGCCGTGGCCATCATCAACCCTCCTCTCCCCCTCCCTCCTTTGCCTGCCTTCTTTAGGTAAAGCAAGGAACCACTTATACTAGTGAACCTTGTCCTTGGGAATCGTTCCATCGTGTCAAGGTTTTGCTTTGGTCTCCCCGCAACACCCCTAACGAGACACATCTAAATACCACCGCCACCCGCCCCCTTCACGTCGACTCGAGAGCTAGTCCAGTTCGTCACAAAACACTTCGTTCGCACGACCCAAGGAAGTGTCTCGGACACTCAACAATATTTATTCATAATGGCGACTCACCACCAGCGCCATTCCGCGGCCATTGGCGTGATCCCGGTGCCTCACGGTCCGGAGACGGGCCAGGAGCATGAGGACTACCCTCAGGAACACACCACCGCGCATGAGCGCGAGATCTTTGGTCACGTCACACGCCCCGACGACTCGTATACCCCCGACGGCGTCTACTGGGCCGATTTGCCCTGGTGGAAGCGCGTCCAATTCGTCAACAAGGTCGACCGCGATGAGGCCGCTAAGGAGCTTAGATCCATCGGGGAGATGGTGAAGAAGGATCCCCTTTCTCCTCTGGGGTGGTATTTCCGCAACGCTGTCCTGCCCGGAGCCGGTCTCGGTCTCGAGGGTTACGTCCTATTCTCCATTGGTAACTTACAGCCTCTTTTCGCTGCCGTTTGGCCCGAGTGCTGGGGCAAGAAATACGCCGTTTGCTCGCAGAACTGGGTTGCCTCTGTTACATATCTCGAGATTGTCGGTATCATGATTGGCCAAGCTGCTGTTGGTGTAAGTTTATCCCCCCCCCCCCTTTTTTTTTTTTTTTTTTTTTTGTCAACCTTATATTTAGCCCGTCTTCCGCGCCTGGGGTGTTGGGGGTTGGTGGGGTGTAGGGTTGTGTTTTTTGTTGTTGTGGTATGTTTTTCCCTCCCCCCCTTTTTTTTTTTTTTTTTTAAATAGTAAACGTCAATTCTGACATGATTCTAGGTCATTGGTGATTGGATCGGTCGTCGTTGGGGTCTCATTCAGGATGCTGCCATCATGTTTGTTGGTCTGCTACTCTTGACCGGCTGCTGGGCCAGCTCTCTCCAGGGCTGGGTCATCTTCTACGCTTGGTCCCTATTCTTTTACGGTTTTGGTGTTGGTGGTGAATACCCCATTACTGCCACCTCCTCTATGGAGAACGCCGTCACCGCCGGCCGTCTGTCTACTCGCGAAGATCGCCTTCACCGTGGCCGCAAGGTCACCATGGCTTTCCTGATGCAGGGTTGGGGCCAGCTCATCAACCAGGTCGTTCTCATCGTCCTTCTCGTCATCTTCAACCGTGGATACGGCAATGGACCTTACACCGAGTCCGCCGCCCAGTACACATTCCGCCTCTCTTTCGCTTTCCCCGCCATCGGTACTCTGTGGCTCGTCTACTACCGTACCTGGAAGATGCCGCGCGCAAACCAACAGCTTGCGCTGGCTAAGAAGAAGCAGGGCGTCACAGGTTACGATGTGAACGCTCTGAAGTACTGCTTCCAGCACTTTGGTGGTCGTCTTTTGGCTACTGCTGGTACTTGGTTCTGCAACGATGTGTTCTTCTACGGCAACAAGCTTTTCCAGGGTCAGTTCATCTCGGTCATCTCCAGCAACCCCAATTCCCTCTTGACAACCTGGACATGGAGCGTGATCAACGTCGTCGTCTCCCTCGCAGGCTACTACCTCGCCTCCTTTTTCATCGACAACAAGCTATACGGCCGCAAGATGATGCAGCAGGTTGGCTTCTTCATGTGCTTCGTCATGTTCGTCATCCCCGCCTTCAAATTCGAGTACTACACAAGCCCCGCTGGCATCCACGCATTCCAGGCCATGTACTTCCTCAGCTCCTTCTTCAACCAGTTCGGACCCAACTCGGTTACCTTCCTCGTTGCCGGTGAGGTTTTCCCTACCCCTATCCGCGCCACGGCCCACGGTTTCTCCGCCTGCATCGGCAAGGCCGGAGCCCTCCTCGCCTCCGTCCTGTACAACTACATCGACACCCAGACCAAGTTCTACGTCGTTCCTTGGTTCGGTCTCGCCGGTATGGTCCTCACCTTCTTTTTCCTGCCCGACACCACCGGTCTCGATCTCAAGGAACAGGAGCGTCGCTGGACGTACATCCGCAGCGGAAAGGAGTCTGAGTACCACGGCGTCGCCGTGCACCCCACTCATCTCAGCGTTTGGGAGCGCCTCCGTGGCGTTGGCAAGTACTACGACGCCGAGAAGGATCACAAGGCTCAGATCGAGGACATGCGCAAGGAGTGGGAGGAGAGACAGGCCATGCAGGGCGAGAAGGAGCCCGAGGTCTGGGAAGATCCCGAGCTCTTTTCCGAGGCTATGCACGGCTACTTCAAGGAGCAGCACAAGGGCAAGTCCCAGGGAGGTCTTATGCACGACGCCGATGTATCCGAGTCCTCATCGGCGCGGGAGAAGGAGACGGGCGACGAGATCCAGCCCAGCCCTATTCTGGGAGCGAGGCATGATCTTGATGAGAAGAGAGGTTAATTGGGCATAAAGTATTGCAGTATACACAGAGTGAGGAGTACTAAAAATGGGTTTGGAGTTTACACATGGGCGGCTACTTGCATTGGGCTGAGGCTATGGGCAGAAACATACTCAGCATGGCGTATGAGACGCCCAAATATTCTTAACGTAATATAACTACCTTTTCTTCACTTGTGTTCTTATCCTCGGTGCCTGGTTCTGTTCGATGTTTGCCGGGTTCGATATCTCGCCTCATTGGACACCTCTTCTAGTAAAGCAGGGAGCATCCATCGCCACAGAGATGGAAGTCGGATTGTCCTCACGAAGTGCAGGGGGTCAAGATGAGGCTCCAAATTACGCCAGGAGCTTGATTGCCTGCCGTGTGGGTACGTGGATTGCACCGAGTCGGTAATGAAGGTTGCAAGACGGCTTCGGCAATACCGGCAGACGGCAAATGACCGCCGACGAATGATGCTCGACATACGAGCCACGTGAAGACATGGCGGCGTTCCAGATTGCTGACATTAATTGAGGTAACACGGATATCTGGCTCATGTCTACTCGTCAGTCGCATAGTCCACCTTGGGGGTGCCCACGCGCTAGGAGTAAATAGAAAGCAACTGAAGACGTTGGATCAAGAATGTCCCTTCCCCTGACCCCTTGATGGTTCGATGGCCTGGGGTTTCATGCTTTTCATCGTCGAACAAGGACCCTGGAAGACAGATTCATGATCTCAATTATTCGTTGGCCCTCTTTGTTGTTTCGTTGTCCCTTTGCGAATGGGCCATGACGAGGATGGGAAACATACGCTCGTCAAGCATTGAAGGACGTAGAGCACTACTCTTCTGGCTGCCTGAGCAAAGCTTGACAGTAGCAGATTCTCATAGATGCTGTGTATGCGTCAGTCGTAGGCTAAGCTTCTACTAATACTCAGCAGCCTCGCGATGATACCAGTGAAGCATCTGGTTCTACTCATAGTCTCTTGCAAGAATGGGTCTCACTAGCAAGGACAAGAGAGACAGCAGTTGGACCTTTGAGTAGAAACACAGGAGGAGAGAAGCAAGCCGGTCTGTAGAGCTTGAAACTCCGTAGAAAGCTACCATCCTAGGTGTTCATTTGCGATGGTTTCGGTCTTTGAGGTTCTCCAACCCTCGTCTACCTACTTTCTCTCTTCACACCGCTGCAAAGATGCACCACTTTTCTTGGGATTTGCTGTGCTACATCGAAATTGCAAAACCATTGGCATGTATATAGCTCCTCGATCCTATTGCTTCCACTCCAAGTTCAACAACACCTGCTCCCAAGTCTTGGAAATGGGGCATTCATGGTTTGGCTCGGTATTAGCCCTCCGGTTGCTAGAGTTTTACAGACATACGCTGACACACTCGATGGAGAGCCAGTTCAAACTTGGTTTGACAAAAGAATGTCTTGGCAAGTGACATGATCAAGATATCTGAACCATATCAAGACTGACACAGATAGTCTAATCACAATCTCAACGGTGACGGTCCGTTTTCTCTCAACATCTTCCTAATGTTCTTCGCCGTCATACCAGCCAGCGGATGAGGCTCCATATCCAAATCTTCGTCAGCCTCTACACCAAACTCACCGCCATCCACCGCCGCCACCCGTCCAGGCAGCACAGGCAGATGCGTTTGCGGATCGTACAGGGCACCCTTGGGCACCACCTTGGTCTGCACCGTCGCCGGCCCTTCCCTGAACGTACTCTCTGGGGGGCCCTGCGTAATCAAATTCTTCCCAAACACCATGGCCGTCGTCCCCGTCGCGATGTCCACCCCCTTGATCGTTCGCTCCTGGACCCGGAGAGCCGCCTCGGGCTGGTTGAAGGCGGAGAGGTGACCGGCGAAATAGAGCCGCGTAAAGGAAAAGTTATCGGCCTGTTTCACCTCCCCCGGAACCTGCCCGTCGGCGTTGGCCGACAGGTTCACGAACCCGGCGCTCGCCCAGTTGGCGGCGCCCAGCTGGGCCGCGACGATCTGGGCGCCAATCATGTTGCTGTCGTAGTCGGCGTCGCCGGTGAAGAGGGAAACGGTGACGCCTTGCTGAATCAGGTTTTTCAGGGACTGTGTGACGAGCGCGCCGGTGCGGCTGTCGTCGCCCGTCGAGCCGAAAGCGATGGCGGTCTGCACCGACGCCTGGGTAAAGTTGTTGGACGCCCCAATGGCGGCTTGCACCTCGGCTCTGTTGAGGTAGCTTACAAAGGTGGCCGAGGGGTAGGGCTCGGGAAGCAGAAGGCGGATGTCGTTCTCGGCGCGGCCGGCGTTGACGTCCCAAAAGTCCTCGACGTTTTTGATACAGAAGGCATCGGCCACGGCGCAGCCCCTGTCGGTTGGTTGGGCGTTGCAGGCGTTCTGACGCTCCTGGCAGCCCCCTTGGCCGAACATGTTGTTGAAGAGCTGCTTCTGGAGGGTGTCGTTGAAGGGCTTCACGTCGTAGGGGTTGCCCGGGGAGACGGAGTAGTTGAAGTAGGCGCCGAACTGCACGCGGGTGTCCATGAAGCCGTCCTCGATGGATATGGATTTCAGGGGCACCTGGACAGTACCGGGGGCCTTTGCCTTGTTCTGCTGGGTGATGAAGTCGGCGAAGACGGGGACATAGTGGCCGCCGTATGACTGGCCGTTGATGTGTATCCCGTTCGTCGTGTACTGCGGAAAGGCGCCCATAATACCCTGCATCACCTGGTAGAATACCTTTGCAGCATCGGCCGTCGAGTTGGGCGTCAGGGAGACGTCCATGGATGAGTAGGTTCCGCACATGGGGTCTGCAGATGTGCACTGTTGGGGCACGATCTCGGCGGTCTTTGGGTTCACGGTACCGTTCACCAAATTGGTGAACGAGAAGCCGACCGTCGCTGGCTGGTCAATGAACAGCAAATTGCTCACCGTCGACCATGAATTCGGGTTGTCGACCACCTTTCCCTTGGCATCGATAGAGCAAGGGCCGATCTCGGTGAAGAGTCCATTCATGGAGGACGCTCCCGGGCCGCCGTCTAGCCTGATAGTCAGAGGAGCTGAAGCGGCATTCTGTCTTGCTTCGAACATGTAAAAGTACATGTGCTGGGTCGGGCTGACGTCCACGTAGCCGGCGAAGCTCTTCACGTTGCTATTGGTTTCGCAGATGCCATTCGACACCTGCTTGAATCGGACGTTGACTCCTCCAGCGCCCTTGACAGTCTTGAGATCTGTAGGCTGCGCAACGAACTGTGTAGAAACTCGAAATGAAACAAATGCAACGGCACACACGAGATAGTCCCGCATCTTCATGTTATTTCGCTGCCGCATCAAGCGGACGGGTCTATGTGACGGCTAGAGTTGTGAGCGAGCGGATAGTGTCGATCCAGATCGACCAAAAGAATGGAACTGTGTATACACACAAACGGCACCTCACTATCGGAAAAGAATTACACGGCCCATCTTTAACGTTCCATCCAAATGTTTGAAGGAGTGACTGGTTTCTTACAACCAGCCTCACTGATCACGAAATGGCATCTTCTCAGGGCGTGTAAGCATGGGCTATACTGGGTTGGCACCAAACATGCTAAGAAGGAAAATCTTATTTGTCACCTCTGACACGGACTGCCATGTAAAACGCCGTGGAGACCGCGTAGTCGGTCCCCGTATCACTTAGGCTCCTTGGTTCAAACAAGCTCGCCCATCTCCAACTCGATTGGCCCGGCTAAGAAAGCCAGACGCTAGGCAATTTGAAGGCATTCATCGTCTCGAGTAATGGAGATTGACGATAGAAGAGGGACGAAAGTGTGATCTGGCCCGATTTGCCTGGTCTACCATACACCTTCGAGGAGGCGAGTGAAGATGGCTGTGCAGAGCAGTTTTGTAAAAGCTAGTCACAGGGTTCATGACAACTTTGAATTTGGGGGCGACGGTAAATGTGTAAGTCGCTTGGCTGAGATACGCGATTGAATGAAGCTGTTGATGTAGTAGGTTAACTCACAGAAAGGAATACGCTAAGCGTCCTTCGCTTGATAAAAGGAGAGAAAATCGAATAGGGTACGTATTAGTAGAATACTCGAGAAAGGCGGTACAAGTCAAATAACGACATTGAGTTTTTTTCAACTGTCACTTCGTAAGTTCTTGCCATGGTGATCAACAGGCGAACGTTACGACTGAACGCGGGATAAGCTCACGCGTTCCCGATGATGATGGACTAGGATCCCCCTCGGAAGTTTTGACTCTCGACATCAGCCGCAAGAACCAACAAGAAACGCCCCCGAAGTTTCATTTCCCCAACGTCTCCCCCGGTGATGTGATGATGCTTATATCTCTACCTCGTCTCCACGGAAAGAGCTGCGTAATCGCATCAACATGCTTCAGCCCCACTTGGCTGATTTCTTCAAGCACGACCGCGTTCGTAATGCTTAGTAATCCATGCTACATGCCTCCTAAGCACATTTCACGTTGAGCCGCCTTAGAAGAACTCTGCTGACATGAGCTAACGGAATGACCCGATACAGAGACCCGATACAGAGCAATTTGGATGCTCGACCGATCGGATGAAGGTATGTGTAGTGGATGAATTGGAAAATCGGAATTACAAGGAATGCAATGGGCGCTGGCATATGTAATCAGGCCAGTTCTCTTAGTGGACACCGCATCGCCCGTTGTAGAAAGTGGGGGAGGGGATGTTGCGTGGAGGGGTCACACTGATTACCTTAGAGGCCCATAGCTTCCGGAAGCTTTCAATGACTTCTCATCTCATCTCAACTCAAATCACTCATCCAATTTGTCACCACTACTTCTCATTGCCGTAGTTTGGTAGTCACTATACTCATCGAGTATCCTATTCATATCATTGGACTAAACAAACCAAGAACCGCAATCATGTTCACCGGCATCGTCGAGGAAATCGGAGGTCCGGGCCCCTCATCTCTCACCCTTGACTCACCCCTCATCACACGTGTATGCCCTCAACTAACAAACACATCTCCTAGTCGTCTCCGACCTCAACCCCAACGATGAGACGGGAGGAACCTCCCTCACAATCACACTGCCTGAGTCCTCGACCCTCCTCTCAGACTGCCACCTCGGCGACTCAATCGCCATCAACGGTGTCTGCCTCACCGTCACCTCCTTCGAGACCGCCGGCCCGCCCTCCTTCAAGGTCGGCGTCGCCCCCGAGACCCTGCGCATCACCAACCTCGGCTCCCTGGCCAAGGACTCGCGCGCCAACCTCGAGCGCGCCGTCCGCGCCGACACCCGCATGGGCGGCCACTTCGTCCAGGGCCACGTCGACACCACGGCCACTATCCTGGCCGTCACCCCCGATGGCAACGCCCTGACGTTCCGCTTCGCGCCGCGGGACCCGGCCGTCTTGCGCTACATCATATACAAGGGCTACGTCGCGCTGGACGGCACGAGCTTGACCGTGACGCAGGTCAACGATGAGGAGGGATGGTGGGAGGTCATGCTGATTAGCTACACACAGGAGAAGGTCGTCGTCGCGAGCAAGAAGCCCGGCGAGACTGTCAACATCGAGGTCGACATGATGGCAAAATACGCTGAGAAGAGCCTCGCGGGTTATCTCGGCGGCGCCGGCGGCGCTCCGTTGGAGAGAATGGTCGAGCGTATCGTAGCTCAGGGCCTTGGTGGCAGGTCTTGAGAATATGTTTTGAAAAGAAAAATGTCATTTCTATAATATTTTTGGGCTTCCTATTTGCAGCTTCTTCATCTTGACATGATCCGTCCTTCCAAAAATGCTCATTACCGGCCGAGAGGTATATTTGTGGCTGGGCATCGATTCACTACAACTCCCCCTTTTCATCACCACTCTAGGTAAATTATATAGAGAGTATACTGAGAGATTTTCAGCCAAGAGGAGACTATAATAATGGTCGTGGTTATAGTGATAGAAACTACATTCATCGTCCTACAGTTTCTATCCATAATCATGCATCACCCCAGACCTCGGCCAACCGTTGACTGACGGCCTTGGCAATCTTCTTGCGCCCTACGAGATTAGGTAGGCCGCTGATAACCATCTCTCGTTTCCTCTTACGCCCTTGCTCGCCTGAACCGCACTCTTGGAACGCCTTGATAAAGTCACGAGGCGTCCTCCACCGCTTCTGAATCTCCAAGGCTTTCTCCCCCGTAATGCCCCTAGTTGTCATGAGCATTTTCAGGTAAACATCTCGCAAGGTCATCATGTCCGACTTGGACGCTAACGACGCAAAGGCCGCGTATGTGATATAATAACCCGTCGTGGGCTCTTTCTCCCGAAGGTGCTCCAGCAGCGGCAAGTAATTCTGCGCTGTCAAGACCGGGGTCGGAACCACCAAAAGAGGTTTGCATTCATACATCTTCTTGAGCATGGAAGTCATCCGCGCAAGATACCGAATCGTATCGTCCATCTTCTGGGTTTTCTTGAGAAAGTAGCCATTAACTACTTGCGTGGACGCGGTGGCGGACTGGATCATCTCCTCAATCTTGGAGAAATAGGCCGAGTCCATGGTAATCTCCTCCACGATGTAGACAACATGCTTGACTGCAGATTTCCGGAGACGAAATTTCTGCTCGTGAAAACGGCCATCCTTGATACTGCTGACGAGATCATCAAGTCGCTTGCGCTCGACAATCCAATCTAACACAACCTCGTCTCCCTCTGCGCCGTGGCGGGATAGGACGGCAGGATCGTGGCATTTCGCAATCCATTGCGCGTCGCCGACTTCCAGAGCTCGCATGATGGGCTTCACGCCCTTTTTGGTGAGCTCATCTTGCATATAGTCGCGATCCTTGACTGCTCGAATTTCACGGAAATCCAGAGCGAGATGAACTGTGAAAGAACCAGGCGCGAGCCGAATCGGGGTGAAAGTTGGTAGCGACGCCTTGTCCAAGACCACGGGCCCATTCGCGACGACGCTTTCGTAAGCTGATGTGGCCCTTGGCTGTTCCACTGGCTCGATAGATGGCGAAGCTTCTCTGTTCAGCGGCATAGAGATCGGATCGAATCCCGTTGCAGGACCGGCCTTTGTACTGGGGCCTGCAACAGTGTAATCGGCAGGACCGCTTGCTTCTGTCGTCCTTTTGATGCGTTCAGCAACTTCCCATCCCTCGTCAGTTAGAGAATACCGCCTTTGTGGGCGGCCTTTCTCGCATACGAGGTCTTTCTCGAGGAGTGTCTTCATCGAGTTCCATGCCGTATAGGACTTGCTATTGTCACTCGGCGCCGAGAAGGACGCGTCACAGTGTTCCTGGGCCAGCTCTGTGAGGATGGCTTTGGTTATTCCAAATTGAGTACCCTTGTCTAGCGTGGAGAGAGATAGTAAAAGAGCGTAGGCGCCCGAGCGATATGTTGGGACGTATGGCTTTGCCTTCCGGGCCTTCTTGGGCGGAGGAGGCTCGTCATCTTCAGCAGCGCGGCCGAGGGATGCGCGGTCTTCCTTGGATAAGCATGGGTTCTTAGGCATCGGCAAGCCGTTGGACTCGCAATGTTCCTTGAGCTTATCTGTCAGGCGAGAAGAGAGCTTGTCGCCAAAGCCCTTGAGCTGGGTGAGCTGGCGTGGATGCTTGAAAGTGATGGGGCATGCTTTGAGAGACTCGTAGGCATTCCGATAAGTAGAAGTGCTCTTCATGTTCCGTTCCCTCGCAGTGTCCAGCCACTCCTTGACCCAGTCGAGGAGCAGAGGGTTAGCGTATTGCTCGTGTTCGCCGGCCATGATGCCGTCGTGATGTTGGAATTGCCTCGGCGTTTCTCGAGGGTCATCGCCAAGAGCCGTGTGCCGAAGCAAGCATCTTTCTGGGCGAACAATGCAGCCAGGCCGGTGAGTGCGATTTCCAAAATGAGCCAAAAAATTGGTTAATGACTAGGTTGCTCAGCGTAGCTCGCCGGCCGGAAAGGGACAAAGGACGAAGGAGGTGGGGGAAGGAAGTATACTTGGAGTTACGACGCGAAGACGCGCCTAGCCAAAAGAATTGGCTTAGAGTGTTGTCACGAATCCACGTGATGTGTTGTCAGTCGTACCTCGTTCGACTGCTGTGCCAGGACCACCTGGTGCGCTGAGCGATGAGGTCGCCGATCATCTCCTGAATGCCCAAGTGGGTGACAGGATAAGGTACCTAATCTGCCACTAAAGACATCCTGAGTGCTTCTTTCTATCACCATAGTGATTACCACTATTACTCTTTTTAAGTGCAATTTCTTGCCCTGTGTCATTTTTATAATATACGCAAATTGAAGTTTTTTCTTTTTCAAAATTCTACTAAAAATAATATCCGTGGTATAGTGGTGATGAAACAGGGGAGTTAGGATGTATCGGCGGCGGATTATTTTGTCACCTCCGCCACTTGATGCCCCTCATGGACGCTGAGGAGGGGCAATCCGGGCTGCCACCCCACTCCTTCCTCTTGCGGTGTACCGCATCCATCCAGCGCCCAGTCTGACTTGCATGATTGCATCACGGGCAATGGCTAGGGCGGGGCATGCCCTGTTGAGGCCGCTGCTGTTCTCGCACAATGGAAGGTAAATGGCGGGGAGCTGAGGTGAGCCCAGTACCTAGCGATTGAGGGAGTGGAGGAAACAGGACACTGGAATGGCGGCCACCGCGTTCAGTCTCCAGGTCAGCAAGCAGGCAAGCTGCCGCCCTCCGCCTCTCTCCACTGTTTCCTCGTAAACATCCCCAGCTCTAATTACATACGTAGCGCCTACCCTGCCTCTTTCTCTCTCTTCTTCTTCATCCTCGACCATCGTTCTTCCAACACGCCATACTCCCTTTGAATTTGCCTCGTCCTGTCATCCATCATAGCCACTCGCTTGAGCCCACCGCCCGTCATGTCGGACGAGAAGATCATCGCCGCTTCGCAGAAGCACCCCATCGTGCCGAACCATACCTTCAAGTATGGCACTGCGGGGTTCCGGATGAAGGCCGATCTCCTCGACGGTGTTACTTTCCGTGTCGGTCTGCTCTCCGGCCTTCGTAGTCGCAAGCTCAATGGCCAGGCCATTGGTGTCATGATCACAGCTAGCCACAACCCCGCTGCCGACAATGGTGTCAAGATTGTTGACCCCATGGGAGACATGCTTGAGCAGGAGTGGGAGTCGTACGCTACTAAGCTCGTGAACAGCTCCTCGGACCAGGAGCTTGTCGACAACTACAAGGCCTTGGCCTCCCAGCTCCGCATCAACCTCTCCGACCCTGCCCGCGTCGTTTACGGTCGAGACACCCGTCCTTCGGGCCACAAGCTTGTCGCTGCCTTGGCCGATTCCTTCGAGGCCACCGGCGTTGAATACACCGACTACAAGATTCTCACCACTCCCCAGCTCCACTACCTCACCCGATGCGTCAACACTGAGGGCACACCCCAGTCGTACGGCAAGGTCAGCGAGACTGGCTACTACGAGAAATTTGCCGACGCATTCGTCAAGGCTCTCAAGGGCCGCAAGGTTGAAGGGCAATTGACCATCGACTGCTCCAACGGCGTTGGAGGCCCCAAGTTGACCGACTTCCTGAAGCACGTCCCCAAGGATGTCACTGGCTTCGACGTCAAGGTTGTCAACGACGATGTTCTCCGCCCCGAAGTTCTCAACCTCGATGTAAGTCGCATCGCTTCCGAATCACTTTGGCCGCCTCAACTAATTTGTACAGTGTGGAGCAGACTTTGTCAAGACCAAGCAGCGTGCCCCTGCATCCCCCAAGCCCATTCCGGGCGCTCGCTACTGCTCCTTTGACGGTGACGCCGACCGCCTGATCTACTATTACACCGACCCAGACACCGGCTTCTTCATGCTCGACGGCGACCGGATATCCACCTTGGCAGCCTCCTTTATTGGTGATCTGGTTCGATCTGCCGGCCTGGAGAAGGACTTGCGCATCGGTGTCGTCCAGACCGCCTATGCCAACGGTGCTAGCACCAACTACATCGAGAAACATCTCGGATTGCCAGTGGTTTGCACGCCCACCGGCGTCAAGCACTTGCACCATGCTGCTCTCAAGTTCGATATCGGACCCTACTTCGAGGCCAACGGCCACGGCACCGTCATCTTTAGCCAAGACGCCATGCGTGCTTTCAGCGAGACGAAGCCCCAGTCCCCCGCACAGAAGGATGCCCTTGAGACCCTCGCCGCTGTTGGCAACCTAATCAATCAGACCGTTGGCGATGCGCTCTCAGATATGTTGATGGTGGAGGTGATACTCGCTCACAAGGGCTGGTCTCTCAAGGACTGGGCCTCGACCTATTCGGATCTTCCCAACCGCCTGGTCCGTGTTGAGGTTGGCAACAAAGATGCTTTCCAGACCACAGATGCCGAGCGCCGCCTCAGCCATCCTGCGGGAGCTCAGGACGAGATTGATCAGTGTGTTAGAAAGTACACCAGCGCTCGTTCTTTCGCTCGCGCCAGCGGTACTGAGAACGCTTGCCGTGTGTACGCTGAAGCGGCTACCCGCTCCGAGGCTGATGAACTTGCGAACAAGGTTGCAGGTATTGTGAAGCAGTACGGTGGACTGTAGGCAAGTCACCTTTCTGTCAAAGCGACAACGATGCACTATTCAAAGTAGCGGACAGTGGATGATTGGACTACTTGCCCCTCTATTTGGACCAAAAATTACGGCGGATTTCGCGAAAGCTAAAGCGGACTGGTTGCATGATGGAAGCTGCCCAAAAAGATGAAACGAACAAAAAACGAGACATTTGATATCCCTAGTCCTTCTCTACTAGAAAAAAAAAAGCGTAGCACATCTCCCTGTAGAACTTGAAATATGACTGGGCAGTGAGTGCATTGGCTCAATCACTCTCCAGCTGCTAGTTGCCCATACAAGAAGCAAGAAAAAATCCAAGCTCGGATGGTTGCCGGCTGGCCTCATGCAAATCTCCGGGGTCTTCCTATCCCGGAAAGCCCGATTTGACGATCTGACGTTGATTCTCGCGGCCCGTCCGTAAGGTGCGGCAATCCTCTCCAACTCGTCGGGATTCATTCCTTGCGTCGCATGGTTGCTAGGGTCTGTCTACTGGACCTCAGAGACCATGGTCGACTGACCACTTCGCTCTCGCTCATTTGGCTAGGCTTCGGAGACAACTCATGGCAGTCACACTGTAGTTGGGAGGAATTGTCTTGTCACTTCAAATCACAGGGAGATGAGTTAGGTCAGTGTGCTTCAAGTCGTCAATTCCTCTCTTTCATACACAGGCATCCTCGCAAACCCCCAATCCCTTCCTTGACGCTTGCTGGCATCGAATGTCTCCAATTTCTATGGCGAGGCCCGCCAGGCTTTTGTTCCACTGGTTCCTCCTTTTCAGTGTACCACATCGATTATTCCGTTTCTTCTTGTTTGTACAATCCTCGCCTCATACCGATCGACCCATAGAAACCCTGCCAAAGGACATCCAAGAGCAAAAAGGGAAAGGAGAACATGAACCAAATATATACACATTACACAAGTATTTCAGTTCTTGACCGCCCACTTATTATATATAATAGAGGTATAGAGATGTCTGCAGACTGGCGAGACAAAAATCATGTGCTGTAGCTTTCGGCCGTCAACGGTGCTTGGTGTAGCACCAAAAAGGGGAGCCATTCTGTGGGGAATTGTGGCACACTGCCTCATCCCAAAGACTATGGTGCTCCGATACCTGCCCAAAACAAAAAATTCAAACGAGGTCGAAAGTGATCGATGCGCCTTTCGCTATCCCAATGCATGGTTTGCTCCCTTTTGCGGAGTCACTGCGGCCACCGTGTTGGTGGCCTGCATGTCAAATCTTGAGTGCGTGCGGCGTGAAAACTGGAGAGCTGTCTAGGGAGTGTCCTGGCCCAGGTGCTCACCCTGAAACGAGGCGCGCCGCATGCTGGAGACGGGTATAGGAGGCCGTGTAATGCCGTGGCACCAACCCCTATCTGAGCCGAGTCGACCGATTATATCATTGAACAGAGCTGCCGAGTGTCTTGAATCGGTCTTCGAACGCCTTCAATCTCTCCTTTTCCAGTTCTTGCTGGATACGTCTAGTCTCACGCCTCGCGGCCTCACGCTCCTCCTGCAGCGTCAAAACCTCGATTTGAGCAGTACTCATGCGGGCAATGACATCTTGCATCTCAGAGTCGGCGTTCGTGAGTGCCGTCTCCAGCTCGACGACCTTGACCCGCAGCCTCTCGATCTGCGTCTCGTCTTCGACGGACTGCTTCGGCATGAGACGGGGCGATCGAGGGAACATTGGCGATGGCATCGGGCTAAGGCTGGATTTGCGCGGAGATCGCATGGCGCTAGCCCCGGGAGATGGACTCATGCGGCGCAGCTGAATGCTGTGTGCATCCTTGAGCTCCTTCACCTGCTCCTCATGTCGAGCCACACGCTCCTCGGATGAGATCTGAGCAGCTTGTAGTTGCTCCTCCAGATTCTTCAGGCGACTCTGCAGGCGCGTGATGCGGTCGGCATTGGCCTTGCGGTCGGCGTCACCGCGAGCAACGGCCTCTGCGAGCCGTTGACGAAGCTCGGAGTTCACGGATAACTGCTTTTGGACTTGAGAGGCAAGGTCCTCAACGCGTTGGGCGGATGTGCGGAGCTCGTCTGCAAGAGCGCGCTCGCTCTCGAGATTCGCCACCTCGGTACCCGCCAAGCTCTCCAACTGGTCCTTGTAAGCTGAAGCCTCTTCCTTCGCCGCATCGCGCTCAAAGACGGCAGACGTCAGGGACTGCTCTAGTCTCTCGAGGGCCAGCCTTGTAGCCTCGTCG